AAACTGTAGTATCACTTTGTTATTTTGTTAATAGTAGTAATATTTATTAATATTTTATTCACACTATCAAAGTTTTTACACATAACCCTAACTTTTTATTTATTTATATAGCCTATGTTTAGGAATAATGTGAGATTTTTCTCTTTAAAATTAAAATATTATTTTAATATTTCAAATATTTAATTGATTCCTTTGCGAGTAATTAGAATCAGTGTTCAGTGTGAAGTTATGGTTAATAATATTGTATTTAACTATACTATATTTTAATAGATACATTATTTTATAATATTTGATAGGACTTGGGTGCAAAAGCTACTGCTACCCAACAATTTTCACAACTTGTACAATACCAGTTGCCGCATAAATTGTCGGTGATTTAAGAATTTACAAAGCGAATAGGTGTTCGTCTGATGGTGGTAGCCTAAACACCCAAAACCATGATTGCCTAAGCGGGATGCCAGTTTAAACGTACCCTCTTCTTCATCTTCGTAGTCATGTCGTAGTCTACATTACTGCAGGTCGTGCCTGTCTTGAAAAGCTCTAACCCATACGTCAACTTTCTGCCTCACACTACTCCATCAAAGTCAAAATCATTTATTCATATAGGCAACACAATGTACACTTATGACGTAAAAAAATAAATACATATTAAATGCTTCTAATTTTACATTTACTGCTAGTCATAAGTAAGGGCGTAGAACGGAAGAGAAGAACTGGCAATAAACCGCCACTCTTTTTATTCGCCAACTTTTTTGTTTTAAACAACGTTTGTAAGAAGCTGCCACCACCACCATGTTCCACATGTCATCTTAAGTAATAAATTATAATAAATTAAAACAAAGATTTGTCCTCTATCAATAGGAGCACGCACTTACATTCTCGTGGGAACAACACGCAAATACACAGTCGAAACAACCAGTACGACCAGTCACCATAAGTAGCACCCGTTCACGAGTATGACGCATGGTCAGCCATCGGCCCCCTCGCCATATTTTAGAGAGAGGGCAACCCGACGCATGGATTATAGCTTTAGTTAGCGCAGCTATTATGAGGAGACCTGTGAGAAGAAGACTTGATCATCTTATTCGTTTCGGCGTATTTAAGGTATCCTCAGCTTGTCTCAGTGCATTAGAGATATTGAGACCTATCAGTCTTAATTTGGTCAGACCAACGGATGAAAAAAACGTGTGTAGTTATGTAGGTACAAGCGTTAGTTAGTACAAGTTACACTTCTTTGGCGTAACAAGATAAAAATCTTTACAAAAATTTTATCTTTCGCCTTATTCTACGTTTGTAGAAAAATTTACACTAACAATAGAAAAAATTTACTGTCATTATTTTCCCTAACGCGCCAAAAGAAGTATAACTTCAAAAAAACTAAAGTCTTGACTATAGATAACTTCAAAATTTTTTGTGACGGTGTGCGCGAGCGTTGTAAAAATTTACTGTCATCATTTTTCCCTAACGCGACAAAAAATGCTGTAGAAATGATAGTACAAACAAATGAATATCTTAACATAAGTACAATATTTACTCAGATATGAAGTAGTTTTTTGCATATGAAGTATGACAATGAACGAATGAAAAAAGTGTTTGTTTTAGTCTAAAAATACCATATTTTCGTCAAATGTTTCTCATCTTTTGAACTTGGTTTTTTGTATAGTTTTTATATGAAGACTTGTGAAGCAAGCATGCGCCGCTCAACCATTGGTTCAAGCCCCTGCTATTCAATAATTGATTTTTCTGTGTTTAGTGTTGCTCGAACTAGAAAACATAATGAGGCGATGGGATGAGATTTAGAAACGGGACATAACTATGACTCCGTATGTCAAAATACAATACCTTTCTTGACATACTTAGGGTCTTTTTTCACAATGTATGGATAAAGTACCAAATAGCTATGCAGCGCATAAATTGTTTGGAAGATAAATTGTGCTATTTGACACTTCATCGGAATCGTAACTTATGATGGACTTTATGTGACGAATAGCGCTATCTGACAGTCGTGAAACGCAACAATAGTGTTTATCCTACCAATAAGTAATAAATAGCTAATTTGGAACTTATGTAGAACTTATCCGTACATTGTGAAACAGACCCTAAGCCTACTAGGTCTACTAGGGATCTTAGAAACCTTGGCGATTAGAAATCTATGTGGATAATGGGATAGTTATTAAAGTTATGAAATGATAATAATGAATAAATTATTGAGTATTTATTACCTTTGAATTATGAAATACCTACAATATTGTTTAATTACTTCTTTGTATTCCACTGTTAAATAGTCTATTTGTATTATAGTATTCAATGATTGTATTTAAAATAATGCCGTCAATCTTGTTCATGGTAAAACGTTAAAGAATATATTCTCAAATTTTTTTTTCTATATAATACAATTAAATAGTTTAAGAATTTTGTATTTTAGGAATTATTTATCCTGTATTTATTAGTAACTATAAAAATCAAATATACAATATATACAATTTACCTAACCTACATAGTAATATAAAAAATAATTAAAATATAGAAAATTAAAACTCATTTAAAACGTTTGGTCCCTGTGGCAGTGTACCTTTAACGCTGGTAGCATTTCCTCGCTGTATCCAGCTCTGGGGTCACCGGTACTATCACCCTATCTAGTTTTCACCTTTGGTACATGCCAAAAAGAGAGATATTAATTTACTAAATAAAATAATCTATATGTGTATTTGATATTGCTTCATTTTTTATAGTACCCCTCCTTAACATAATTAAATACTACTAGCGATAATTAATGTCTAACAATATTTTTGTTGTCAAGTCAAAATCTTGTTGTAGTAAAAATATGATAGGTATCATTTACTTTTCGATAATTTAACCTTTTTTTTTATTATTAGTTACGTCTTGAGCATTAAACAAGAGAGTGGGGGAAAGTTTACGCATCGCGCGACACAAACGTCAACTGATTTACCAATCACGCGATCGACACGTCACCGCAAGTGATGCCTAAAAATCGCTTCTACGCAAGCAAGGACATTTGTTCAAGATGTTTGCCGGTATCTGTAGAGTACCGAAAGTCTCGATTATAAGTACTGTTAATAAGGCTTATAAGTACTGTTAATAAGGTTATAAGTTAGCCTTGGTGATGTTTTGAATACTAAATATAACTTTTTTAGCGGGTATGAATGCGAAATACCTTGTAACTAGCACTGGCAATCTGACAGAGCGTCTCTCAGTGACTACCAAGAAAAGCACTTTTGTTATATATAATTGTTCCTATATATAATGGAAATAATATTGGGTTTAACGATGACAACCGTAGCGACATCGCTTCGTTAAAATTTGAATCATGGGCTGAAATGCAGTGTCATTCCTTAGGCAATATTTATAAACTCCCGATAGATATTCCCGGTAGCTGTTGGCTGATGTTTGAACACGACTCCCTCAGCAAGTTTGCCACGTCTGAAAATGCAAATAAACAATTTTCTAACACTGCATGGTTTTGGACCGCTAGCGGAAGACTATTACAGGTTGTTAGTAAATGCTGTGTTATTTAAGCATAAATGTTTTGTCACATGCTGTAATAATAATAAATAGCACTGTGTTCGATTACCGGACAAGATTCTGGTCGGAAGGCACAAAAGATTTAACTATTACTTAAAACAAATTTTGAAATAGGCGTATTAGTCATTAACAATAATAATGTCTTCGTTCGTTCACGAAACTTCCAGCATCTTTACAACATCTAAATATAGACAATCATTTAATATGCATGAATAAAAAACAAAACAAAAAGTTGTATAAAAGACGTTAAGGAAAATAAATACAAAATATATTGTTCGATCAAATTTTAACATAAAACACTCATATATACTTCAGTAAATACACTTAGCGAATAAAAACTTACCCCTAGAAACTCAGGGAATGAAAACTATCCCAAACCTGTACTCGCTTCAGTACTTTGGTTTCTAACTATAACTTAAGTCAAAGTCAAAAATCATTTATTTATATAGGTAACACAATGTACACTTATGAACGTCAAAAAAGTAATATACATTAAATGCTTATAATTTTACATTTACTGCCAGTTCTCAAATCAAGGGCGTAGAACGGAAGAGAAGAAGTGGCATTAAACTCTCCGCCACTCTTTTTAATCGCCAAGTTTTTTTGTTTTACACAACGTTTGTTAGAAGCTGCAACACCATGTTCCACGTGACATCTTAAGTAATAAATAATAATTAAATAAATTAAAAACAAAAATTGGTCCTCTATCAGCAGGAGGCATGGTGAAATAGGAGCACGCACTTACATTCTCGTGGGAATAACACGTAAATACATAGTCGAAATAACTAACATCACCGCATACACGAATTCAAGTACGACCAGTCACCACAAGTAGCACCCGTTCACGAGTATGACGCATGGCCAGCCACCGGCCCACACGCCATATTTTAGGGAGAGAGACAACCCTCAAAGTAATAATTGTATCTGTAAAATTATATTTATTTATTTCGTAATCAGCTAACATAAATTAAATATAACAAAAAAACAATTATACCAAAGATGGAATACAAAATATAAATAGCGTAAAACATTTACGAAAGGAAAATTTCAATAAAAAATATAAAATACAAGTATAAGACTGTTTAGTTTTGTATGGGAGTAATATAACCAAAGAGTGAAGAATCGAACATCTATTTATTCATTTGTGATGATTAATATATGAATAATTCATACAGAGCACTATTACGTGTTGTGATTGTCAATCACGCAGCGTTATGACATGCTGGCCACTCGGAACTATTTTAACAGAAAGCTATCTATTGAATGGACATACAAATATAAAAACAAATTCACTGTGACATTAAAAAGCAAAAAATTGATGACACAGTCAAATATTTATAGTTGTTTTGTGATTTTTACAAGTGATACGTCACACGTCGACTACATAAATATAGCACAAAGGCTGAACAGAAGCAGTGGGTGCTTGCCTCTTGACATAAACTTATTAAAGCTTCATAATGCAACTGTCGATTTTTGTGTTCCTAACAGCGGCTTACTTCGCGAACTCGGAGGAATTTTTACGTAAGTTTTATTTAATAATAAAGGTATTAATTGTGAGTGAATATTATTTCTAGTTCAAAAAAAAATATAGAAAATAAAAACATTTAAAAGATTCTCGATTCGTTGGAGTGTTTGTATTTTTCCACTACTGGAAGACGGATGGTTATTTTTTGTTTGACATCGGCATCTTATCTTGGGGAAATAGACGGTATTCTTCAAATTTTATAGAAGTCCTCGCGGTTATTTTTTAGAATATTTTTATGGAGAATTACTTTAGGAAAGCACAATTTGGTTGACTCGAACTAATTTATACCATAATTTCCATGCCCCCTTTTTAGTAAGTTAGAATTTCGGTTATATCTTAAAGATTCATATATATGTTTTAATAACCAATGCCACAATTTTCACTACTTATACGTATACAATTATTTTCTATTTTAAACGAGAGATTTAAAAAACATAACTAAAGACAATTAATATTTTTTTATTTCAAATTACAAAAATATTGCGTGTTCCATTGAATTTTCTTAAAATATTATTTTGTTAAATATTAGTAAGTATTATGAATGATTTCTTATAAATATTTAATAAATTAATCATACATTTAATGGGATAAAAATACCTATAATACACAAAAATTTAACAAGTATTATATTTAAACTTATATCGTCGTATGTTCAATAGACAATCTTATAACTTAAATGAGAAATAAATTAAACTAATTTTAGTATTAAATCCTGAAATTGCGCAATGTTTGCATATGTTTTAATAAAAACAATAGTAATAATTAAACTAATCCAGGAAGGCAATTTAATGCATGTTAATAACTCAAATTAAAAAAAAAACAATGAAACAGTTTTAAGAAATTATTAATTGCAATAATAGACATGGCAATCAATAGAATATCAACAACGGTAGAGTTATATAAACAATAGGTTTTATTACTGTTTGCTTAGCTAAAACGTCGATCAATTAGGTATATTGTGCTAAGTGTACAATACAGATTTCCCGGAATACATACCTCTTATAGAGTTACCTACAATTCTACATGGGTTTTGGCTACAGCCTTGATGCCGTCAATTTAGACTATATATAAATTTGGTATTTAAACTAACGCTTAAATAGATACAAAATTCTAGTTATATTATATTAAATGTAAAATATTTAAATACATTTGTTTAATTGTGCAATTATTTATTATTTATTTAACTAAAACACATCCTTGCTTTGTTCAAAAGATCAAGTTATAAAATATAACAAGAAAACTGGTATACATCATTAGTCATCTAATTAATGGATATTCAAGCCGTATACTTAACCACAGATTTTAAAAATGTCTTAGACTGACTCCATCCTTAAATTAAAGGAATTTCAGCAATAACTTTACCTGTACATAGTTTATAAGTGGATATATGTTGTCTAGTGGCGCTACAACCCTTCATGGGTGGTGTTTTAATATCCTCCACTGGTTACGATGCTTAGCGTCTTCCAGCTTGTAATCTTTACACCTTTCTTAAATTTATCTTCTTGGGCCTACTTTTGACCAAAAAGAGAGGGTAATAGCTTAATTTAAGTTGTAAAGTAAATATAGACAATTAAACTGTAATAAGAATATTAAAATAAATAATTTCAAATGTAAATGTCACAATATTGAGTCATTTGTCTAACCGGAAATATACTCAAGTGCAAGAATTTAAAAAAGAGGCTTTATATGCGATATGTATGTTTTTTTTAAGCTATACATTTCTTTGTTTTGTGTTTGTTTTACCATTAATTCCTATACATTATTGTAACGACAATAACTCGATTATTTACTAAATTTATTTCCAACACACAAATATACAGTATTTATATATTCTTAACCTACATAGTAATAATAATAATTAAAATTAATAAATAGAAAATTAAAACAAATATAAAAATTTTGATCCCTGTGGTAGTGTACCTTTAACGCAGGCGGCATTTCCTCACTGTATTGCGATATTTATTCGTTGAGTTTGAAAGCAAAATAAAATGTTACTTGTGTGTTTATTAAAAAAAACTATGTTGATGAGGACAAAGCATTTAATAGCGATGTAGAAAAGAAGCCAAGTTTACTAAACTCTCTTACCGTTGACTTTACATTTATTTCAACTCAATTTAACCAATAAACAGTTCCTGCCTAAAATAATATGTGTGATTTAGAAAACAACATAATTTCTAAAACTCGATAGCCTATGGAATGTTAATAAACATTTTTTACCGGGTAAATTATTTAAATAAATCAGACAAACAGGATTATACCATTAGCTTAATTGATTTTTTATGTCAAAATGTAGTGTTCGCATAATCTCTACATGTACGGGTGTCCTCTTTAAAGAAAATGCCCTTATAGCCTTTGAAATGACATTTTCCTTGAGTATAGTCGTGTAGTTGTTATCTGTGACATTTCATGCTACCTGGGAACGGAGTGTAAATAATGGAAACGCAATTTATTAATTAAATGGAAATAATTAATTAACAATGGCGAATCAAATTTAAAAAAAATAAGCTGGAATAATAGGAATTATACTGGAATCAAACTGGCTATCTCCGAAAAAAATCACAAGGATAGGTACATATAAATTCGAAGAGAGGAGTGTTGGCCTAGTGGCTTCATTGCCGTCTCATGCCTGAGGTCATAGGTTCAATCCCAATCCATTCAAACCATCGTGAGTCTTAGACCCAAAACCTATTTGTCTGTTAAGAAAAAATATTGTTTTTCTACAATCTGAGGTCCAGACCAGAAAGTTTTTTTTTGGTATTTTAAATGAACAACTACAAATGGATTAATATATTAGTTATTGTCAAGACAATTGTTCAAAATTAATCTGGTTTTATTTTAATTTGACAATGAAGACTGACTGTGTCAGAACTGTGTGAGATCTTCTATATATAGTCAATAGTCAAAATCTACTTTAGCTTTATTGATTTCTTATTACTATTAAAATGTTATTATTAAAATTAATTTCCTTAAATATAGATTGCCTACACAAAGGCTTCCTCAAACGATTTAATTTATATTTAAATCATTCTAAGTATCCTTTTATATGGGGATTAAAATACATCCTAATATAATCGAATAATGTATGTACAAAATAATATGAATAATGTTTGATAATTATATTACTTAAAGATTTCATAATCACTTAGGAAATATAATCAATGGTACCCGAATGAAATATTAATAAGTAAATACTTAAACAAAGCAATGACCTTTGCATAAATGAATCCTTGTCAACATTTTTTAAGCGTGTAATTAATTTTCCGAAGGCTTTTGATTTACAATTACTTAAGCGCCGCAGCCTTTTAAGACTAACAATACACACATGTACAACTGGAGTACTTACATACGAAACTTTTATAGATATATACTAATTAACAAATCATAAAAACCGTTCCATTAGACTCATATGTTTGCCAAGGAGAAATGCCTTTTTGGAAGAAGGTAGTTTCAAAATTTTTAATTTAATTTTAGAATTCCAGTTAGGTATACGTCATAGTTCCGCCTTGAACACGTAAAATATAGAAAAGTGGTTTGACAGTTCCGTAAATTGTAGTTGACTTGAGAATTATATTGATTGAATACTAGCCATTTTCCTATATATAATTCTCATTAATTTTCAACTGTTAGTTTTAAATGTTATTCCCTTTTTTTCAAATATGTGTAAGAACTACAAGAAATTAACAAAACCTATACTCGGAATATTCTCAACATTGCAACTAAAATAAACAAAAAAACTCAGTTTTGTATCGCGCAGACCGGACATACAACAACCACTATTTAAGCCTTGACTTGTTTAAACTTACGCGGAATTTGCTTCAAAGGAGTATTAAGAATATCCGTAGCGCTAAATAACCTGTATCATGAGCCCCACATACACCCTCGCGTACATACCATCACACAACACAGCCCAATTAGGTATTACTTAAGTAAATGTATTTAATATTTTTCATAGATTTTTCCTTTCGTAAATGTTTGCACCTTTTTGTATATATTATGTATTGCATCTTTGGCTATATGTTTAGTATAACAAAAGATAAAATTCTTTATTAAGTATACAGTATTTGCAATTTTCTTACCTTTAGTATAATTATTTTTTGTTATATATTATTAGTTAGCTGTAGGATTACGAAATAAATAAACATCTTCCCTATTACAGCTAGTATTAAGGGATTGGGGTCTTAGAAAAATTCTATCGCTATGGACGGGTAATGTCAATAGATTTTGTATTGAAATAATACGTGTGTCTCGTGATAAGAGAGTCAATCGATTGCGATACTCCTTATTGCAATGTCACGCCTGATAAAGGTTTTTGTCACTAGGGCTTGCGCGCGTTAATCCATACACTTTACGGAACTCAAAATACTAAAGACCTTCGAATTTATGAAGTTTAGGGTTTATGATTTTATTTACTGTTGGAGGTATATTTACTGAGGCGCAAACTAGCTGCTGTGGTCTCTGGCAGAATGACCAGCGCTGTGGAACAGTCTGCTCCTCAGCTTAATGCTAAGCCAGTGTCAATTACAACCACAGCACACACGCGTAACACAATTAAAAAGTACCATGTTCTCTTTTTTTCTTTTTTTTATTATTACTATTTTGTTTTTCTGTGTGTATGTTTTGTTAGTAATAAATGTTATGTCTATGTATATAAGGAGGTTTCAGTCATACCAATTTTCGATAAATTGTATTACCTAGGCGCAAAATTTCTGTCCAGCGAGCATTCGACCACGAGTCTACTGCGTGCATGGTTCTCGGTGCTGATTGCGCGTCGTTTAAACTTAGCAATCCACTTCCCAACGGTTGATTTTCCTGGTGCAGAATCCGAATAATGTTAATCAAGCCAAGCCTTGGCTTCAATACTATTTTTTTCGCCAAAAAGCAGTGCTTTATTAACACACGAAATCCTTTTTTATCCAACAAGCAAAGTTCTTTCACTCAAAATACTAAGTATATCTCACAAACTAATAGTGCGACAGTTGTCAAATTTATGTCTTTTGCAGGGTAGGGCTTATTAAAAATTATTATTATATTATTTAATACTAGAAACGACACCTATGTGTCAGCCTACGAACTTTTTAGCTACCGATTGAGGTACCTTCTGCCCTGCTAATGATATCTCCTCACTTTGTTCGGTCTATAGTTTCCCTTTGCGCAGCTGTTGGAGCTGTAACTGGGGTAATTTTAGCTAATTATTCTATTGATATTATCCTTCATGATACATATAATGTTGTTTATGTTTTGGACGCAGTTGGAAGAGTTGTCAGTTAAAGATTTATTTATTTTCCTTATTTCCTATTTTTACAGTAACTTAATACCTACTTATACAATAGAAAACTAAACTTAAAACATAATATAAATAAAACAAGTAAAAACTTAAAACCTAATCCTTTTTGTAACTAATAATAAATAATGTATGTAATGTGAATTCAGCCAGTGTGCCACTAAGGGTGAGATCTATAGTGCGCACTTAGGGTGAGATCTATAGAGCGCACTTAGACTTTGCTCAGACTTAACTATAACCATTCTTTACTTTTTTAAAGGATAATAAAGAAGGTATTGCATGAAATGAAACATCAATTTCTGTCTTAGCTTGAGCTTAGCTTAATCTCACCGTTAAAAGCTCTATAAATATACTAAATCATAGTTTAACCTTAGTGTTTTTCGTAAGTAAAGTCTGAGCAAAGTCCAAGTGCGCACTATAGATCTCACCCTAAAAGACTTTGCTCTGACTTAACTATCGAGCTAAGACACAGTCGGTATTTATAGAGCAAACTACGAATCTCTCCCTAGTGTTGGCTTAGCTTAATCTCAAGTCCACGAAATCGACGACTTACCAAAAACTTTGACTATAAGCCTAACAAAAATAATGGCCCAAAATTTGCTTTACCATCATATCTTTTACTGGACTTTTTATTTTTGTCGGTTTTTAATGAACGGTGTTGCCATTTTGTATCGGAGTTCCATAGACTTTGGGAAAAATAGAATTTGAATTCAAAGAAATTATAAATGATCTTGATAAATACCTATGAAATGCATGAAATAAAATAATTACACATTATTATGGTATTTATTGTTGTTTATTTATATTATTTATGTAATTGTTCAAACCCCATTTTTGAGAAATCTTAAAAATAACTGGTGTGATTTTGTATGTCACCTGGCAGCCCTGGCAATTGGCATATTATAGTGACAACGAAATTCAAACTATAACCTAACCAAAACATTGCGATCCGTTCTACGTAATAAAATTATTGTCATCTTTAAATAATTAATACATTTTCTAAAGGTTACTCGTGAATTTCTAGTTATTGCAATAATAAAATAAATGAATACATAAATAACAATAAATTGAAGATATATGTGTACCGTTTTAGATTTTTAAATATTTGTTATTGTTAACTTTTTTTAAAGGATAATAAACAAAGTATTGCATGAAATGAAACATCAATTTGTATTTTGACATTTTCTGTCTTAGCTTGGGCTTAGCTTAATCTCACCGTTAAAATGTCTATAAATACGAAATCATAGTTTAACCTTAGTGTACACTAAGCAAAGTTTTTCGTAAGGTAAGTCTGAGCAAAGTCCAAGTGCGCACTATAGATCTCACCCTAAATATATCCGTCTCACAAACAAGTGTCTAGGGTGCGCAAGACACGCGTAAATGGTGCTTCTCTGAGTAAATTCGTGCGTGCCCGATGCACTGCTAGCAATTGCGACCGCTTACCACGCCCAGTGTGGTTATTTGGCACCATATATCTAGATGTGGAAGATAAAAAATCAACAATAATTTGCAAGTTTTCCAATACATTGAACATTTTTGTGCTGGTGCCTATAAAGTCCTGTTTTCACCTGACATCGCTGATAGAAAATCAGCATTTTAGAGTCTATATGAGAAGTATGAATGAATAAAGAAACTCAAGGGAATTAAACAAGTTTCTTTTGTATTTACACTCAAATTATCTTGTTAAAGTTCAAATTAATTCTTATATTTTCGGAACAATAACAGATCAACGATTGATCTCAGATATCTGTTTTCTTTGTCATTTTTCTTTATATCTATCGCCTAACTGCACTTTTATCGCATTTCCAAACCCAAGTTTATCAATACACTAATAAATTGAATATTCTAATCAATCATTTCAAATGAAATAGGTTACCCTTAATGGGTTTGATGTTGATTTGTAAAGGATTTTCATTTTCAGCATCCTACATTACACCATGCGAGCTAAAAAAGAGTGATTTCAAAAAATGTGTGCGATCTCAGTTAGAAAAAAGTCTGCCATTATTTGCGAAGGGAATACCAGAACTTGGAGTGCCGACTATTGATCCAGTGGATTTGAACGATATACATATTGATGGAAGTGGTTTAAAATTGACCTTCACAAATGCAAAAATGCACGGCCTCTCAAAGGTCTCCTTGAAGGATTTGGAGTAAGTATTCAAAATATATATATGGAACAGCAAACGGACAGGACGCTCATCGTGTTGAGTGATACCGCCGCCCATTTACACTCACACTGCCAGATTTCTAAGCCTTTTGAGTACTGGTACTTTCTCTCTCTCTCTTTTCTTGAAGGACCCTAAATCGGTTCGGAAATTTAGTGGGCAGCTGGTTCCACATAGTGGTGGTGCGCGGCAAAAACTGCCTTTTATTCATTTAATTCTTCTACAGTATAAACAATTGGAATACATTATATGCAATCCATTTGCAACGCATTGAAAATATTCAAAAATTCTTTACTCAACACCTTGCAGAACAGGATTTTCTCATAGGCACCCGTACCACCAGCGACTTAATTCATAGACATCAGGAAATTTAACTGTCACAGAATTTTTTCAAATTGTGAAAACCTGACAGATACCTCTCATTAGAATTCTTCGCAAATATACCAGAATAATACTTATCAAGCTTTATATATTCGGTAGTGGGCTGATCAATTAAAAAAAAGCGTTGTTCAAACTCAAACTCAAACTCAAACTCAAACTTGACGAACTTGAAAAACGAATCTCATAATTATATGAAGACGCAAACGATTCATAAATTCCCATACTTAAAGCCATTGTAAATTTTTCCATATGAAATTGTTCAATTACTTACATTGACTCATTGTAAATACGCAAATAATTTAGCATATTATGTGAACAATGGCAGAGTAGTTAGGAAAAAATGCTGTGTTCTTAAACAATATCTTTAGCTTTTTACTGCGACTGCGCGAGTGCTTTTGAAACGGGTCACCATACTGTTCATAACTTTTTTAGCTTTTAGTTATAACTATTAAATCCAAGCTTCTAAAACATAGTTAACACAATATGACAGAAAGTACTGGATTTTGATGAGACCGAATGAGTACATAACTTACATGACAATGACAACATACTTTAATTAATATATAAAAAAAAACATTATTTGCAAAATAAAGGTTAAAGAATATTAATGTTACGCGTACATAATTACTATTATTAGGATGTAATATATACATATTTTACAATAAAACGTATTGCCTAAAACATTTGTTCTAGACAGTACATAAATCGTCTAAAACCTTAACGTTTAATTTAAAAAAAATACACGGATTATCATATATAGTCTGTGACTATTTTTTTCTAAAAGCGTCATTCGTTAAAACAAAAGAATCGCACCCTATTTAGTTAACAATGCCCATTGTTTCAATAAAGATTTTGTTTTAGCATCGACATCGGCGAAAAGGAAGAAAAATTCAAACTTAGTTTGAAAGGCAACCTGAGTATGACTTCGACTTACAACGCCGATGGAAAAATTTTAATCCTACCTATTAAAGGAGATGGCGACGCATTTATTGAATGTCGTAAGTATAAACCTTTTATTATACCGTAGGAATATTTGCCTAAACTTAAAAAAAACTAACACGGAGGTTGAGAATTTAAAACAAAAGCCGATTCGATGACGATCTTCGTATGTGATTGGTTAACAGGGTCTAGTTTGAAAACAGTTTTCAAAAATGAACAGCCGCTATTAGTGTTAAATAAAGGTCGAAGTTAATGAAGATAAATTACTTTAAATTTGCTTTGCCAGTATCTGAGTTCAAAAATAGAATGATAATGATTTTATTTTTAGGCTGTGTCAATCTTAGGTTTTAAAGCTTTTTGTGTCTGTGCTTCACCAATGACCAATCAAAATCAGACGAAATACGTCATCGACTCGCGTGTTTACTAACTTCCGGGTTTTTGACATTTTACATTTTTGACTGATTTAGTCTATGTAAACACAGTATCCCATGCACCAGATTGTTTCATGCCTTAAAAATGTGTCACAAAATGCAAGGGAAAATAAGCATGACGAGATCTAGTTTTATCTAATTGTAAATTACAATATATTAACTTTTGTTTAAACAAATAAATTCACAGGAAACGTGGAAGTGGAGATTAACAGCAAGTTGTTGCATATAAATGATACCAATGGGGAACATTTTAAGTTACAAACGCCGCACTACAAATATAATATCGAAAAAACTACTTTCGACTTAAGAAACCTGTTCAATGGAAACAAACAACTTGGTAAGATGACACGTTGACTAACTCTGTTTATATAACCAGTCGTAATTACTACAAATCGTTTTATAAATGCTGTCGAAAAAAGATACATCCGCGCGTCAAGACTTACGCTTTTAATTACGCTTATTTATCTTTACGGATACGCTGGGTTTAATTCTCGCTAGACTTATTCTCGAAAAATATCCCAGAAACAGAAGCACATCAAAGTGAATTCTGGTATTGACGCAAAAATTACTTTGCGTATGATGAGGGAGGACTGGTAACAGGCCAGATCTGGGAAATCCTAGATGAGAGATGTCACTTATTTAGAGATGATACAAATCGAGCTGTAACAATGTCTATGGTAAACGAACGTTGAAGTATTCACCACTGCGGCTAATAAATAGACAAACCAGTCTCTTATTAAAACGAAACATTAAAACAAAGTTGAAGAATTATTTTCATGTGTCGCATTTCTGACAAGACTGCTATTGTTATTTTTCTCTTGGCCTTCACCCTCTGTCTTCTTTGCCGATGAGTAGGGATGCCTACAAATTCAAATTTAATGACGTGGAATAAGTGATACATGTATCTTATGTTCCATAATAAACATTTTTTTTTTATTGTAACCACAATGGTTTTCAAATATATTGTAGGTTCTATTCTGTTAAGTAAAGAAATTAAGAAAAGCGATAAGGTAAAATTACTTTTCATGATATGGGCAACCGCTCGATTATCTTATGCCAATTGCGTGATATCACCGACACAAAAATCAGTGCTGATAAGATGGCAATGACCTTAAACTCCAATTATGTATCCAGTTTTATAACGACGAATTTTAACACGTTCTCGAATCTTTTGAATTGCTAACAGCACTCGATACATCGAGTTACGTAAATAATGTAATAAATTAGCGTTTTTATCCGTTTTGCACGGATGTTCTTTAAACATTTTGTATACGTATCATGGTTAAAGCAGTTGGCTTCATAATGAGACTCATCCCTGAGGTCGCTGGGCACCAATGGACTTTCTGGTTGAAAGTAAATATCGTGAGGAGACCGACTTGTCTCGAATCAGACAGAAGGCTGATCACCTACTTGTCTATGAAATATAAATGATCGAAGAAACTAATGCAATCTGCGGCCAAGACTCGGTTAGTTGTAGGTGTAGGGCCTCAGATTTCTGAATCTGTTTCATGATCATTTTTCAATCTAATAGGCAAGTATGTGATCAACCTCCAGTGCCTGACAGACGCCGTCGACTTTTAGGGTCTAAGACATGTCGGTTTCTTCACGTTCAAGCGAATGTTAAATGCGCACATAGAAATAAAGTCCATTGGTGCACAGCCGGGGATCGAAGCTATAACCTCAGCCACTAGTCCAACTCTGCTTTCGTATTATAATATTAATAATAAATACTATGTTTTACAATTCTAGCTGAAACCACCCTACAATTCGCGAATGAAAATTGGCGACAGCTCATGGATGACCTCGCACCGCCCGTCATCAAGCAGATAGTTAAAACTATTGTTAAAGATATAAACAAATTCTTCTCTAAAGTTCAAATTTCCACTATTGTCCAAGGTTATAACCAGTAATTAATGTATTACATTATTAGGTATACTTTCTATAGAGCGTACTTGGGCTGTCATTCTTCAGCGATAGAATTTACGGAGCCAGTACGATTCATAGAAAATTAAACCCTGTTCTGTACTTAAAAGGTTCTATTTATAATGGTAATACGTAGGTTCTGGAGAGCAAATCTACGACAAATCTAGGAGCAAAGCTAATGACAATGATTGTATAGGCATAGAAGGATTTCAACAATTGACTCTTGGCCAACGCAATATTAAAATGGCTTCCATGGTGTGTCCAAGTGTGTTGTATGGATTTAGTTCATCCGCATTTGTAAGAATGTAAGTTGGCAAACAAAACAGGCTTATGGCTATTGTCTTTGTTAAAATCTTTTAAATAAAACTTCATAAATGGATGAACATTTATTAAATGTATTACTTCTAAGGCTTAGTACATATAAATTGTATTTTATCGCTCTTAGATATCTATAGAGCTGTTCAGATGTTTCACGGGCGATCCATATCGTACCTCATGTGAACGTCGTCTTGATTGACAGTTCTTAAATGATTATAGAATCTTGTATAATTTTCTGACGAATACAAGTTTGACGTTTCGATTGTAGATGTTCTTGTCAGGTAATTGTACAATTACAAGCAACATTTCCTTTTAAAAAATATTGTGGTGCCAATGGACTTTGTATCCGGTTAATAAATAAAATAAAAAAAAATTGTGGTCAAACCAGCTTAACAGTATTATTAATATAGAAATCAACTCGATTTAATTTCTCACGGCAAGTTTCAAGTTCGGTTCAAGTTTTATAATGTCACAAGGAAATGTCGCTTGCTATATCCAAAATATTTATATTTGTGATTTCCGTAAAGTTAAGTAAAATAAAATGTATTTTTATATACCCTGATTTATTTCATATCACATCAAACGAACATCAATTATAATAGAATTTCGAAACATGTTTAAAAGAAAGAAAAGCCGCCAAGACCTAGTTCAAGTAAATAAAGTCCCTTTATAAGAAAGGGGGGAAAGAAAGGGGAGAACTGACACGGCCCGGCTGTTTAGTTTCTCGGCCAAATATATGTCTGATCGCGTGCCTGATTGGCTATCAAAGTCAAATCGTTTATTTCAATTAGACCATCTAAAATGGCACTTTTGAACGTCAAAAAAAAAAAAAAATCATCAGGGGTCCTATGTATAAAAAAAACATGTGTGTGAACTTATGTACACGCGTTACATAAAAATCTTTTTAAATTTTTTATCTTTCCCCTTATGAAAACGTTTCTTGAAAAAATGGCACTAACATTGAAAGTTTTATTATAACACATTATCTAGTTAAATGAAGTTTATTTTAATATCACAAAAAAAATATTTCTACATAATTAAAGAAATGGAGATTTTTTATTTTATAATGTTATACTGCTTACTTCAGGGTGTCGGCTTTTGTGAGAACACAGTTAAACGTCAAGTAAAATCTACCCTACAATGCTAGATGTATACCAAGGGGTGGGAAAAAAAACAACAGAAAACGAAACGCGTGTTTAATTGTGATTAGACTAGCGAACGTATACGTAATATTAAACGTACTACGTCGCGGATTTTACTATTCTGTTGACCAATCACAATCTGCGGAAGTGCCATTCCCTTTAGAGTCGGGAAGGTTCTGGCCTATAAAATAATGAAGATCTTAACGGTAATTTTAAATTTTGCCAAGAAGATATATTTTCAATCGAACTATACTTCAAATAGATGATTATTATTATTATTTTCTACGATTGCTGCAATTATACAAAAAAATAACAGGGAAACTCTATTGTCCAAGTCAAAACCCCTGAACGTAATATAAAAAATCGTCGAGATCGATTAACAAACTTTGACTATGGAATTGAAGTATTTATTTATTGAATCCTCGTTACAAAGATAAAAAAAATAACGTAAATCACAAAGGATGCAACAGGCTACTCTGAAAAAATAAACACTTAGGGTACATAAAGTTCAAAGAAGTGCATAACTAATTTAAGAAAAAACGTGTGTCATTCACTTCAAAAATTTTGGTTTCAAGATAATGAGACGAAAGTAATTTGAATTTTTAAGTTTAATATCAATTATTATGGATTTTGATAAAAATTACAATTATTAAAATTAGTTTTATAATTAATGATAAGTAAATAAAATTGATAAATTTCATCCAATTTTATTATGAATTAAATTAATCTCTTAATGAATTGTTTCGCAATTAAAAATATAAATAATACATATTTTTTTTAAATGATCACTACACTAATTCAAAGTTCACTGTATAATGCTTCCTATCTCATTTTATCCCACGTTAAATCTTATGAATTTATGTGTCTGTCTCTTTTTACAGTCGCTTTTTCGTTTCATTGACTTTCAAATCACAATGATGCTAAAGAAGGTTTCACTTCAAAAATGTCAAGTAACAATAAAAAATTATACAATTACCAAACTGAAATCTAAAATAGAAGCTTTTTAAGGTTCATGAATCACAATTCAAAATGCAATACAAAATAATAAGATAATAAATGTCACGTCACGATTGAGCAGTATAGGATATGGTTAAGAAGTGTTTATTTTTAGAGGTTTTTAAGAGTACATTTATAATAGGAGGAGATAGGTAGCAGCAAGCAAAAGTCTTGTATTTATTTAATTCAATTTTGTCTTGTTCCCAAATCCCTCTCAGATTCAATACTGCTCTGACTGGATCTTGAGTTGACATCAGTGATTTCCGACATTCTTTGAGAGAAACCATCTGGAGATGGGTTCTGCCTTTTGAACAGGGATAAAATTGTCGATCCCCGTTTATAAAACACGTAGCCCATGAGAACTAGAACAAGTACTGCCGCCCCAATGCTCCCACCAATTATGCCAGCTTGGTAACGAGATTCTGAAAATTAATTATTTTTATGTAAAGACCTAGTAACGGATAATACAGAAAACGCCTTTATAAAAACTCAACGTTGCGCTGTTTTATCTACGATTTTGTCTCTTTCAGTGAAGTAATTTTTTTGTTAGTTTTTGTTAATACTGTGTTATTAGACTGTTTAAGATTATATTAGTAATAAAACGATGAACACCGGCTGCACGCACGAAAAAGTATGACTCATTGTCCCGTTACGCTCATTGTACGCATGAGCCTATCTATCTCTCTTTCACTCGAAGACGTTTTTTTGTTATGACGTTGTGAGTTGTCACATTAAACAATCGTACGTTCCATTATCCAACTTCATCACAGGTTGCACAAAAATTAAATACTGTTTGAATTGCAATATGTACCATGTTTTTTTTTATTAATTTTCTTGAGTTGACTGTCCCATAACCCGATTACAGCTTGAAATATTGGGACAGCCCTGTATACAAAGGCATGACGATCATCTATAAGAACTTAGAAATATTAACATCTATATTACCTGTTACGATGAAAACTCGTATCACATCACTGGATTCCATGACGTCATCGTTGACAATAGCCGCGCAGGTCCAGTTACCAATGTCATCTTCATGTACCGAACTTATTGTAAGGGAACAATCACCCACTGTAATGTTGCGTCCGGGCGTGAAATAGAAGCGATCCAAGATGGCGCTAGAATGTGAGCACACAGTTTTTATGGGCTTCAAAAATCAAAATTTTAAACGCACAATAACTTTATAGGGAAACAAGTACACTTATGGACGTCAACAGAAAATATGTTAAATAAATTTACATTTACTACCAGTTCGGAAGTCAAAAGCGTAGAGCGGGCAAGAAGAACTTTCAAGATACTCTCCGCCACTCTTATTTCGCCAAGTTTTGAGTCATACAAAATTTGTTTGATCTGGAGCAAATCAATACCAAGGAATAGGATCATTTAAGTAATGAGATTATAAAATTAGGGTTACGAATTTATTCAGTGATAATTCTCTGTATAACTTATCAAATATTTTTTTTCATAAGTTATACAGAGAATAGTTAGTCTCGGGGAACCGTTGATTGGAACTCCTCCAATTAATTTTGACTGCCGGAGTTGCGTATAAAAAAAATATAAAAATAATAAGTATACAAAAAATTAAATATAATTTTATGTATTGTATTGAAATTCGTTAAACGAAACGTACATTTTATACGTATTTCAGAACATGTGAAACGAAACGCAAACCGGCATTTTGAATGTAGATTTGACAGAAATTACACTGACAGATTAATTCCGTTACTTTCAAGTTTACGTGAATGTTCTTCTGCGTTTATTTTATTTCGATTTTTTGGAAACTTGGCTATATTTTTGGACTTTGCAAGGATTGCTTTTCTGTAAGACCTTGGCATACATACTGGACACTCATTTCTCGCTATCACAGCTTGGGGAGCGTTCAAGAAGTTACGTAACGAATTTTGGGAGGGGGGGTCCTTTTGTAAAACGTTACGATGCGGGGCGGGGATTGAATTACGCGTTATTGTTAATATTATTTTCTACTTACACTACATAATAGTAACTAAAGAGTCACTAGGTGGTCACGAAACGTTTTACTAGACTTGGATACAGTAACGTTACGGCGAGTTCATGGGTTGGGGGTTCAATACTCTCCAAAAATTGCGTTACGTAATACTTGAACGCTCCCTTGTGATGGCGTCTGGAAATAGTGGATGTGGACGTGATCCAGAACATGAGCCGTCTACTAGTTCTACCCTTGGTAGACGACCGGCTTTTGGATGGATGACTTTGACGACGATGGGCCCGTTGTGGATCGTCACCTCTATTCAGAAGAAGTGGTCATCATGTGGGGTTTGGGAAAAAATTATGAAAAATTTGAGTACTAATGAGCAGATTCGCTGAAGAAAATGGATTGGTGCATTCGCAAAAGCAATGTAGAACAGACCGTGTTCCCATGAAAATTGCTAAATTGGGGAATAAATCATTTGGTTCATAAGCCGAGCCACCATAAATTATTGGTAAGTATAATTATTGCAGGGAAACTATAGTTATTTATCAAATGGATAAAAATCAAGTAGTAGAAAAGATTTATTCACCATGAAAGCCGTAGATCAACTATGTCAAATTTGTATGCAATATGACAAAATATTATTAATATAATTATTAGTAATATTAATTCACCAATAAACGTATGAACATCCCCGAACTGGAATTCCGCAGCCTTATATTTGCAGGAACTAGGAAAGCTATCGCAAGCGCGGCATATAAAACAAATAGGAATTATTTAATACTTTAACCTATATTATTAAATTATCCCATTTAACTCGTTGACAGAGTTCTCGTTACTAATTACGGGTTTTTCTCGTAATTAAACAAGGTAAATATATTCAAAACGAGTTTTTATTCTAGATAACAATTATAACCTCTTGTAACCTCAAGTGTCAAATGTCAACTGTCATCATCCGGAAAAACCACTTGCGCTGATTGATAGCTATTATCAACTTTCCGTAATGGTAAAATTACTTCGTATTACGTGAAATTAATCAATGACTTCTTTGAAATGTTTTAACACAGATATTTGATAAGCTATGTGCCGCGATTTCATCCGCACTTATTCGGTCGTACTGTGATGGTGTATCCTATAGCGTTTCTTGATAACTATATTTGTATGTCTATGTAAGAGCCTTTAGCGATAACAGATCCGATTTGTAAGCAAGTTCGATGTAGTTCTTTCAATATCCGTAGCGCTGATGTCTTGCCTTGGGAATTGGGATTGCGCAGCACAAACTCTTTATTGGGAGTTATGCGCCCAACCAAACGAGGAGGCGCGTCGGCTTTATAATACAAATAAATAAACAAATCATTTATTCCACAGGGACCTACATAAATAAAAATATACTAAAGTTTAGCTGTCCCTTGGAGAGGGAGATGCACTCAGCTATTGCTCCAATACCAAATGGCAATGACAAAGTATGTTAACAGCACAGCTGCTACCTTAGAGCATCGGTAACAGAAAGAAAAAAACTTAAAGTTTTACTGGCGCTTAGACTGTTAAGCTGGAATTAGATTTGAAATTAGTGGCATGAAATTAATTTCGTGACAATGTTTTACGAACAGTTTCACGTGTAATTCAATATATTTGTGATACTGCATGCATTAATTTCATGAATGCAAATGAGTTTTGTGCCCTGCGCGATTTTTTGGTGAAATTAGTTCAGATATGCGACGTGAAACTAGTATCGCAAAAGCGCCACCTCTTTAGCTACATTGAATATATAATAATATTTATCTGATGCTGATGGTGCCATAGTCACTGCAATGCTGTGAATTTCACGACACTAATTATTTTACGAAATTACTTTCGCATGTACTTTCGTGAAACTAATATCACATGCGTGCCACTAATTTCGTAATGTAATTCCGGCTTTATGGTTCGAAGGTAGCGCTTTGGAACAATGATATGGTGTTTTGACCAAACCATTGTATAAGATTCTTCTACCAAGACGTGCGTCTGCGGGTATACTTCTACCAGCCACTGTGCAAGTAGAAGGTTTAGTTGAAGGTGCCTTTTAACGAAATAAGTGTCCGTGTAACTCAGGGATTATATAACAACCAAGTGCTATCAATAGAAAATTAAAATCAGTTAGTCTAGATTGAATTATTATCTCGTGGCGTGATTACGTTTTTCACGACACGTGTACGCTTATTACATAAAGTTAATCATTAATAGTCTCGTATTTTATAATGTAATAATAGTGATACTTTTTACTATTAGTTTACTAGTAGCTTTGAAAAATAATTCGTAAACGTAGTAAAAAGTAATACTAAAAAGTATTCCTACAGACTAATTTATATTGTTGTAACACAAATGTCATAGACAAAATATTTAATTGTTTTATGAAATCCCATACGTTATAGTTATATTATATATCCCGTACATAAAAAAAGCACGGTCACAAAGTTCGCTTCAAGCCTCGACTCTGAAACCTATCATGAGACATGATACAGTCAAAAGCGGACGGAAAATCTATTGACGTGGGACATCAAATTTATTATAGTATCACAAATAATTACTTACTCTGCCTTAGTCACCGAAGAATCTATGTTAAGTCCGACATACGATGGCGAAAGGAATCGGCAATAATACAACGGCCGTTTTCCATTAGCCGTATGACAGTACAACGTGATTGACTCCCCGATCCTAGCCTGAATTTCCCTCTTATTAGCAGCTAAAGGACCTGTGACTCTCACTTCAATATTATGCGTGGTTTCTATACCAGCTTGACGCTTAGGGCCCATATGACAACGCCAAATACCAGAATCCTGTTTTGTTACACGTTTAAACGTAATTCCACATTGCCCAACGGCTAAACCTTCGCCCGTGTACCTAGAGAAGTTCATATGCTGTAGTATAGTGATAGCGATATAGTGATACAGAACTCTGTGTTTGATGAAGTATTAATAGACAGGTGCCAAATATTTGTATATAAATTGTTGGATAAAATTCAGAGTCAACTCGAGTTAACAAATTTAAGACTAATAAAGTATCAGTCAAAAAATATTGGATTTTGGGAGTGGCAACTTTGAATCTTTCCCGATGTTCCATGTGTGTTCATATAAAAATTGATTTCTTTGGATTATTATACACATTAGCACAGGCATGTGCTAACATAACAAGCTAACATTGGATTGAGGCTATTTTGAAAAATTCTGTTTATAAATATTTAAATTCTTAAGTAATCGTTTCCGAAAACAAAGCTATTTAAATATGTTAAAACCAGGAACAGAAACAAACTAAACCACTATTCAGTAAAACAAGTGATTTTAACGAGTCTAAGAGTTAGAGAGTTAGAGAGTTAAAGGAAGCGGTCTATTTCTACCTAGTACAGTGGAGTGTGGTATATACCTACCAAAAAGGTTGATCTTCATTGACAAGTCGTACAGGCGTAAACTGAGACCCATTAGGATGTTGGAACCAACAATATTTAAGTGAAAAATCTGTGTGACAAGACACAAGTAATGTGCCATCTTCTTGAACGAATATCGTCGTACCTTCGGTATCGCGTTGTTGGCGGGAAGACACTGGAAAAGGGTTTGACATAATACTATTCATAGACAAAATTAATATATTCTAATTCATTTTGATTTCAGCAAAAATCTTGAATTTTCAAAGACAACAACTTGTATTGTTTATGTTCTATAATAATTTTGTTCATCTGTAAACACAGAAAGTCAAATTATTTAATCAATATAATACATTGCTTTTGATGTGAAACATCTATAGCCGCACGTAAAACCGATTTCTGGCGTGGCGACGCATGCCGTGTCGTCGCGTCGCCACACTATATGATGGTATATATATATACAGTCTATATGCAGTAGTGTGTACGGTGTGTGTATTTGGAAGTCACTGATTAAACGAATTAAGTAGTCACGATTCGAAATAAATTCGTAAATTTTTGTATTAAATGAAAATAAATGTTTATTCAATAAATAGTCATCGTAATCTGGAAAAAAATCGTAATATTTTATTTTATAATTATGACACATTTAGTTACTATCACAATCTGTTCTTTTCTGCATATTACTTTTAAAAAGTAATGTCGATGTCTCACATCTGCTAGGCGATTCCAGGCAGTCCTGTGACGGCTCAAATTTTTTTTATTTCTTAAAGAAGTATTATTTGAATTGAAAGAAAAATGTAATAAACAATTAAATTCGAAAAAAAATATTGAATATTTTATGGTCTGATTAAAATCAACACCATAAGGAGAAGATAAAAGACACAAGAAACCACATAAAATTTTAATTCTTCTAGAATAAATGTTCTAAGCACCTGGGATTACCACTATCTATTACTTAAATCTTCAACTTCAACTTTAAAAAACCTTTTTGTGTAAGCACTTGTCTTATATGCTTTTCATGACCATGCAATGTAACTGCATGTGATATATAAAAATGCATCACTTTAAAATTAATCTTCTTCCATACTTAATCCTCTTCTTAAATTTACCAACCCTGTTGTACCTTACTTTTCGTCCTGTAAAGTAAGTAATTTTTAATGTGGAGAAACAGCTACATCATGATCTCAGAATCTTTGTTTATCATATGCCGCATGGCTTCTAACATGCACTTTATTAAAGAAACAACACATTTTTAGCTGTTAGAAAATAACTATCTGTTGTGCATTTATCAGCTAATTTCAATAATTCTGAAAAGATAAAATATTAAGTTATACAAAATGCAACAAATGACAGTGATACTAGGATAGACATTTTAGAAAAAACATGTTAAAGAATTAAGAATCTAAGTTTACCTACCCTATAACCCCAATATATATTGTTCATCAACAGGCTGATTGTTTATTGTAGGTTCTACTGTATCAGTGGGGAGGTATTTGAGTAAAGTTGGTTCTATAATAGCAGAACGCTGATTTTTGGTTATTATTGGTTGTTGTATAGTGATTTCACATTCCTGAATGAGTCTCTTTCTTTGCCTCTTGACGAATGCTTTACGAGAAGGGCCAGCATCACTAATTCTTTTATTGCAGTCTGACTGACAACTAAATTTAGAAGGTAAAACTTTATCCACCATAATTATCCTCTGACTGAAACCCATTTTATACTCACAATAATTTGCCATGTCTTGTTGCAACTGTAACAAGTAAATTAGTTAGTTATGAGCATGAAAATGTTAGGATTATCTAGTTAAAAACTCATTGAAACCGTAAAACTATGATTATCTTTACTTTATATTATAGAAATCAAGATAAATATGCAAGCCGGGCGATAAGAAACGTTGTAGCAATTTATGTTTCCAAATTCACAATACAATTAATTTACTAATATTAGACAAGTTTACTTACATTGAAGTGATCTTCACAGAAAAATATATTGGAACTCGGCATTATTTCATCACAATTCCTCCGAGAAAGTTCCAACCACTTTCGACGCATTTTAACATTCCTTGGAACACATATAAATAACTTTTCCGGGGTTTTAATTGACGTATTTTTACATTTAGGCACTGCACACCATTTGTAACTCATTTTACACAGAAATCACTTAAAGTTTCACATAAATCGCCAAGTATTCATTAACAGATATAAAACTTGACGTTTGTTTACAACGTTGTTGTTTACAAGCATGTTATGTCACAGAAAATGGCACAACGCCATCTTCCATAGAGCGTTTTTGCGGATTATAATTTAACACGAAACAAAAACAATAATTAAGATAAGTTTCTTGGTCGCTTGAAAATTAACTGAATTGGTTTTTAAAACTTGACTAACAGTAAAAATTAATATAACAAACCTCTAAAGTTAGGAGCCACGCTGATCAAGGCCTGCATAGGTGGTTGTTCTTTAATTACTTTGTCCACCCACATATTGACACCAAGGGTACATCGCCACGACCCGAAGTCATCCGCTATTGGATTCTGGATCGTGATTCCGCACTCTCTTCTAAGGAAGCCTTTCCCATAATAACTGCGAATACATATTTTACCAAAATTACGTAAGATCTTATTTCGATCCGCTATTACCTGTGTGGCTGACACACACATAGGGCGGATAACTCAAAGGTTCCAGTTTCGATTCCCAGCAAAATAATATTCGTAATGATAGGCAAAGAAGGCTGATCATTAGTTGTAATAAAAAACAGTTTTTATTAAAATATAAGGCATAATATTTATTTCCACTAAATACTCTTTTTCCCACTTAGGGGTTACAGAAATTCAATTAATATCGAAGTTCATCTCGCTAGACTTGTAAAACATGTTTGGGTCACTTGTAGTTCGATTTCCGAGGAAACTATAATTGTTTCGGATCAGTACCTACTTGCCTGTGTTTACCATCGCTTAATCCATCAACCACATTATATCCAAATAATTTAGATGTTCTTTGAAATCGACAAAAGGTAATATTTTTCTCCGTATGCAAAATATTGCAATATAAGTGCAGCTTATTATTATCATGGATATAACCAACATCCAAGCGTTCCGCTAAAAACATTAAACATATCATAATTTGTCCTATTCCGATCACTAACCATTGGCACACTGTTTGTGCCATAATACAATCTTTAAATAAAAACACAGCCTTTCATTATCCATAAAGCCCAGGAAGTCTCACCTAAAAATTTATATCTCTGACGCTTAGTGAAAATATCGCGAAATTTCTACATATATTATAAATCTAAATATTGCGATAAAATCGTGATTATCGTAAATTGATAACATTATCCGCGATAAAATAAAGCGGCAGAAAAGATGGATCATCTTACATTCTTATTACATTTCAACTTGTTCTTTAACAAACGAGATTTGACTTGATCTTGATCTTTCCCGCGCATCTTTGTTCGCGTGGAATCGGATAAACACAAAATATTTACAATATTTTTATACTTCCAGAGACTCTTCCGAAAAATAATAAATTAAAATACCTTCAACAACAACCTCTCTCCTCATTGGTACCTCCGCCATTCTACCCGGGACTCCCAAAAGGACATCCCAGGTTCCCTGTACAGCTCTCGTTGTTCTATCTAGGGTTACTGAACAAATAGGTCCTGGTACTAGAGCACTGTCAGAAAACGGTTTCGCAACTAAACAGTATGAATTGTCTTCAGTTGATAGATCTATTTTCACTTCACTTTTGCCATCCCGTAGGATTATTGGTGGAGCTATTGTCGGGGGTAGTTCTTCTGAAAAAATATTCGCTGGGCGTAAATAAAGAAAAATATATATGGACTATTTTGAGGCTTAAGATTAAATTAGGACTTGAGCCAGGAATATGGGGATACAGCTTTAAGGATGCAATTTTGCTAACCTCCAAAAAAAATTTTTTATGTGAATTTTCTTAAATCGTTATTAAATGGCCAAAGTAACCGCTAACCCTAAGGGTGTAGACAACACATTCAGACGTAGGTTACAAGCACAGTTCTTATGGGACTCTCCTGAAGACAAACTTTCTGCGACCCAAATTGCCGCTTGGCGGCGCGGCGTGGCAGTAGCGCCAAGGAATTCACACGTACCTATTACATGAACTTCCGTCCACCCCCTGACGGTGGTATTGTCACCAGTGGCAGTCAGCCGCCATCTTCCCGTATCACCGTCTCTGACTTCTGTCACTTTTACACTACAAGTTTCGTCCCATCGCGAAAATCTTAAAGCATTTTTAAAAATAAAATCGTTTTGACCAACAACAAATTATACATATTTATAAAAATTATTTGTATAATTTATTGTAACCGACATTTTACTTATTTTTAATAATTTAGTTTTTGTAGATTTATTTATTACAAGGTTGAATCTCTTATATCAAATCCAATACCTAATTTATTAAAAACGTTTTGACATACATAGCCTAAGATTCAGACCTGTCACAAATAAAGCAAAATATTCAAAAAATCTAAATTTACCATTGGTTGCCCATGAATTACAACAATTTAAGTTGGGCTATGATAGTATTAGATATACAGTTCATATGAGCATTGTTGGCCTCTCATCCCTGAAGACGTGGGTTCGATCCCCGGCTGTGTACCAATGAACATTCTTTCTATGTGCGCATTTAACATTCGCTCGAACAGTGAAGGAAAACATCGTGAGGAAACCGGCGTGCCTTAGACCCAAAAAGTCGATGACGGGAGGCTGATCACCTACTTGCCTATTAGATTAACAAATGATCACGAAACAGATACATAAATCTGTGGCCCAGACCTAAAAATTTTGTAGCACCTTTTTTTTACACAGTTCATATTAAAAAATCACCTGTTGCTTGGCGGCGAGTCAATATCAAAAGTTACACCACCTGGGGTTGTTATTACACACGACCCCTGATTCTCTAAGGTCACAGCCAATTTCATCAAAGCTTCATGACCTTCAGCTACTTGTAGGCTGTTGGGCCATCCCAAACCTTCTTGAGCAATTAATGGATCATTAAACTTCAGTGAAACAGCGCTCACGCATGTTAGGAAAGCAACTGCAAATACAATTTAGCTATATATTTTCGTTTACTCTTCGAATAATAATAGTAAATAATTTCTACAATTGCCATAAACGAATTTGTGCTCATTTCTGAAAAGCATTTGGAACGTCGAGTTGTGATAAATTCAATAATTAAATAATAACGTAACAAATCACGTTAAAACTTGTAATATAACAATGTAGATAACATTGTTATATTACAAGTTTGAACAAGGACTCACGAAAACCAAAGATAATAATTATTCTTTTTAATTTTTCTCGCTAAGAATCAACGTGACGCGTAGTATCAAGCCCAGATGGAAGTAATTTTCAAGAGTTAAGAAAAATTCAGTTTCGCCGTAAAATCCGGCGTAATCTGCAGTCTTTAACCACCAAAAAAGATTTTAATTTTGACTCACCATTAATTAAAATAGTACGTAAAAAAAACATTTTCACACTTAAATACTTGCAGTTGAGTCCATTTCATTACACCCAACAAAAAATTATGATGATTAAATTTACTTACACATATATAAGTCTCATAATTAAAATAAATATTATCAATAATAAATGGCATCGATGATTGCCGATAAAAAAACCCCTTAACATTGTAAGTTAAATCTTAGGATAATGATCACATATCAGATAATAATTAATCAAAATATATATTTAATTTTTAATGTCAAAAAGCAGCTTCATACAATCACGACGAATATAAAAAATCTTATCAGTATTAAAATTCACATGCTGCCTATTTCATTGTTTACAAAAACGTTGACTGAATTTAACTGAAACTAGGCAGTTTGTTCTTAAATTATCAGGAAATCCATTTAATATGAGATGACGCCAAAATCCAAATCGAAGGAAAGTTTGTGAATAGGTCCACCTAAATCGAATCCTGATATGAATCCAATTCATTATGTTGCGTTTGATTTACTTGCTATATAATAAATATAAAGGGGTTGGTTATATTATATTGCCTTATACACCGCGTCACACAACAAATAGCACATTATAGACAATCAACAGATTATTTTTAGTTTAAATAAAAACATATTTCCTAATATTGCGATTTGTCTGCCATCAAAGACAGTGGTGGCAAACACTATATATGTAATTTAACACAAACTAAAGTGACCAAGTACAAAGTGCACCACACACTAGATCTTCGTGGACAGCTGTCTTGCGTTAAATCCTCCAGATATTCTTGCCCGAGAGAATCTCAAATCAGCAACAATGGGAATAATGCAATAAGGTGCTAATTGACAGAACTATACTTATAATGAAATCGCCAAGGCTGGAAGCTGGAATGATCTGGAGTGAAGTCATGAGCTGCCGAAGACCGATCAGGCTGGTGTTCTATGCCGGATGCCCTCTTTCTGGTCACATATAATAGTGTCAACTATCTAAAATTCGTGCTGTCCACCATAGGGAGCGTTCAAGTATTACGTAATGCAATTTTTGGAGATTATTGACCCCCCCTTCCCTCCCTTTCCCCCCATTTATCTCGCCGTAACGTTTTTCAGTACCCTAGTACAGTACTGTACTCAAGTATAGTAAAACGTTTAGTGACCACCTTGTGTCTCTTTAGTTACTATTATGTGGTTAACGCAACAGTAACGTTTTACCAAAGGACCCCTTAAAAAATAATACGTAATACTTGAACGCTCCCATACTTGTTACTTCAATATTATTATCATTAAAAACATGATATTAGGGGCAATTTCAATATCACAACATCACCAGTCAAATTGAGATTAAGATAGGTTTAATTCGAAAGATTGCCTAAATGTATAAAGATTAATTGAGGCTCAAAATTTGTCTCAGCTTTTTTAACATACTTCATATTTGGATAATCTATATTTATATATATTTTCTAAAGTATGTCTATGGTTATGGGGGCGTCCATAAATTACGTGAGATGTTTAAGGGGGGGAGGGGGTCGAGTCAAATCTCATTTAATCTTACGTTGGAGAGAGGGGGGGTTCTGGGCAAATATCACGCAATTTTTTTCTGATTGAAAAAAAAAATTAGGAAAATGGTTGACCCTTAAGGCCATCTCTGCAACTTCCCTCTAACTCCATACCTAAACGATCAACATTTCAATTATTTGGTTTTTGAGCTCTTCGAGCTCAATAGTACGAATTCTGTGTTATTTTGAGTTCTCCGAGCTCAAAAAGATAGCTTCTTACGCGATTACGTAAGAAACCCACATTTTGAAAAAATCTTACGTGAGATTGGGGGATGGGGGAGGGGGTTGAATAAAATCTCACGACATCTCACCAGGGGGGAGGGAGGTACAGAAAATTTAAAAAAACACCTCACGTAATTTATGGACGCCCCCTATGATACGGTAACTCTATAATCTATTTCCAAGCAAAAACGTAAATAACTATAAGAATAATATAGATAATTTGGGGGCCTCATAGCCTAGCGGTCTTATTAAGTGGCAGCTAGGTGAGGGGTACCGGGTTCGATTCCCGGTTCGAGGGCAAGTTTTAATTTAATTCAAATTTGTTCTCGGCCTTTGGGAGGGTTGTGCGGTACCGGGCGAGTGCTTAAACCGTACATAAAGGGCACTGTCGAATTTCTAAAAGACGAGCACGAATTATAAAAAGTCCTATACTTGACGCTGGCTAATGCACAAATCGTGCCAGAGCCATAAAAAAAAAAAAAAAATAGATAATTTAAAAAAAACTTTACATTGAAACTTTTAATGTAGAACCCAGGATACATTTACAACATACAACTTAAAATACTTTGAGATCTATATTTTAATTATTTATATTCACAACCAGTTTATCTGTTACTTTTTCTTTGACGGGCAAGTGAGGTATAACATCATCTGCATCCTTCATGAGTGATGTGGGCATCTGAAAAATTCACACAAGATTTATTATTATGAGTAAGGTTTCTATGAATTAAGCATAGTTTCTTGATTACATATTGTCACTTTATATAACAAATAGCCACCAAGTAGATACATAAATATAAAAACAGTATGTATATGATTAAACAAAATATAACATTAAAAAATTTACAACTTACATTTAAATCCTGCGCCCTTGCTTCTTTGGCAGTAAACTCCCTTAATACATAATCTGTATTGATTAGATGAAACATTCTGGTCTCAAAGGAACGAACAAGGACATCATCTACTCTTAAGAAATATCTCAACAGGACATACCAATATGTTGGCATCACTCTCTGAAAATGATTTCATATACTGTTATTATATTATTAATAAAGACTTTATTATATTTAGTAATGTTATACAATTTCCATTACTAGTCATACAATAATATAATATGTTGGAACAAACCACTTTGATAAATTTGATTTTTTATTCAATGTAACATTTTTTATTTTCAAGGAATTTTTAAAAGAATTTCCTTTCATAAACTTATTACACATTTAACAATAACACTACTTTACTCACACTCACACTCCTGTCTGACAAATATATATGCCAATATAATATGGATATACAAACAGCATACTGTGTATTAGTTATAATACCTTTGATCGTACATTTCCACAAATTTTTAATTTGTATTAAAAGTCTATACTTACAATTTTTACTGATAGCTTTGAAATCCCATGATCATGTAATTCATCTTCAAATAATGTAAGATCATGATAGAATAATATTTGTTCTTTCTTTTTTAGCAGTTCAAAGTCAATTGTCTCTTGTGAATCTTGGACGGTTAAATTGCCAGACAAGGTTCCTTTGTAATCTGTTGAAAAGGTCCAATCAAAAGGTTGTTTCTTTTTTGTTGCACCTGGCCTGAAAGATATGGTATAAAACAATTTAATATTTTAGGCACTAATCTTTTTATTTTACTACTTCAAATTATTTATATATATATATTATATGATAATGAGCATTTTTTTATTTTAAATATGGAATGCACCAAATTTATACAAAATCTCACCTGCTTTCTAGCCATTCTTCTGCACATGATACTTCAATAGCCTCGGTTCTAACTGACACTCTTTTTAATGCATCAAGAGGATTAAACTCTATCTTAGCACCATTGGTATGCTGTAACATGAGAATATTCTTTGGAAATATCATATCAGGAAAATGTGGTATGCTTAATTCTCTGCTGTATCTGAAATTGATTTTTTTAAGAATTAATTTTACAACTGTAGATTATTTAGCGCATAAATATTTTGATTTAGAAAATTAATAATACTTTCTATTTTAACAAAATGTAACTTACATACAAAACTGGCAGAACTGATCATCATCTCGTTCACAAACAATTTTGGTTGAGCACATACTTGGAAGAATACAGCTTACATCAAATGATATATGCCATGGTCCAAACTCTATGGACTTCGCGTTTGAAGTGTATCCTCTCGAGTCAACTTGATTGAACTGTTTATCAGAATAAAAGAAATATAACATAGACTGGCCCGTCGAAAAATAGATAATATTGTATTTTTATTTCTAAATTACCTCGGTCAACAAATGCGGAAAATGACTACTCATTTCAATGATATAGCAGCCTAATTTGCATGTGAAAGAAAGATAATTAATCTCTTTTTAATGAATTTGTTATTTATTTCATTGATTAAATCATTAACTTTCACAAAACCAAACAATAAAATCACAAATTAAATCTAAACGTCAAACTAAGAGGTCAAAGCTCTCGCTATTACACAGATCAAGTAGTTAGTAGACCCTAGGCCTAGAGCTACAATATACAGAGAAAGATAAGAATCCTGGCACAGCACAATCCTGACAATAAAACAAATTAATCTGGCGCTGAGACAAGACGCCTTAACATAATATAATTAATAATGAGTGTGGAAAGTTGAAAAGTAAATATATGTATGAATATACTATTCGTGTTGACGGAGAACTGAGACAATACGCATTAACGTATAATGTTTGTAGAAAGTTGAAAAGTAAATTTGTATGGAAATGACAGTTCGTCTCAACAATACCGCTATTTCGTTAGCCGTGGCGTGAGACAGGCTACAATTTACAATAACCGTCGCCATGACAGTGCTACGAATAAAGGTGCGCCTACACGGCTAAAATTGCTCAATTCCAGTCAATACTCGTCAACTATGACGTCACGACTACATCAAGCAATTTACGGCAACGGCAACAAGCATCAATACTGCGCAATACAATCTTGAGCGATATGGCGCAACTTCATCAACTAGGCAATACTGTCCTACACGAGCAATTCAGTATTCGCTCGCAATAGACGACATTGTTCTTGCTGCGGCGGCTTGTAGCGCTTTTTTTATTATTAATCAAAAACAAAAAAGAAAGAAAAGGAATAGGCGTATCTGGGTGCGATCGTTTTTGGTCGCAATTTTCATTGTGTAAAGAATTAGATGATATATTATTCAAAAACTTTACTAGAATGTCGCGAACAAACTTTGAATAACTTAACATAAAGTAATTAGAAATTATTATTATTTAGACCTCTCGCTCTCCCCGCGGAAGCAAGACGGCAAGCCGCAAAACTAACATGTGCGAATAAAATATATACAAAAATTGCTAGGAATTTCCAAGTCCATTGGATATTCGTCAATTCGTATCTGCGACATTGAGCAATATTAAATATCTGGAGCAATTTGAAGCATTATCACCGAAATAATTTATTGAAATTTATTGAAATTGCTCCATTAATTGCTCCAGATCGGTCCATTCGTTTCGCCGAGCAATTATTGCCCTCGTGTAAGCGCACCTTTATACGCTAAAGTAAATATTTTTAATTAAGGGTTTGTTCAGTTTTAATGTGAGGATAATTTAATAGATGCATATAAATGTAAAAGTTTCAAGAATATCAGCAAATTAGTACAAGAACAGTTTTCATTCCCTTTCCACTAAGTTTTACTAATACATATATATATATATATATTTAAATTTCTTTATATTTTTACAAAATAATATAATATTATCACAATATGTTACATTAGAAAACCGCTGTGGTTTGTATTAATGTAACCATAGCAGTCTTGTTTAGGAGCGCGACAAATGCATATAAAAGTAGTTTTTTTTAATTGACTGTTTATGTTAGTTTGTCGTTAGGCAATCTAATATCTGATTGGGTAGACCAATATAACATTCTCGTGTCACAATGTTCGTTCCCATACTCCTCTGAAATGGCTCAACCGATTCTTATGAAATTTTATATTCATATTCAGTGGGTCTGAGAATCAGCTACTATCTATATTTCAAACCCCTAAGTGATAAGGGGTGTCTACCCCAAATTTGAATTTTTATTTTTATAGAAATATAAATATACCTACATACAACCCCTAATTTTCACTCCTCTACGATCAACCCCTATTTTTTATTATTGTAGATACCGAGTTATTTTTATTGAACTAAAAAAATGTTTCCAAGAAACATATACATGGCAAAACGACGTTTGCCGGATCAGCTAGAAGTTTTCTAAAATTTGAACATTCTAGTTGCTCCTGTAAATTAAAACTGAGCTATTGCCAAATCATACGATTTTTTTAATTAAACTTATATCAGTGTAGAAAAAGAACTATAATATCTTAAAAATTAAATGTTTAGTTACATCGTTTACATATGATACGCCCATTGCATTAGGGGCACCCTTTTAAAATTAATTCAATTAATATAGGTAGAAAGTATTTTATGAATAATATAATAAATAATATTAAAGAAGTAACTGGCTTTATGGGTCACGCCTGTCGTGTAGTGACTTGGTCTCAAGCCCAAGACAAGTAAACAAATACGATAATCTCAATACTGTCAAGTTATTTAATTCATAATGCCGATTGGCCACTGGCCACAATTTTTTAATTTAAAAAACAGCAACAACACACATGGAGAAAAAAAATCAATAATAATCTATCCCTAGACAAAATTCTTTCTTTCTGCTGTACAGTTGCATTAAGGGAAAGAAAGAAGAAATAAATATATTGTTTAATCTATCCTACGTACATGCCAAATCCGCAATTTTATCAAATGAGTTTAATTGTATAGCGTTGTCTTCTGTCAATATAAAAAATCGAAATGAATAGATTTTCCATGAATGAAACTATGAGGAAAAAAAAGGGTGAGACCAACCAAAAACCATTGGCATAATAACCTTTTAGGTCTGGTTTCGCGATCATTTGTTTTCTCTAACAGGCATATAGGAGATTACCCTTCTCTGCCTGACTCACATAAGTATATTTATGTCTTGGCACGGCATTTAACTTCACAAGGGGGCCGTGAATTCAATGGCTGATCACTTGGCGGAAAGCGAACAATGCTGTTACGCTGTGGGGTTAAAGAGGGTATGCACAGCATCGATTCCCACATTACCCTCCACCAAGAGGAAGCCGTGTCGCAGAAGGGTACGCGTAAAGGATTTTCCCGCGAAATAAGGTACTTAACTTCATAAGTTTTGCTGGGGGAAAAGTTAACGTTAACTCGACAAGGAACGAAAATATATAACAGTACTAGTACTCTGTACAACTACATATCTTAATTCATCCTAGTCTGTGCTTGATTCTAGATTTATAGCAATATGGCCGACTTTTACCGGTCAGTTTTTGTGTTTTGAAAGCTACAAGAAAAGTGAACTCATCTATATAAAAATAACTTAAATAGCGCGTTTCTTTAAAAAGTTAATTAAATTGAAAATATAATAATAATATAAAATTATCAAACATGGAAGCTCTTATACCAGTTATTAATAAATTGCAAGACGTCTTCAACACTGTTGGAGCTGATGCCATCCAATTACCTCAGATTGTCGTCTTGGGAACTCAGGTTCACATGCTTTTACTTTCTTAAATTCCTTTAATTTCTTTTCAAGAAGCTAGTGAAAGACTTTTTCATTTTCAATCGATAAAAACAAGAACAATGGTTATGTAAATATGTATGTCATCTCTGATCATTGTTCTCATTTACTTATTCATGAAAATAACTGTAACTGCTATTTCTCTATGAAATATGAAATTAAGAACTATTTAACTTTCTATCATCGCAAAAAATTTTAGTTTAACCAAATTATTAATCATTACATTTGTAATTCTATCTTCTATCCTCATTTTTAACCAATTGTTATGTTTAGAGCTCTGGAAAAAGTTCAGTTATCGAAAGTCTCGTTGGACGTTCTTTCCTACCACGGGGTCCAGGAATTGTGACTCGACGACCGCTTATTCTTCAATTAGTTTACAGCCCTAAAGATAGCAAAGAACACCGGTCTGCTGAAGAAGGTAAAACAAACCCTCAACCTTTAAAGATATATTGTCATAAAGTCTAGAAGAATGCCTATACATCCAAAATTCACAATCAAATTTTATTTTATAAGCTGCTATTCACATTTTCCTTTGTTCTACAAAATGGTTGCATTACAAGTTCAGTGAATCATGATTGTTTACATTTTTATCAAGAAAATGAAGTCTTTATTGAAAAGCAATACTTATTATGTATTGTATGTAGTCTCAATGTCATGCACACAATGATAATTATATTTAATCCCACACTATTGTGTTAACTAGATCAATAACAACATCCTCATTCATTGGAATATTGCATGATTTAGTAACATGCAAAAAACTTCCTTATATTGAATGTAACTGGCTTATTTAAATGCTTCTATTAATAATGATTAAAACACAAATCACTTTTGCATCACATGATTGAAATAGGGATTTTATTTTGAAAACTTATGTGGGGGGGTTCATTTTAATTCTTCTCTTACCACTTGGTTATAAATAGCCTGTCATATCATAAATATATTAAAACCAACATAATCATAAGATGTCTCACCATAGGCAGTATTAAGCTATAACATTTAGTTCAATATTTAGTATTATTTTAGTCAAGAATATTATTTAAATATAATGATTCAATAATGTTGTAATGAGTTGTATAGTTTATTTTAATTTGTAATAATAATAATAACTTCAGTAATTAGAAGCCAGCAGGCTGGGACTCAGTCATGGAATCCCCTTTCTCAGCTATCTAAATCATTTATGTCAGGTTAGTGTAGATAAATGTCCTATTCAATAGACTTCTTATTCATTAATAATCAATAATTACTCGTTGATAACTGGCTTCATACTAGTAGAAACCAATTTTGTTTTGTTTAGTATTTTCCTAGCATAATAAGTTGCAGGTTGTGTTACTTGTCTATTGTGTTAGTGTTTTCAACTGCATATTTTTATAGTAGTTTATAAAATTTTATTGATAGCAATATGATTACATATTAACTAGATTCACTGGAGGACTAAGATAACTAGTAATATTTTTAATTTAAGTTTAGTTTATAGAATAAAAATTAATCACCTTATTTCACTAAGTTAATATATCATAAAACAACTAGTGAAAGCAGAGTAATGATTTAATCTCTATTGTTTCAGGTACAGTAAATTTAGAAGAATGGGGCAAGTTTCTGCATACAAAAGAAAAGATTTACACAGATTTCGACCAGATACGGGATGAGATTGACAGGGAAACAGATAGGATGGCTGGAAACAATAAAGGCATTTGTCCCGAACCAATAAATTTAAAGATTTACTCAACCAAAGTTGTAAATCTTACACTTGTAGATCTTCCTGGTATTACCAAGGTAAACTGGTGTTTCCTTTATAATTTCCTTATGTATATGATACTTGTTATAATATGTTGTTTTATATATAAAATTACACTGACATCTATTAATCTAACTGTAATGTTTTTTAAATATCTGCACATTTCATCATATTTATTTTAACTATTATTGTATATTTAATTACATACTATGCATTCAAAAATGATTTAATGTATCAATATAAGTCTAAACACCTGTTAAATTGTAATAATAACATAAATTTTGTATTCATTTAAAACATTCAAATATTTTGATCAATCATTACAGGTGCCGATAGGTGATCAACCGGAGGATATTGAAAATCAAATAAGAAACCTCATTTTTAAACACATTGCCAATCCAAACTCTATAATATTGGCTGTGACAGCTGCTAACACAGATATGGCCACTAGTGAGGCTATCAAAATGGCTAAAGATGTGGACCCTGATGGCAGAAGAACTCTAGCTGTTGTTACCAAACTTGACCTGATGGATGCAGGTAATAAATTTAATTTCCAGCTTTATATTTTCTTTATGTAATGAAGACATGAATATTTTTTTATATATTCACACATTTGCAAACCATAAAATTCAGTAACCAATAGAAAGTCAGGTGTTATAGCTTATAAGTGATCTCTTTCAGGCAACTTGTTGTTACGAAAAATTGCAAATTGTAAATGTCTAATCTAATCTGTCAAAAATAAAAATCAGTGGTGCTATAACCTCTTTAGGTCTTGGCCTCAGATTTCTGAATCTGTTTCACGATCATTTTTAGATCTAATAGGCAAGTAGGTGATCAGCCTCCAGTGCCTGACACACGCCGTCGACTTTTTGGGTCTAAGACATGGCGGTTTCCTCACGATGCTTTCCATCACCGTTCGAGCAAATGTTAAATGCGCACATAGAAAGAAAGTCCATTGGTGCAAAGCCGTGGATCGAACCTACGACCTCAGTTATGAGAGTCGCACGCTGAAGCCACTAGGCCAACACTGCTCTCAATCTTAAATCTTAATAAAAGATAAAAATTTGTCATGGTAGGGGAGCCCAAGAGGGGATTTCGGGATTTACTAAAGCGTGGCAGATTAATATATAGGGGGATACCTTGTACCCGGTTAAGTACCTCCACAAAATATGAGGCCCATATATAAGGCCGCCCGTGAAGGAGACAGGATCAGATTAGTAAAAAAAAATTGACCATCAGAAATTCCCGAGCGCGTCAGATTAAGGTAGGGTGAGTTAATTACATCCTAAAAAGTGTATATTCCACTAATCTGACAATTTGAAAGTGACGTAAAAAAAAGGGGAGGGCAACAAAGTTGTAAAAAAAAAACGTCATCTCGACATTCTCGAGCGTAGCTAATTTTTTTTTTATTTTGAAGGAAATAATTCAAGAATAATGAAAAATATATCTAATAAACGGCGTTCTAAATATTTCCCTCAAAATTACATTTCCTGTGAATTTGAACCGATTCGGACCGATAGATTTTGAGAAATTTTGAAAAATCTTAAAAAAATAAGATTTAGAAAAAGTGTTTTTTCGGGATTACTCCGAAATTTGTGGTTCGATCAATTAAAAGGATGGATAAGGATGATAAAACTGCGTCGAATGCCGCCAACCGCGTGAAAATTGCTTGATCCATTCAAAAGTTATTGCGGTTTGAAAATTCCAAAAATAGTGTTCTATGAAACTTCTATCAGACTTTCGAGCTGGGAGAGCTCAAATGCATAGAAATATTATTTATCAATAAGCGCCCAGGAATGGAATTAGCGGGAAGTTGCAGGGATGGGTGAACCGTTTTTCTAAATTTTTTTTGTCAGATCAGGCGAATCCCTCTAGATAATCGTCAGATTATGAGACAGTACGTTTAGAACATAAAGATGAACCACATATATCTTAATCTGACGCGCTTGAGTATTTCGAAATTGCGATTTTTTTTGCAAATTATGAAAATGGCCGTGGGTTTGCGTCCCATCGAAATCGTCAGATTAGTGAATGAGAGCTTTTTTTTTGGTGCACTTAACACTCCCTTAGAAAATCTGACGCGCTCCATAATTTTTATTTTTTTTTCATTTTCAACCCTTTAATACTACCACCCGCATCATGCAAACGATCAGATTAACATACGTACATTATTAAAAATACGTAGGGCATTGATGCTAACAATATCTGACGCGCTCGAGGATGTCCATGCAACAGTTTTTTTTTACATATTTAACAATCTATAGCCGCTTCCCCCACCGATGAAAAGGTATATATCATATAACATTTTTTTCTTCTTATTATCTAAGCTTTGCATCCCAATAGGTCTCTACGACGCTCGAGTAAATCCCCATTTAGCATCGTGGGCTCCCCTACCATCAAGTCAGTTTTCAGTGTTTCAGTTTCATTTCAGTTGACATTTGTGAAGGGAATTTTGATTAATCATGATGATTTAATTTCAACATGCTTCTAGTCAACACATTATTTTTGTTATGTGTTTAGATCCAAATTTGTTCCAGTTCTTATTCTAAAATGCAAACAATTTAAATCTAGCAAGACTTGCATTTTTGATACTTATATTTAGATATATTGGCAAGATTCTATCTTAAGATATGATTTGATATATAGCCCATTTTAAATGATACAAAATTATATCAACCTACTAAGCCATCTTTTAACATTGTATTTTTAATAGTTCTGTTTTTTTATTTCAGGAACTGATGCGATAGATATATTGTGTGGACGCGTGATTCCAGTTAAACTTGGAATCATTGGTGTCGTCAACCGATCGCAGCAAGACATTATCGATAAGAAAACTATTACGGTATTATTTTTATAACTAAATTTTTCACAAACTAGTTAATACTTTTGTATGTATTTTTCAAACCCCGGTCAGACATAATTCTGTAATTTTCATGATTATTCAAAATATTATTTATTAATTTAGATAAAAATTGCTTCTAATTGAACAATTACTGCCAGTTCACAAAGCAAAAATAAATGGTCATGAACTCTCGTCACTCTTTTGGTTGGCCAAGATTTTCTTTACAAAACGTTGCAACCATTACATCATGTTCCTCGTGACATAATATTAACAAATTGGTCCATCCATGTTAATATATCTTTATAATAATGGTTATAATGTACAGTCTTAGTATGCATACGTTTTGTTGTAATAGATCTAAGGAGTGACGGAGAGCTTATTAGATCTCTCTCTAATAAGCTCTCAGCCCATCTGCTCCTCAGCATAATGCTGAGCCAAAGCCAATTACAACCACACATGCATTACACACTTAAAACGAACCTAAAAAAAAGTTGTTATCTCTCATTCTTTTTTTTATTTTTATTATTGTTATTTTGTGTGTTTCTGTGTGTGTGTGTTTGTTAGTAATAAATGTTATGTCTATGTCTATTGCCAGTTCTACTCGTCCGTTATATTTGAATTGAGAACTGGCAGTAAATTTAAATTTAGAATAATTTCAATTTTTTTTTTATTATTGTTATTTTGTGAGTTTCTGTGTGTATTTTGTTAGTAATAAATGTGATGTCTATTGCCAGTTCTACTCGTCCGTTCTATTTGATTTGAGAACTGGCAGTAAATTTAAATTTAGAATAATTTAATTTTTTAGATAGTTTTCAATTCTATTGTATTAATTCACCACGACTGCTGCAAACTTTAAACTTCGTTGAATAATAATTTCCCAGGTTAACTTAATAGTTAAAAACAATAAAAATAACATGTTCGTATTAAACTTGTAGGATGCGCTAAAAGACGAAGCGACGTACCTTCAAAGAAAATATCCGACGATCGCAACTCGGAATGGTACTCCACACTTGGCCAAGACACTCAACAGACTACTTATGCACCATATAAGAGACTGCTTACCAGAACTTAAGGTAAAAAAAATGCAAAAAGCTAGAAATCCTTATTTTTTTTTAGCTCACGAAAAGAGAGTACCAATTCGTGAAAGTCCGACAACGCACTTGCGAGCTTTCTGGCAATGTGACTGTCCATGGGTGGGCGGTATCACTTAACATCGGGTGAGCCTCCTGTCCGTTTGCGTCCTTTTACAAAAAAAAATCTTTTTATATACTGTTGGCCTAGTTGATTCAGCGTGCGACTTTCTTCCCTAAGGTCGTAGGTTCGTACCCTTTGCACCATTGGATATTTTGTCTATGTGTACAATTAACACTAGCTTGTACGGTGGAAGAAAAACATTGTAAGGTACTAACTAAGGCTAACTAATTAACTGGTCTTAGACCCAAAAAGTCGACATGAGGAACAGAAGGCTGATCACTTATTAAGAAAAAATATTACGAAACAGTTAGAAATCTGAGACACAAAAAAATAGAAATCTGAGACACAAAAAATAGAAATCTGAGACACAAAAAATTTAAATCTGAGACAAAAAATATAAATCAGAAAAATTTTTATTGCCACCGTTTTTTTATATATTTGTTCTTATTATACAAGACAACGACATGTCATAGAATGAAAGTGCCATGCGCCAATTAAGCCAGTAAATGCAGTTCCAGGCAGTCAAACATCACCCTTGTTAATGATCATCTAAATTTATTTCAGGTTCGCGTAAATGTAATGATATCCCAATTCCAATCCCTCCTTAACTCGTACGGCGAGGATGTGTCAGACAAATCGCAAACATTGCTACAGATTATAACAAAGTTCGCCAGCGCCTACTGTTCGACGATAGAGGGCACTGCACGCAATATTGAAACTACCGAGCTCTGTGGTGGAGCGAGGATATGTTATATTTTCCATGAGACCTTTGGCCGTACTCTGGATTCCATACATCCTTTAGTTGGTAAGTGCTTTACGCTTTACTCGCGTATGCGTGTTCTTCCCACGAGAATGTTAGTGTGTGCTTCGATTCACCATGCTTCCTGCTGATAGTGGACAAATCTTTGTTTTTAATTTATTAATTATAAATTACTTAAGATGTCACGTGGAAGAAGGTGTAATGGTAAGGTGTAATTGCCAGTTCTTCTCTTCCGTTCGTTCGTTCGTTTCAAAAAAGAAATATACTATAAATGCTTTTAATTTTCCATTTACTGTCAGTTCTCAAATCAAAGGCGTAATTAGATCAGGGAGGATAATTAATTAAAAATGTGACTTAGCTGTGGTGTTTAATAATAACTAATAGCCAATTTTTTTAGGTTTAACTCGTATGGACATATTAACTGCTATACGCAATGCAACTGGACCTCGGCCTGCTTTATTTGTACCGGAGGTGTCATTTGAGTTGCTTGTTAAAAGGCAGATAAGAAGACTGGAAGATCCCTCGCAGAGATGTGTAGAACTTGTAAGTCTAATTTGTTTTATTTATTATATTTAATCAACACTAGCTATCTGTCCGAGCTTTCCACATTTTGCAAATACAGTTACATAACGCGGTAGACTCCGACCGCGTCATAGGAATCGCGTTGTAGGAGTATTGTTGTAAAATGGTTTATTTATAACAATGCAAAAACTAGGAACACGAATTTAATAAAGTTATTTAGTTTAATTTTATAACACAATTGCAACAGGTGCAAAAGTACGCAAAACCAATTATGGACTTGATAAATCATTATAAATTTCACACAACAGAAATATAACTTGAGAAATATCCGCGTTATAATCGGCAAATTTCGCGTTATATGGGGTATGGAAAACGCGTTATAGGGGGATTACTGTAATATGATACTCAGTTATAATGAATTCTAATCAAAATTTTGAGATTGGTTGATGTATGTTTATTCGTTACGAATAAACAAAATTACAGATTTCTATAATATTTAACTATTGTAATTATGTTTCTTTGAAATGTTTATTTATTTAATTATAAGTAATCTTACAGCTAACATACATAGTATTATAAAACAAACACTTAGACAGTACAGAAAGCCAAAACAGATTACATAGATAAACAATATACGAAAAATAAAATAAATAAGCACATCAATAGACAAAACCATATAAATAAAACTGAAATTGAACATTTAAAACAATAAATAATAGTTAATATTACAAGTCACAACCTAAATAAAATCAGAGTCTTCCCGCCTCTTCAAATACTTTCTTACATCTTTGGTGAGGTGGAAAATATCAATATCCTCATAGTGTCATAGTTAGATAAAACCCGAAGCATTGGTGAATTATGCAGGTAATTCGAGATCGTACGAGGCACATGGAACAATTTTGTGTGTCTTGTCGCATAAGGAGGAATTTTAAGAGAAATTAACGACAGCAAATAGGGGCTGTCGATCCGCCCATTAAGAATAGCGTGTTATTTATTATGATGAGTATGGTCTAAGATCCCGATATACAACGACCTTCACCGAGATGCTTATTTAATGAAACGCATTTTATATTTAATTTAATATGTCAATAAATATAATCCATATGGGTTGCCTAGCAAATTTCAGTCCAGAGTATTTTAATTAATATTAAAAAAAAATATTTTTTCAAACATTTCACCGGTATGATTATTAGATAAATTCTATACCAATCGAAAGTACGAAGCCCATAGAATATGCAAACGTTAGGTTGTTTTTAATCAATTAATTATTCATGTGTATATTTTTTATGTGACACTAAAGTATATATACATCTTTAGTAAAAAAGAAAGTTATAGTGATACATATATAATTGATTAAAAATATTGATTGAAAAAAATTAAAAAAAATTAACTAAATGCAAATTATAAATTTTTTTTTTTAAATATTAATTAAACATACTCTGGACTGAAATTTGCTAGGCAACCCATATGGATTATATTAATTGACATATTAAATTAAATATAAAATACGTTTCATTAAATAAGCATCTCGGTGAAGGTCGTTGTATATCGGGATCTTATACTAGTATAAGTAGATATTATAAATATTTTTTCAAGTCAAATGTTTTACCTTTATTTTCTTATTAAAAATCAAAACAAGTTAGTAGATCCTCCTAAGGAGGTCTTTCAACCCCTTTCATTACGTCTAATATTTATATAAATTCCCGCAATCCGTTTCTTTCAATAATTCAGAGCGACTCATTGGTCTAGTGGTTAGTACCCCTGACTGCGAATCCATGGGTCCCGGGTTCGATCCCCGGCTGAGACGAACATCGATGTGATGAGCATTTGGTGTTGTGCTTAGGTCTTGGGTGTTTAAATATGTATTTATATGTCTATCTATCTATAATATGTAAGTATATCCGTTGCCTAGTACCCATAACACAAGCTTCACCAGCTTAGCATGGGACTAGGTCAATTGGTGTGAATTGTCTTAAAAAAAAAAAAAGCAAGACCACTGGTTAGTAAGTAATAAATAAATCAGTAGCGCTACAACCTCTTTAGGTCTTGGCTTCAGATTTCTGAATCTGTTTCATGATCATTTTTTTAAATCTAGGCAAGTAGGTGATCAGCCTCCAGTGCCTGACACACGCCATCGACTTTTGGGTCTAAGACATGTCGGTTTCCTCACGATGTTTTCCTTCACCGTTCGAGCAAATGTTAAATGCGCACAGAGACAGAAAGTCCATTGGTGCACAGCCGGGGATCGAACCTACGACCTCAGCTGTTAGAGTCGCACGCTGACGCCACTAGGCCAACACTGCTCAACCACTGGTTAATAACACTATATAATAAATACATAGGTCCACGAAGAAATGCAGCGTATAGTACAACATTGTGGCACTGAAGTTCAGCAGGAGCTGTTGAGGTTCCCGCGGCTGCATCAGCGCATAGTTGACGTCGTTACCCAGTTGCTGAGGACACGGCTGCCTGCCACCAATGCTATGGTAAGCAAAGCTTAGATAAATTGTATTTAACTCAACAATAACTCAAATTTTAAAGCTATTTTCTTCAATATGAAGCAAAAGCAAAAAGTTGTGGCCGTCTTGGGTAGTTCTAATGACGTCACACGGACGACTCTACTAAAATTAGTCAATTTTAATTTATTTCTCAGTCCATGGCCGCCTTGAAATATTTGTATGTTCAATAGTACAAACAAGATTTAAATCTGTTATAGAGTACAAACGTAACCAAAGAAAATATAAAAATGAATTATTTATTTATAGGTATAGACATAATTGTAACAAAAAATATTATAAAATTAAAAGTGATTTTATATATTTACCAGAAAACTTTTTGCTACATTAATCTTCTCTATATACGTTTTCAAGTATAGTATCCCCATACGCTTCATAAATATGTACGTCGCTCTCCGGCGAAGAGTCGAGAGAGAGAGCAAGGGGGAGTATTAACTTACTACAAATTTCCATAAGATTCTACTGAAATAATGCATAGTGCGAGGGGGATTATTATTTATATACAACTAGCTGACCGGCCAAGCGTTGCTGTGGCTAAGGTTTTTGTTATATTACATAGTAGTAAAGGGAAACGGTAGGAGAACACCAGTCATGGGGTCCTTCATGCTTTTTTGGTGGTAATGCCATTAACTTGTAGCTTATGTGAAACGTTAGTAATTTCAACACAGCGCCATCTATTAGAATTGTGACTGTCAAATAATAAACAAAGATTTTGCAATAAAATATTATTGCGGGTATAAATTGAGATGTAAGCTATCCTATCTTTTAAGTTGGATCAAACAAACTACACACAGTGTGCAAATTTAATTGATATCGGTTTGGTAGTTTAGGAGTCCATAGCGGACAAACAACGTGACACGTAATTTATATATATTAAGATGTACAATTTTCTTATAATTTTTCAGGTGGAAAACCTAGTGGCTATCGAACTGGCGTACATAAACACGAAGCATCCGGATTTCCACCGCGAGGCGGCTCTGGTGTCAGGTTTACTGAAAAGTACGGACGGGTTTGAAGAATTTCGCTCCAAACCCAATCGACCAGCTCCATCACCGGTACATAATATGATTAAAGTAATTTTTTCAAATTATTTCAGGGTGTCACTAACATGGTAATATTAACACACCAATGTTGACTAAGTAACTAATAAATAAATACTGTGTAAACTCTATATAACGACACTCAAGGGTCTGTACCTATGGGAGCGTTCAAGTATTACCCTTGTAACGCGCCTTAACGTTTTTCCTGTACCCAATAGTAAAACGTTTTGTGACCACCAAAGTGACTCTTTATACCTAAAAGTTACCAATATGTGGTGTAAAGTACTGGAAGTTGAAAATAATATTAACAGTAACGCGTAATGCGATCTCCGCCCCGTATCGTAACGTTTGATCGCTCCCTATTTTGACGGTACAAAGAGTTGCCGTTAAATGAAAAAAAAAAATCTGTATTAGAAAAAGAAAGTTTATTTCAGACTAGTGTTGGTAATTACATAAAAACAATTCATATTTGAACGCTATTGCGTTGTCTGTTATTTTTGTACTGTACCAGTAGTTAGGTTGTATTTTTTACTGATTTAATTCTTATCTTGCGATATTGAGGCATCTGATATCTGACATCGTGATAAAGCACATCCAAGCATGCGCAATTTGTAAAAAAAATAACGGATTTCTTGGAAAGTTCGGTACTTATGACGACAGCCGTGTTTATTTCTCGCTAGGACAATAAACCGACAAAACAACGTACACAGCTCCGCAGTTTTAACTTATTTCGGCAACTTAAAAAGTACTTTTTAGTATTTAGTAGTCGTAATTGAGGGTGGGTGAAATGCTATGTAGAGTGTAGCATTGTACGTAAGACAAACTAAACCAACTAAAGCCGAGTGATTCCGGGGATTGTCGTTAAATCGAGGGATGTTACGTAGAGTTTACACAGTACTACTACTACTAATTAACCGAGTCAAAAAAGATCGATCCCAGTCGATTGAATTGTTCAAAATTGTTAAACTATAAATTGTTTAAAACGTATTCATACACATGATTCGGTTTTATTTCTGAAGGCTATTAAATGCTTGGATATCGCTTTGAAATTAAATTGCCGTGACAAATCATTCTTTGTAAGACCATTGTTTTTATGATGAATGTCTAACAAGTCTAACAAAACTAACTAAATCGCTTATAGTTAAAATTAACTTAGAATAATAGTAAGTTAAAAATGAATCAGTCAAAAATTAGCTTCGGGATAATTGTTGTACTGAAATTGCAAATATATATGATGATTGATGGCAAACAAAAAATACTTCTTGAGGTAAAATAACACAAGGCAACATTAAGGAGTGTCTGGTTAGTTAAAAAAAACAAAAGAATGTCGGTCATGTATCCATAGACTATAAAGTTGCAAGTTATTTTAATAGGATTTTTTTTGTATAGTTATTCCTTCGCCAATTGCTCCGGCAAATGGGTGAAAGGGGGTCCACTTTGGCGTTTCTAGCTAATGTTTGGGATGTTCAGGTAATGTCATATCATCCACATGTGCTTTCTAAAGTGGGCTCTCTTTCACATTACGAGTAACGGAACGTTAATATCACCAATAGTTAAAACTTGGGGTATGCACTTTGGTGGATTTTTTGTGGGAAGTATTTTGATGTTCAGTTATTCGTAATATTATAATTTGAAAATCCACATTTACAATGTTTTAAGATTTAGATTTTTCACAGATTCATTGTTGAATGAAATGCATGATTTTGGTTTTATTTAATGCAGGCATGAGCCGGTACACGAAAACCGAGTTTCATACTACTATCGTACTTAAAAGCAGACAAAATAACATACATCTTAAGCGGAAACTACCTAAAATTTAGCAGTTGTTCGTTTATCGTTAACAGTCGATAGCTGCACTTTGAGAGTGCAAACTAAAATGAAGAACGGAATTGTTGTTGAAATAGCAAATAAAATAACCAATCTTTGACCAGAATCAAACACGACATTATATTAGCACGATATTATAACGATCATGAAATTAGTGCTAAGAAATTCTATATTACTCGTACCCATTGCTTGTAAGCTTTTCCTTACCCAATTCATGAAAATTAATTAGAGATGAAGGTAAAGGGGGCGTCCATATATTACGTGAGGTGTTTAAGGGGGGGGAGGGGGTCGAGTCAAATCTCATTTAATCTTACGTTGGAGAGAGGGGGGTCTCGGCAAATATCACGCAATTTTTTTTCTGACTGAAAAAAATTTTTAGGAAAACGGTTGACCCTAAAGGCCATCTCTGCAACTTCCCGCTAACTCCATACCTAAACGCTCAACATTTCACTTATTTTGTTTTTGAGCTCTTCAAGCTCAATAGTACGTATTCTGTGTTATTTTGAGTTCTCCGAGCTCAAAAAGATAGCTTCTTACGCGTTTACGTAGGAAACCCACATTTTGAAAAATCTCACGTGAGATTTGGGGATGGGGGAGGGGGTTGAATAAAATCTCACGACATCTCACCAGGGGGGAGGGAGGTACAGAAAATTTAAAAAAACATCTCACGTAATTTATGGACGCCCCCAAAGCAATAAGACCAAATTTGTTAAGTTAATTGATTTTAACATCGGCTAGTTATCCTAGCGTAGACCTCATATTAATTAACCTTGTAAGATAGATATTGTAGAACCCCTAATGTATGGTTTCTAAAGTTGAAGTTCTACGTACGTTTCATACGATGATGAAACGTACAATACGTTGGTGGCGTATATGAAAAATCTTAGTGCTGCGTATACCACCGTATACGCTGCAAGATTTTCGTGTAAATTCTCTTGAATTTTTAATGATAATAAATTACCAAATTGAATATTTATTAAATTCTAAGGCGACTTTTGGAGGTTCTACAGTATTTGGCAATATAAAATCATTCAAAAATGCATATTACAGCAAGTTCCCGCCATTACTGACGGACATGACAGATTGCCCTCACAGAATAGTGAATCGCCACAGACTCCACAGGTAAAAGCTTTACTCACATTCATTTAAATAAAATTGCTATTCGGCTTGATTCATAGATAGGGTGATTAAGAAATGAGACTTAGGGTCTGTTTCTCAATGTACGGATAAGTTCCAAATTAGCTATTTATTACTTATTGGTAGGATAAACACTTGTTGCGTTTCACGACTGTGAGATAGCGCTATTCGTCACATAAAGTCCGATGAAGTGTCAAATAGCACAATTTATCTTCCAAATAATTTATGTGTTGCATAGATATTTGGTAGTTTATCCATACATTGTGAAACAGACCCTTACTCGATTTTGATATACGGGAGTCGTTTGCGATAAGTCTATCTCATTCATAAAATTTAATGAAAAAGGAATCAATATTAATTAATTCTCAAACGAATTAGGTCTTGTTGGAAAACTCATCATATTTATCACAAATAATACAAAAGTTTTCGGTCCATATATGCTGATATGGAATACAGTTTATTAATTTTTTTATGAATACTGCGAAAAATATAACGGATTTTGTGACGTGCCCGTCATAATAATTGCTTTTTACACATTTGTGGTATTATTAAGTAATAAAAAAACCACCAGTGACCTCCAACCTCCTTGGTCTTGGCCACAGATTTCTGTATCTTTTTCGTTATCATTTTCTGAATTAGTGAGTAAGGGATCAGCCTTTTATGTCTGGCATACGCAGTCGACTTTTTGGGTCTAAGGCTTGTTTCTCCTCGCGACGTTTTCCTTCACCGTACAAGCGAATACTAAATCCGCACATAGGTCCATTGGTGTACAGCTGGGGTTTGAACCTATGAACTCAGGGATGAGACGCTAATGCTCTCGCTTAAGTAATTGTCATAAATAAGAGTTTATGTCATTAAGTCCGTATTTTAAAAGATAAACATAATTAAATCTAGTTTCAACAGCTGTCAAACCATATTGCAAATTGCATTGTCAAACCCTGCATGAGTATTGACACATTTGACAGCGATCAAGACCAGATTGTGACTTAAGATACTTATTGGATATGATCCATAGTTTTTTAGGTATTATAAAATTGGTTTCGCCCTTTAAGATTTTTTTATTGGTTTCTTTTTTATGAAGCCTGGAAGAGATTGCTAATTAGCGTTACGGTCTCAGGTCACAATAATTACATTTAAAATGTGCAAAGTGTAGAAATAAAATTCAATCTTTATAGATGAATGGCAGTCCCGAAAATAGGTCAATGACTCCGCAAAAGCCTGTGAATCTTCTACCCGAAGTGCCGAGTCACACATCGAGAAAGCTCTCGGATAGAGAACAACACGACTGTGATGTTATTGGTAAGTCTTGTTATTTTTAGTTTTTCTCATATTTTTTATTGAAATTTTTGAGATTGTAAGAGTGATTTAGTTTTATGGTGTTTCGCCCGACGCAAACTTTGTTACTTTATCAGATTTAGAAACAGGCCCAGCGCGAGCTATTGTACATTACATTTTGAAGCATGCCCCTGAACTGAACATTTTGGTCCTTCGAGCCGGATTTCTACAATGATTACTAAACTCCTGTTTCTCAGAATCCAAATCGTTTTTATGTATGTACGGGAGACAGACTTTCCGCTGTCTCGTCTGTCGTTTCTGAATTAAAGTTACATAGAGATTCTGACATACGTACATAGTCAGACAAGTCACAGTTAAAATGGTAACTTATTACCATTCAATCTTAGGGTAAACATTTCGTATTGTATTGTAATTATACTATGTTTATCTAGTATCGGTGTTGCACTGATCAAGTTTTATATAGAAAATTTAATTGCAATTATTCTTTACGTATTGCGGTATTGTACAGTGTTATAAACTTTTCTTGGCCGGTAAGAGCATCGCTTTCATAGATATTAGTAATGCAAGGAATAAAAATAAATACATTTTAGTTGGATTTTTATAGAAATTACACAAAATAAACAATATCAAAATGGCGATTTAACAATTTCAGCCGCCGGCCAGGAAAAGTTTGTGGCACTGTATGTATATTATAGAAATAATGACCGATTCGGAAAGAATTTATGTTTTCTTCTTATTTGTACGCGTTTCCGCATTTTTATTTTATCGAATCTTCGAGAAAATAAAGTTCGCGTCGGAGCTACCACAAAATCTCTAATGTTTCTTAGATGTCCAGATAAACGATGTTTTATGTTCGCCGTTTTATTTTCATTAACCGTTGTTACTAATTAAACATTTCATGACATTTAAAATTTTGTATGTTAGGTGGACGGAGCGAGATATCCCCTCAAAATCAAATGACAGTAGACGGCATCAGTATGATGCATTTGAACCATATGGGTGATTTAGTCGGTGAGGAATATAGGCAATGCTTTTTTATTGGTTTCCGACCACCTCTCATCTGCTTGTCGCTTGTCCAAATTATTAGTCGATAAAGTTACATTCACGAAGACATCGCAATTGCTTGGGTGCACCATGTACAAATATCGTCTGTACTTCTCAATAATCATAGTATTATTTTCTGCTATGGGAGCGTTCAAGTATTACGTCACGCAATTATTGGATATTATTGACCCCCTCCCCCATGTAACGCGCCGTAACGTTTTTCTGTACCCAATAGTTTCGTGACCACCCAGTGACTCTTTATACCTAAAAGTTGCCAGATAACATATTAAAAATAATGCGTAATTCAATCCCCGCCCCGCATCGTAACGTTTTACAAAAGGACCCCCCTCTCTCAAAATACGTTACGTAATACTTGAACGCTCCCTATGCTACTTTTTAATTTAGAGTTGAACTCTTCTTCAAATACTTTAGTGGGTAGCTGAATTCGTGCTGCGCGGCGAAAATCAGATAAACCAAATATTTTGGTCCCAATTTCTCTATTGCAGACATAATTACTTTAATAATTCCATTTTTACTCCCGTTAATCAAACAGTTGAAGTTTATTTACAAATCTGTTTAAGGATTTCAAATTATATTCAGTCTTAAATTAGTAACTCGGGGACACGATCGAGTAATATTAAAATTTTGTTATTTAAAATAATCTTAAATTCGGTAGCTGTTTTCCGTCCACCGCTTGATTTGTATAAGGTGCAAAGTATTAAAAGCGAGCGAAAAATACGCTGTCAAATATTTTTATGAGGAATTTTAACTTTGACTTAACCAAACGCACAGTGCGTTTAAACTCAACTGTATAAAGCGAAAAAGTTTGCACATATCTTCGTGGATGGAACTATTATTTTCATGTTATTTGTGTTGAAATATTATTGAGAGGTATTTAAAATTATGTAATAAGTAATTATTGGATGAACAAAGATAGGCCCCAGTCACAACCACTATTTGGGGCTAGAAATTTATTCTTGGGTTAATAATTTCTGCCGAAAAGGGCAGGTCGGTTCGTTTGCGCCGATTATTCCAAATACGACGCCTTTTTGCCTTTAAGTAATTGATTTAGACAATTCTTAATGTGAACATTTCTATTCCACGCACGTCATGAATGCGATTTTTAATCAAACATTTATTAATAGTGATGCCCCGCGATAAATTCTGTCTATTCATAGATATTTTTCACGTTCAACCATAGACTTATCGTGCCATAGATTAGCGATTAACTTTTGTTTCGTTTAGTATTAGCGATTTAATAATTTAAATGGTATGTTAATTGAATGTCGTAGTTTTTTGAATGTTATTGTGTTCGTACTTGTGTTGTCTTGTGTATGTATTGTTCAGTATTTTTTTTATTCAACTTCATACTTCCCGGGCCCGGCGGTAGACGCCTAGTCCATCAGTCCTAGTTTAAGTAAAGAATGTTGTAAGAAAGGGGAGATTTGAATCTTCCCTATCGCTTAGCTTCTCGGCCATAGCTCTGCCTGATCGCGTACCTAGGCTATTAGGGGTCCTATATAAAAAAAATATCTTCACACTTGCGTCAAGCAGCTGTCCTTTTACAAAACCTAAGAAACTTCACTAAATTTTATAGGAAAACGGAAAAATATCAAAATTTAACAATTATTTATCTAGACTAGAGTAGTGTTGGCCTGCTCGTACATTCGAATCATGGCTGTGCACCAATGGAATTTCCTTTCTATGTCCACAATTATCACTTAGTGGTATCATGTCTAATGTCAGACACAGATGGTTGATGTACTAAACTAATAAATAATAATAAATATGTTTATTATGGAACATGGAATGGAATTTGAATTTGTAGGCATCCCTACTCATCATCGGCAAAGAAGACAGAGGGTGTAGGCCGAGAGAAAAAGCCGGCGTAAAAAACTTGTCTATTAAATAAAAATGATTAAAGAAACGGATGCCATTTTAGCTAAAGACCATTTAGGGCTGTAGCACCTCAGGGTTATTATTATTACAATATATTATTAAACGGTTATTAAGAGATGGTCTGTATTGCACTAAGCGAGTGATTCAACGACGGCTTTGGGAAATTGTGATATTTAAACGCAATTTTTTTATTGAATATAATTTTTTATTAATATTTGCCTACATTGTGTAATGTGTTTTGAAATAGGCTAGCCCACAGAAACTCATTAACACTTCGTAATAATCTATCACCAGCAAAGTCATTTAGGGAACATTAGTTTTGGGCATTCACAAAATTTACAGACATTTTTAAACGTCTACAAAAAAGAAGGCCTTATTATAAAATGAGAATGTATTGTGTTCGTTATGGTTACGTTGTAGTTTCCTTAGAATAATGGTAAAGACAAAAATATGGTCAATCATGGTCCAACTTTAGTCCACGTTTTATTATGAGGCCGGAATTTTTATCTACAAATTTGAGTAACAAGCTAACACACATTACAATCACGCGAAATATCACACCTGCACCCTCAAACACTTGTATTCCACGTGTGTGTATATGTGTATGAAATGTACAATGCTCTGGTACTTACCCCGGCTTTAAAATTATTGCAAATCAGTTCTGGATGAAAATATTTGTTTTTTGAAAAACATCACTGTCTGTTTTTTTTATTCAGAGCCGAGGATTTCCAAATAATTTTAAAGTTGGTGTTTTGATTACTAATTATAAGCCAAATACGATAGTTTAACGAATGTTGTGTCTGCATGCTTACAGTGTATAAAATACCTACTCATAAACATATATTAAACCTTGAATGAGTAGTTAAATAGAGTTATCAGATTTGAACCGGTTATTAAATATCTTAATTAAATGCAAAATCAATAATGTAATAATAAAACCCGTTTATTTCCTATATAAACAGATTATAAGGCAGAAAAAAAAACAGTGTTGGCCTAGTGGCTTCCATCTGCTAATCCCCGAGGTCGTAGGTTCAATCCCAGCTGTGTACCAATAGACTTTATTTCTCGAACGGTGAAGGAAAACATCGTGAGGAAACCGTATTGCTTTAGACCCAAAAAGTCGGTGTGTTTGATCAGGAGGCTGATCACCTACTTGCCTTTTAAATTGACAAATGATTAAAAATCTGAGGCGCAGACCTAAAAAGGTGTAACGCCACTGATTTATTTTATTTAAACAGATTATAGAGTCGTTTTAGTTTTGACAATTTTAATATAAATATTCGTTTATTGTATTATTTATGACACGAAATGAATAGCTTCTTGAGGTTTATAGTATGTTTACGATTAAAAAAGGGATAAATTTAAAAAATATTAATATTTCAGAACGACTGATAAAGTCGTATTTCTACATCGTTCGGAAGTCGATTCAGGACTCTGTGCCCAAAGCGGTGATGCATTTCTTGGTTAACTACGTGAAGGATAATCTACAGTCGGAGTTGGTGACTCACCTTTATAAGTCAGACCAGGCTGAGAGCCTCCTCAATGAGTCGGAACATATCGCTCAGAGGAGGAAGGAGGCTGCCGACATGCTTAAGGTTAGTTTTTTTTGTTTACCAATAAGGGGCCGTTCAAGTATTACCTACGTGAGATTGAGATTTACTGCAATTTATCCTCCCCCCACATATTACCCACACATTGTCTATGATTGACATATTGGTGACTTGTAATATCGTATACGTGAAATAGAACTAATATGAGTGTACGACCAACCAGGCTCCAGAAGATAAACCATTCCTTATATGGAAATTGTATTCGTTTTTACAACAAACTCCTAAGGGAAATTGGAGAATTATCACTAAATAAATTCAAAGCCCTCGTTAAACGTAAATTAATCAATGAAGCTTTTTAAAAATTTGACGAATACTTAAATGATCCTAATCCTTGGGATTGATTTGCTCCAGTTCAAACAATTTATATGACTCAATACTTGGCGATTAAAAAGAGTGGCGAAAAGTTTTTTACCCGATCTACGCCCTTGACTTGCGAACTGGTAGTTAATGTAAATTTACAATTAAATTAACTTCTTTTGACGTTCATAAGTGTACTTGTTTACCTATATTAATAAAGATATTTTGAGTTTGAGTTTATAAAAGTAAACAATTACTGTTGACGTAATCACCAAATAAGAAATCAAAGACCCCCTATAGTGCTTACGTAATACTTGAACGGCCCCTAATGAGGAGTAAAGAAAAGAGAAAGTACATAAGTAAAGGCTTAAATTGCTTTCATTTAATTTTTGTACCCCACTAAAGTTATGTGTTCTGGGATCAACACACAGAATATACACAGCTCTTGACTTGACAATTGTCAAAAGACGTATTTCTTTGTCAGTAATTGATTGTAGATTTATGGTACCATACATTTTTTATCCATTTTCAAATATATGAACACACTGAAATTATATAAACAGAGACTTTAAGAGGTAAACTTGTCAATTATGACAGATGACACTTGACAGTTAATTGTCTAGTCTTGACGATTTTTATGATTTTTCAGGCTCTACAACGCGCTGGTCAAATTATCAGCGAGATTCGCGAAACGCACATGTGGTAAAGCGCCATCTAGTCTGTGAATTAGTTAATTTGTTCTGTACATAGCATCCTGAGCTAAGGGCACACTGAATTACGCTGTCATTTTAACATCTCTGTTATCGTTGGAAAGGCTAAAATTACGGTTTTAATCTTACAAATTGACTCCAGTCAAGCGATAAAAATTAAATAATAACAAAATGGCATTAAAATGACCGTGGGCCCATCATGTATTTGACCATTTCGGTTGCCCCGTGTTTCGCTTCAAAATGGCGCATACAAACTTGAAAATTCATTAGTATTACTATTCAAACCAAATAATTTTTAATAAACAAAGGTTACTTTTTATCAGTGGTCATAAATTTCTGATATTAACTAGTTTATTAAAAACCAATTTGTGTGAGACGTTTCAGCGCGCTCAACTTTCAATCCTTAGGTCGTGTGTTCGAACCCCGGCTGTGTTCACAAAACAGCGTAAATCGACTATTATGAAGTATCTAGTTTGTATGCGCATTGTCTATTGCTACATGACAGTTAGAATATTGGAAACTAGTTAAGAAAACCAAGTTAGAAATGAATTTAAGTTTTAACACTTACTGAGTTTTAAGGCTGTTAAAATCTTACTTAAAGGCCATCGCACAGTACTCAATAAAAACACTTTTGTGCTCAGCGCCATCTAGTGTGCGGTGGCTAGTATTACTAATAGGTTTCAAGTACTGTCTATAAATGAAAATAATTTCTACTTATTTTATGATAATTATTTGAAATGTGGTGCGTAGCGCCATCTAGTGCGGTGGCTGTTATTAGGCTCATATTTTTTTCGTAGTTGTATAAATTATTAATTATGAACACATTTAGTTGAATGTTTTTATAGTGTGAAAATTAGTCAGGGAATACTCACTGCCTGATTATTAATGAAATATATATAAATCTACTATTATAATTGCATTATTGATTTAGTTATTTTAAAAAAAAGATCCTTAACGATATCAAATATTATGGTTTATAGTTAGAAAATGGTTTTTTCATATTTTAATTTGACAACCTCATCACAGCTATCAACGATTAGTTTTAATAATAGAAACTGAAAGTTTATTTATCACCTTAGGGAGCGTTCAAGTATTACGTCACGCAATTTTTGGAGATTATTGACTCTCCCCCCCCCATGTAACGCCGTAACGTTTTTCTGTGACCACCTAGTGACTCTTTATACCTAAAAGTTACCATTATGTGGTGGAAAGTACTGGAAAGTCGAAAATAATATTAACGTGTAATTCAATCCCCGCCCCGCATCGTAACGTTTTACAAAAGGACATAGTCGTTACGTAATACGTTTTACAAAAGAAATAAAATCGTTACGTAATACTTGAACGCCCCCTTTACCAACGAACTTACAAAAAAATAATTTTCCGAAATCTATTCTAGAACTTTAAAAAAATCAAATGCAATTGTAATAGAACAATACCACAAAATATGAATCAATAGTTTTGCTTTTGGTTATTTCAGTTACCATTTCTATTTGAAGTGAAAAGTGATATTTTTTGTTCCCAAAGTTAGTTAATCTTTGAATTTATTGAACAGGGCTATATAGAATAGTGGTTTGTCTAAATCAGCTTTTGCATGTATTGGTAAAGTATTCCAAAGTTGATATTGTTCCGTGTGCTTATGAACAATTGAATGTTACGCAATAAGATTGTATTTAAAAGTCTGTTAATATAATATTGTCATCCTTTTTTGACTTTTATTTTCCTTCAAAAACATACCCCCACGAGAATGTAAGCGACAAATCTTTGTTTTAAATTTATTTTATTATTATTTATAACTTAAGATGTCATGTGGATCATGGTGTAATGGTTGCAGCTCCTTACAAACGTTGTGTAAAACAAAAAACTTGGCGATTAAGAAGAGTGTCGGAGAATTTATTGCCAGTTCTTCTCTTCCGTTCTACGACCTTGATTTGAGAACTGGCAGTAAATGTAAAATTAGAAGCATTTAATGTATACTTCTTTTTTGACGTTCATAAGTGTACATTATGTTACCTACATGAATAAATGATTTTTGACTTTGACCTAACATGGCAATCGTATTTAGGTTAAGAATAATGTTTAATTTATGGACATTTCAATTTCATTCTCACATAATGGCATCGAGCAATGAAAAACCAATCTACACTTATTTAAAATATTAAGTTTTTGAAGTTATTTTTTTGGCGCGTTAGGGAAAAATGATGAGAGTAAATTTTTACGATGCGCTCGCATACCGTCACAAAAAAACGACAACCATAAGAATAGTCAACATTTCAAAATTAAAAATGTCCATTTTATTGATTATGTAGAATGTTAATGTAGAAACTTTATTTAACTAGATAATGCGTTATAATAAAACTTTCAATGTACTAAATACCTTTTTTCTATTGTTAGTGTCGTTTTTTATACAAACGTAGATAAGCCGAAAGATAAATTTTTTAAAATGATTTGTATCTTGTTACACCAAAGAAGTGTTATACTTCTAACGCGTGTACATAAGTACACACATGTTATTAAATTTGATGGCTTTAAATAATAGAAAATTCTATAAAATGAGTATTTATTAAGTAAAGGTACAAAAGCAATTAAAACAGTTCCTTCACATATACACGATCGTCTACATGTGGTGGTTCGGTTACAATGAATGGTTTACCGTCAAGCTGGAAATCAGTATAAAGCCGTTTAAAAATACACTTAAATCCACGCCTTTCCGCCGATTTGGCAGAGTAGGCACTTGAGGTTTCCATACGGAGTAATCGGACATTATTTTCTCTTGCTGCATTCCTGAAAAGACCGACAAAAATCATTTATTCATGTAGGTAACACAATGTACACTTATGAATGTCAAAAAAGAAATATACATTAAATGCTTCTAATTTTACATTTACTGCCAGTTCTCAAATCAAGGCCATAGAACGGAAGAGAAGAACTGGCAATAAACTCTCCGTCACTCTTTTTATTCGCCAAGTTTTTTGTTTTACATTACACCATGTTCCACATGACATCCTTAGTAATAAATAATAATAAAATAAATTAAAAACAAAGATTTGTCCTCTATCAGCAGGAAGCATCAAACATCAAATGGGTAGGCTTATGAAGTCAGAACAAACGATGCGATATATGTAAGTTTAGTAATCTCGTTTTCGTATAACGCGATTTCCGTTCCCCGCATTTTACGAGCATTTCTCAAGTTATATTTCTGTAGTGTGAAATTTACTCATCAAGTCCATAATTAGTTTTGCGTACCTTTAGCACCTCTTTCAATTGTGTTATAAAATTAAACTAAATAACTTTATTAAATTCGTGTTCGTAGTTTTTGAATTGTTCAAAAAAGCGGGTTTACGTGAACGTGTACGCGTTATACGGGGACTAACTACAGTTCTGAATTCAAATTTTCAGTTTGTTGTTTGTGAGTCATTTTATTTGTTGGTACTAAAATTAGTCTTGAAGTTGTACTTAACAACTAAAATAGGTCTGTGTTATCTATAAATTACTATTTTTATATATATACAAGGAATATTGGAAATTTGAGTAGCATTATATTATCCGAAGCTTAATATTATAGATTTTACTCACTCCACTTCAACCATTAACCGATTCATGACTCCTTTATTCCGCCATTGTGAGTCAGTAGACGCCATCTTGACTTCAATCAAGTTCACGTCATTTGGAAACTTGCTCCAAATTTCTGTTAGCATTTCACGAACTATACACATTTGAATAATTGTTTTATATCTTGGAGATCGGCAATCTCTAAGAGCGTGTGTATAAATTGTCGGCTGAAATATATGTGTATTTATTGTCATAACAACACAGAGATAACATTAAAAAGAAATTTTTTCTCGTGTCTTAAAAAAATGTTTTCAAAAATATGAGTCACGATTAATACATTATTGAATTCCACTAATATTAATATTAAATACATAATATTTAATATGGGAAGTGTTGGCCTAGTGGCTTCAGCGTGCGACTCTCATCCTTGAGGTCGTAGGTTCGATCCCACAGTCCACCAATGGTTTTTCTCTCTATGTGTGCATGTAACATGCGCTCGAACGATGAAGAACAGACTCAAAAAGTCGACTGCATATGTCAGGCATAGGAGGCTGATCACTTGCCAATTAGATTGACAAATGATCATGAAACAGATACAGAAATCTGAGGCCCAGACTTAAAAAGGTTGTATCGTCACTGATTTTAGTAATATGAGTAAATAATATAAATGGATTTCATACAACTCACATTTGCAACCGGACAAATGTCGCATAAAAGTGCACCGATAATGTTGCCATCGTTATCCTTTGCTTGAAAGGACACCCCTGGTAAAATGTGCTTGCAATATTCGTCCGAATCAAATGTGTCATCATTCTCAGACGTGCAGTACCTTACAGCCTTGTAAATCGGCTCATCGACATAGAATGTTCTGAAATACATATCGTATACTTAAAAAATAGATAGAACTTCTCATGATTTCATCAGCAGGTCTTTAGTACGAGGTTATGTATTTTTTTAGTACAGGCTTTAAAGAAAGAGCAGGATTAGAAATTGAAGCATTTTGTAGTGAAATCAGTCAGAAGGACACAAATCGGTGACACTTGAAATTTTTTAGATTAGCAGGATTCCCATTTTTATTTAAAACTGCTGATTTAGTATTCAAATAGTAGCCTATCTTGTGAATATAACGTTAAATCTCAACTTTGCTGTTTACTTAAATTCAACTACGACTTGGGACTGTTAAAAGCTATGTGTTTAAATATCTATTTGACGATTAGTAGCAAATAGGAAGAAAACAAATCTTAGGCGAATTATTAATTAACTAGAACTAACGTTGGCGAATTGTACCGAATTGTACCTATATTTAACCTTTCTTACCACTTTATTGATGAAAAGCAGACAAGACAGACATACTGTAAACTGTAGTGAAACAAAAAATTACCCATTCAGAAGAGATTTGTGACGCCAAATGATATCAAGACAACACTAGATGATTTTAGACAAACATTCACTATGCAATACAAGAATATGAATATATAATAGGCTCTTTAACATAATATAAGCTTTTTAAGCTATTATTCAATAGATTCTATTTTAGTTCTAGTACCGGAATATGATGTTAGGTACAAGACATCGAAGTAAAACGATGTAAATGCAGAGAGCAAAAGACAAAATGTACCAAATTCAGAACTCACAAATGTAGGCTTATGACTTATTATTTATTTAGATTAGCTAGGGAGCTGATGAGCAAAATATCTATATGATTTGCTCATGTGGCAGACTTTTTTAATAGCAATAATTATACGATAAGGAATATTAAGGACCACGTATGCACTCTGCCACTATGGTAGCGATGCGTTGTCAATTGACAGCCCCTTAAAAATGTTTTAAAAAAGGTACATATACTATCTCATTTGCTCGTGTCTACCGTTACGGCTGATGTTAAGAAACCTTATCAAAATGAAAAAAAAAACAAAAAGGCAGATATATCAAGTTATGACCATGGCACACCTGCAGTGTTCGCTTAAAAACTTTGCGAACGACCGCAGAAAAATAGTCTGCCACCATCGTAGCGCTGCGTTTTCTATTGAAAGCGCTTTAAAAGTGTGCTATATCATTTGCTCCTGTCTACCTCTTTGAATGTTGCTTATAAAAACATAAATGAGACCCAGGCCATTGATATTCTGAAAGCAGACTTGAAAGAGAATTTTATTAATTTCATTTCTTTACTTTTTTTTAAATGTCTACTTACTTTTTTTTGTATTCAGGGGGTTCTAATAAATCGAGAGACCCAATTACAACTACGAGCAAATGATTTATCAGAGGTATTTGCATTTTTACATCTACCTGTTGTAATAATGCACAGACCTGGATGTCTGCCTTATAGATTTTCGTAATTTTCCAGAGGCAGAGCTAATTTTTTTACAGATTTAAATTCCTGTAGCTTAAAAACAGCAACCCACGACCTTAATTCATTAAGAAAATTTTGTATTCAGCCGAACTTTAATTCCTATCAATACGAAATACGACCAAATCATATACTGAAATGCTCGCCAGCTCCCTAGCTATATGAGGCATATGAAAACTATTACGCGAATATTTATAGTGAATTGCATGCTTTGGTTATTTGGTTTTAAATAAAGCAAAGCATAAGTTTTCCCTTTAATCAGAATTATACCGTTTCATGAATTTGAGCACAGCCTCTACGTCGTTTTCAGTTATGGGGCTAACAGAGAAGGCCATTGTTCCTAAAATGATTGGATCTTTTAAAATATCCAACAATAATGTCTACAGTGACCAGTTACCACAAGGATTCTCTAGTATATAGCATAATACTAGTATATTATGGCAGCCTCTCACAAAAAAACTTGTGAAGACTATCTAGTTTAATTTTACAAATGTTTAATGTAATAAATTTGGCTCAACATAAAAATGGACATATTGAATATACACATTTTAGGTTTTATTGCTTTTGATTATTAAAATATTAGTCTCTAAATATTTTACAATGAGGCCAAATCAAAACAGTTGTTTATTTTGTTTTCAATGTGTATTAAAAGACGTATATTATGTATTTATACTGAAGGTAGGTGTTGTGTGGATGTGGGTAGGCATTTGTCTCTTAGGTTTTGGTTAAGGCACCAATAAATGCTAAGATGAGCACTTGCATTATTATTTAGATACATTATAGGTTATGTTCATATTATGTACTGGACTAACATATGGGTAGTATATAGATCTTAAGAATTTATTAAAAAAGCAACTTTCATTCTTAAACAGAAATAGTATAGATCGATTGTAACAAACATTATTGTAATATTTAACAAAACAAAAAGTAGAGTTCTTCTCATAGAGTAGAGATAGAATTTGTTTTAGACAAGACTAAGTAGGAGATGTTAGTTTCCACAAGATTTCAGATTTAATAAATATTTTTAATTGTGTTTACCTTAAGTACATACATTTTTCTAGGACTAACAGGACTTTACTTGCAGATATATTTTTTGTGATAATGTCTTTGTTTTTTTTTATTTGGCCCTATTGCTACTTATTTTTTGTAAATAAAACAAATAACTTTTACACTTAACTGTCAAGATAAAAACATGCAATTGTGTATCATGAATAAAAAGATAAAACTAAAGACAGAACTAACTAACCTTAAATCTTAATGTTTTAATATAAAACTAGAAAAGTTATGTAAATTTAATTCAATTACAAATAAATTAACGATGAAGTTGAATGATCAACCACTAAAAATAACATAAATGAATAGATGACAAGTGACAACTGACAATTAGTTTTTTTTTTTAATGGCTGGCACGGTTTGTGCATTAGCCAGCGTCAAGTATAAGATTTTTATAATTCGTGCTGTTTGCCTAAGAAATTCGACCATGTCCTCCATGTACGGTTTAGGCACTCGCCCGGTACCGCACAACCCTCCCAAAGGCCGAGAACAAATTTAAATTAAATTAAAACTTGCCCTCGAACCGGGAATCGAACCTGGTAGCTGCCACTTAATAAGACCGCTAAGCTATAAGGCCCCCCCTAACAATTAGTTATTTGATAGCGCATACTATGGCGCCGCATAAATGCGAGGCTGTCGTGAGAATGGAGGTGTCGACTGTCGTCTTGACTCTTGAATCATTGATGTGTCGAAGCACAGACAGAACACACTATTCGTCTATTTTAGTATTTTAGTCTGTGCCCTGTGGTTATAATTATATTTGAATCTCGGAGATAAATAAAAAACTTTATTATTTTCATTTTTCTATTATCAAGAGGTATTTAAACTATACAGATATATCTTATTTATTTTAATATGGATAAAGAAGATCAGTCTTGTAATATATGTTTACAAAGATTGGGTTCACCACTGGATTTAAAATGGATGAAATTTTTGGAAAATTTTGGTATTCAGGTAATTTTACTTCATTGTTTTCACAGCTACGAGCTCACTTCTAACCGTAAATAAAAAAAAAAAAACGGGTCAAAATTAAAGAACGAGAATAGTTGGTACATATACAGATTTTGTTTATAATATTCCCTATTTTTTTTATAAATAAAGCAATTATTTATTATCATATTTTAATTTCAGGAGAACAATATATTTTTATGTGAATGGTGTTGTCAGACTCTTTTGAAGATGGAAAGGTTTATATTGCTTTTGCTGCATCCCAACGACAGAGGGAGATATAAGGATCAAGAATTGGTAGGTAAAGCTTTTTACTTATAGAGTATCATTTGTTATCCTTGAGTGGCAGTTTAACTTAATACAAGTACACATGAAATACTTTACTACTTTCCACTATATAAACATTTAATATGTAAACAATACTGTTTTCAGAATATTCAGAAATTGGATTCCATTAATATACCACCTACAATCAGAGAAATATATATTAAAGAAGAAACTTACGAAAATGATGTTGATAATATTGGAATTGACGATTTAGACTATTCAGAAGAAAATGTTGGTGAGAATATAAGGTAAGCATTCTACATCATCCTTACATTAGTAAATTTTTACAAGTATTGAGTATGTATTATATTAAAATTACCATATAGCCTAATTTTTTTAAACTATTACTAGAGTGTAGTGCACAGTACTTATTATTTTGGTAATTTTTAGTGTATTGATTGCTTTTATCAAATACATACCTAGCTTTTTAGCTCATGATATTTGGCCAATATATATTGTTGCATAAAACTAAATTTTTTAAGGATAAGTACTGTAAAAATTACTTAGCTTCAAAAATATTTTTATACAAATAATATACATAAGGTCTTATTCATAGTGCACCATTTGAACAATTCCAATTATTTAACATTCTTCCAGCTAAACAATGATGGCAAGTTGCAATACAAATTGAAAGTTTAAAATTATTGTATTTTTTTGTTATTTTAGTGAAACTAATGCATACAACATGAACTTTGAAGTAACATACCTATCGCATGATGACCAAAAAAATGAAATATTATTCAAAAAGAAATCAGTGAAATTTAAAAACATGTTGTATAAATGTGAAAAATGTGGAATTGGTTTTGTGTCACATGAAGCATACAAGGATCATAATTTGAGACATGATAATGTGAGTCATACATTTTATTTTTACATATAAATATTACTGCTTGATTCCTTAATCTAAAATCTGGAATCAAATAAATTTATACAAATTTGGGACTACAACCATGTGTACATAGGTCTTACAGCAACCGGCATTGCACTGGTTCGAAAGTTGCTTAAGCCACAGTTGCAGGCCAACCCTATAGTTGTAGTTGCATAAAAGTAAATTATTTCAAAGTTTAATTATTTGTTTATTTTTCTGCATTGGTACTAATTTCCTATAGTGATAGTGATTTAGAGTTTTTAAACCAAGCAATCCCAATGTTACCAAAGAGCTGCAAGAAATCAACATTGCAGTCTAAACTATTGTAAGTTATACAGTGCAGATATTACATGTTGTGTAATGCTTCTAGGATACAGCGATACACATTTGTCCCATATGTCACTTGCATTTCAAATCTCACTTGGTACTGTCCCAACACAAATTATCCCATAAGAGGCGGTTTAAATGTGTACTGTGTGGAGTGAGTTTTAAGCGGTGGGCCCATGCTGTGGGTCACCGATTCCACTGTGGGAGTGAGCCTAGTCTAACAAAGTGTGATCAGTGCCAGAAAATATTTGAGTAAGTGATATTTTTTAGTACATTGATTACATAAAGGAGTTGTAAATCCAGAAATAGATTTTGAAATTTTGCAAGTACCCTTACATTTCTATGAAAAGCGATCGCTTCAACTACCCACATAAGTTTTGTTTTTTTGATTTAGACTTCGGACTGACTAATTTACTAAGTAACTAAAGTCTAGCCTAATTTGCTTATAAACATACTTACAGTCTTTATTAAGGAGAGGGTACACTGTATTTTATTTGTGGTACCCGTCCATAATGGAAATTAAGCGTAAAAATAAGTAAATTTCGTTTCAGCAATCAATACGCTCTGGATATTCATAAGAAAATACATTCACGGAAAGAAAAATATATTTGCGACGAGTGTGCCAAGTGTTTTGGAACGAAACAGCATCTTATCATTCATTTGAGGTTCGTACTCTACTCGTTCAGCTATTATCGCACCACCATTAGGCGAAGTATTTCCGATTCCGAGTACCAATTCTGAATATTCTAAAAGTCTGGGAACGGATTCGCGAGCCTCGTTCGGGGCGGCGTCAAGTAACATCAGGCGTGTCTTCTGCACGTGTCCTTAGAAAGATATTATAGTTTAAAGGGTATAAAGAGCAGTGTTGGTCCAGTGGCTTCTGCTGTGCAAGAACGTTTGCAAAGTTTATATTGTCTAAAATCATTTTTTAAAATTTTCAAATAGCCTATATACAAACTTCATCAGATGTAGTTTGGATTCTCACTGACGACAATTGGTGAAAATCATTAGAAACAATCCTTTTGTGCCTAACACACACTGTAACGGTTTCCTCACGATGTTTTCCTTTACCGGATGAACGAATGATAAATGCGCACATAGAAAGACAGTCCATTGGTGAACAGCCAGGGATCGAACCTACGACCTCAAAGATGAGAGTCGTACTACTATATATACTTATATATATATATAAGTATAAGTATATATATATAAGTGTATATATATATATATATATATACGATACTTTTCTAAGTACTATAATTTGTAGGATGCATACAGGTGTAAAGCCCTTCAAATGCACAAAATGCGATAAATCTTTCTCGACTAACTCCAATTTGAAGTCGCACAAAGTGGTGCATTCTGATGAGAAGATGTTCTACTGTGTGGAGTGTAATAAGAGTTTTAAATCTGAGAAAAGTTTGAAGAGGCACTTTGCAACTACGTCTAAGCATGTTGATGAGAAAATGTAAGTGAGAAAAGTACCCTCGAACAAGAGCTTCGGTGGTTGATTGACATAGGGGCAGGGGGCACATAGGTAGGTAGGTAGATTCGAATTCGATTTAGGGTCCTTCAAGAAAAGAGCGTACCGATTCTTAAAAGGCCGGCAACGCACTCACGAGCCCTCTGGTATTGACTGGCATGGGCGGTGGTATCACTTAAGATCAGATGAGCCTCCTGCCAGAGAGTTCTATTAAAAACTCCCCTAGTAGATTTTGAATGGTTGAACTGTATTTTTGAATAGCATTTTTTGCGAGTAATACCAAGTTCTCACCTTCGAGGATAATAAAATCGAAAACTCGTTTGAAATATAATTAATTTTATCCAAATCGTTTCTAACATTTGTAGTCGAGACTTGACAAATGTCAAACATCCGATCTGATTTAGTCGTGTTTTTGATTTCTAATGATGCAGATTTTACATTGCGATATTATTTTCTTATGATTGCCTCAAAACGGATTTACGCGGTACACCTCCGCTGAGAAACAGAAACTGCGAAACCGATACTCAAATTACGCTGTACTTCACTTACGCGAAACTATTAGACCTCCAGCATAGGGAGCGTTCAAGTATTACGTAACGCAATTTTTGGAGATTATTGACCCCCCCACCCTCCATGTATCTCGCCGTAACGTTTTTCAGTACCCTAGTACAGTACTTTACTCAAGTATAGTAAAACGTTTCGTGACCACCTAGTGTCTCCTTAGTTACTATTATGTGGTGTAAGTCGAAAATAATATTACCAATAACGCGTAATTCAATCCCCGCCCCGCATCGTAACGTTTCACAAAAGGAAAAAAAACGCGTTACGTAATACTTGACCGCTCCCATACCAGTTAATTTTTTTTTTGTTTTACATATTTACTTTTAATTTAATATGTTGTTCTGGTCTATTCTGACTGTTTGTATAAGTTTTTCGGTAAATTCCAAGTCCATCTTTCCTGTTTCTTATAAATTGTCGATAGCTACAGACGCGTCCGAGCTACACGCGAAACCGCTACAAAATGGCGGAGATGTAGATGGCGCCTGAGCAAATGAGCGAAATCAGGGTAGAAAGAGACAACATCATAGTCAGTTTTGTACGTCAGAGCAGGAAGCTCTTTTTTCGCCGCCAAATGACTTACAACGCACAGCGAAACCATTGCGGTTTCACCGTTTGAGTATTGCAGTGGAGGTGTGCTAACAGTATTAATATCGAAACTGTTATATATTTTAATTCAACTTTTATGAAATCGCATTTCAATTGAAAAAAAAAATAAAAAACAAAAAAATTGTAAAATTGTTTCCTATACATCAATGTTTCTTAAATCTGGAGACTCCTTAGGAAAGAGACAGAAATATATGTCACATGCGCTTGTATTTTAGGTACTCGTGCGCAGACTGTATGAAATTATTCACGTCAGCTGTGTCTTTGTCGTCGCATAGGCGAAGCACACATTTATCGACAAGTAAATGTTTTATATGCGATAAGGTAATTCTATTTAAATATTTTTAATTGTTTTTTTAATTTAGACCAAGCTGTGTTAGGGAATAAGCGTCCGATGCAACTATTGATTTTTGGAACTACAGTCAAAACCTTTAACGACGACATCGTTTAGAACAGCAGACCGGTTATATTGACCAAAATCAAAGGTCCCGGCTGAATTCTATTATATTCTATAATCATTATTGGTTCTTAATAACAACGTCATCGGATGTTACGACTATAGGTGTTTACGACCAAATATGAGTAGTCCCTTCGATGTCGTTATAGCAGATTTTGATTTTTTTTACTTGGGGAAATGCATTGCATACCCTTGCGCGGCTGACCGCTTGTGCACTATAACTCGAAGGCGCCGCCAACAATAGCACTAAGGGTGAGATCTATAGTGCGCACTTAGACTTTGCTCTGACTTAACTATCGAGCTAAGACACAGTCGGTATTTATAGAGCAAACTACGAATCTCTCCCTAGTGTTGGCTTAGCTTAATCTCAAGTCCACGAAATCGACGACTTACCAAAAACTTTGACTATAAGCCTAACAAAAATAATGGCCCAAAATTTGCTTTACCATCATATCTTTTACTGGACTTTTTATTTTTGTCGGTTTTTAATGAACGGTGTTGCCATTTTGTATCGGAGTTCCATAGACTTTGGGAAAAATAGAATTTGAATTCAAAGAAATTATAAATGATCTTGATAAATACCTATGAAATGCATGAAATAAAATAATTACACATTATTATGGTATTTATTGTTGTTTATTTATATTATTTATGTAATTGTTCAAACCCCATTTTTGAGAAATCTTAAAAATAACTGGTGTGATTTTGTATGTCACCTGGCAGCCCTGGCAATTGGCATATTATAGTGACAACGAAATTCAAACTATAACCTAACCAAAACATTGCGATCCGTTCTACGTAATAAAATTATTGTCATCTTTAAATAATTAATACATTTTCTAAAGGTTACTCGTGAATTTCTAGTTATTGCAATAATAAAATAAATGAATACATAAATAACAATAAATTGAAGATATATGTGTACCGTTTTAGATTTTTAAATATTTGTTATTGTTAACTTTTTTAAAGGATAATAAACAAAGTATTGCATGAAATGAAACATCAATTTGTATTTTGACATTTTCTGTCTTAGCTTGGGCTTAGCTTAATCTCACCGTTAAAATGTCTATAAATACGAAATCATAGTTTAACCTTAGTGTACACTAAGCAAAGTTTTTCGTAAGGTAAGTCTGAGCAAAGTCCAAGTGCGCACTATAGATCTCACCCTAAGTGATGCGGTAACAGCATAGTCTTATTCGCCTCCCGACACGCGACACGACGATTGCGTCAGCCTCTAACGCCCATTGTTAGTTTGTGATGATAGTTGACACAGCAAGTATCCTTGCCAGAACGGGCCGCTTTTATAGTAAGAGCTAGGAGAGATCAGAGTTCAGTACTAGCAGGGATGGATCAGCATAACTTTTGATTTTTGGAACTGATACGTGAGTTCTAACTATGACCATTGGTTTTTTCTTTTCGTACTTCGTCTTTTCCAGAAAATATACATTTTTAAAATGAAGCAGTTAATTAGGTTTTAAATTTTCAGATATTCTCAAACAAGTCGAATTTGAAGAAACATCTCAAGATTCACTCCCAAAGATGATGGTTGGGAAAAGATATACGTAATTGAAGTCATATAATAAATATTGTTACACAAAAACTTTTTTTTTATTTATTTTCTTTCTTCCCATTTTCCTTAATAACTGTCTTGTTTAAAAATCGCTGTGATAAAAACACTAGCGTTACAACCTTTTAATTCTGGGCCTGAGATTTCTGTGTAACTCGTCATCATTTGCTTTTTCTGATAGGCAACAGGCACAGAAGCCTGACACACGCCGTGGACTTTTAGGAACTATATTTTCCTTCACCGTACGAGCGAATGTTAAATGCGCACTTAGAATATACATTGGTCCACAGATGGGGACCGAAGCTACCTATAATTAAAGTAAAATATATCTAATATAGAATTGCTTATAATATTATCTGATGCCTATTAGAAATGATTTTAGTTTGGGATACCTATCATATCAAAGTTGAATCGAAAAACGTGGCTGAAATCACTTGGCAATACCCACTTTAAAATATTTAATAATAAATTAAGGTAGAGGAGATTAACGTAGAATAACAAGTTTATATAAGTTTAGTGCCACTCTAATAGCCCTACAAAATATTATCTTATGTAATTTTTACACCACTGTTAAAAATAAAAATAACATAAAAAACTACCTTTATTTCCCAAAAGATACAACAAAAACAAATTAGGTATAATTAAAGCTTTATCACGCTCTTTTTCATAAAATATAATAACGTAAGAATGTTTTGTCACATTTCAATACATGAGAGTGATAAGGACAAAACATTTTGCTTTGTGAAACGAATGAAAGAAGGCTTTACAAATTTTGGCTTTAACCTAGCCTGATCAAAAACGTCACTTAAAATATTAAATAAATATAAAAAAACCTAAACTAATGTATTTTTTTTTTTTTAAAGACAATTCACACCAATTGACCGAGTCCCATGCTAAGCTGGTGAAGTTTGTGTTATGGGCACTAGGCAACGGATATACATACATATTATACATAGATAGACATATAAATACATATTTAAACACCCAAGACCTAAGCACAACGCCAAATGCTCATCACATCGAGGTTCGTCTCAGCCGGGGATCAAACCCGGGACCCATGGATTCGCAGTCAGGGGTACTAACCACTAGACCAATGAGTCGTCAAAATGAGTAATTCACTGGGAACTGGGACAATATCATTTACATTTTACATCATGCATGTGGTATTAACAATTTTTGTAAGGGTCCCAAAGCCATGCGCCCCCTTAGTACTTGGGGTACTACATACAAATCGTAAAGAACGATATAAACAAAATTGGAGCTGTTTTAAGGTGATTTGACAAATTTACCAAAGTTTTATATACCGCGTTATCTTATATTGACTGACGCCTTTATCACTATTATTGTTAATGCGTCATAAATTATTATACTTTACAGCACTGTTTTTTTTGTTTATTCTCGTGATTCTCACAACATCGCCTCCCCTTTCCCGCGAGTGGTCTATCTCTCTCGTCCCATACGACTACACCGTCGCATGCGCATATCCTTTTTGGATTCTGGAATATTCCCGCTGAACGCGCGATAATTCCACAAGCTATTCTGAAATGGGAAATTAACAATACGTGTAAATCAATACGGTAGTGTAAGTTCGAACGCATCCATTTATCATACAATTTGTATGGTTTCTGTGTATATTCGTCCTTCCGTTTAATTAAATACACGGAGAGCTGCAAAAGTCCCTATTTATAAAATATACTAATTAAACTTACGGTTCCCCACTGTTTCCGTTCTCTTTTGACAGCGGACTTGAACCACGCCCCAAGTCATCCGGTTGTGACGTCACAGCTATCGATCTACCCACTATATCCCATACCTGAAATATTTCAAATAAAATATAATATTGTTCTTAACAAGCTGCTTTGTTTACTTACCTTGTTTTGAGTTATTATTTTAAGAATTTCTTTCATGAAATAATATGTAATAATAATATTCTTACCTTTAATATGTTATCCAATATCCTAAAAGTTGCCCGGCCATTCTCATCGGCTACTATATTTCCTAGATCACCAGCATGTCGTCTATCCGGAGGGTCTAAAGGACTCCCATGATTTGATTTGTGGGGATTAAAATGAACCCCAATTGATTTGCAACCCTGTAAATCAAATAAATTTTAATAGTAAACTGAATTATTGTATTGAGACTTCTTTAGGCGCATGAGAGTAAAATTTTTACGGATGAAACGTCACGAAGATGTGCAGCGTTTTTGTTGAGGAAAGGAAGAGAGCGATTGAGACCGATTGAGTGAGAGTGAGAAGGGTGAATTACCTTAAAGATTTCGTAAAGAGAATTTTATTAAATCTTTGTATTTTATGCAAAATAATTTATTGAAATCTCAAATGACGAATTGTAAATTAAAATGCCACGTGTTTTAAGTATCGAAGAAATTATTTTTCGACACTTTTAATATTTTAATGACAATTAAATTCATTTAATTCCTAACATATCTTCCTTTTTCCCTCCCTCTAAGTCTAAAAATCTAAAGTTTTAAATTGGTTTATATGAACAAGACTTAAAAATTAGTTTGCCAAAGAAGTTTCACTTCTGACATGTGTACTTTACTTTGTATGCACACACTTTATTAGCCTACCACAGAGACTAGTGGTTCACCAAGTTTAGTTTTCATGAGAAATAATAAATGCAATTGATGTAGCAATATTATGCCCCATTTGGGATCTTTACTAGTTTGGTATATACCTCACTGATATCTCCCATATCATGAACATGAAGACCATGCTGTCCGGGTGAAAGACCATCAATACTACCATCAGCAACCAGGGGTCCCTGATCCGTCTGTTGAAACCTTACTACTCCCATCACTTTGGTACCGCCACATTGATTAGATACCATAGCCACAGCAGACTGAGTTTCTGAAAGTTTTGAAGGGTGTAAGAATAGGTAAATAGACAAAAAAGTTCTATTAAAATTAGCCAAGTTGTTTCAAAGAAGTGTGCCCACAAACAGCATGATTTTAAATGTATAGAAATAGTAAAAAGTTGCGTCGGTATCACAAAATTTAATAACTGATTCCAAACTTACCCCCAAAGCCCTGTAAAACAGCCCGTTTTCCATATGTCTTAGATACAATATCAACTATAATTGCACTTGGTAACACAGTCTCTACCATAACGGCACCATCTTTGAAAATGGCCTGAAAATTATATTTCATGATTTAACATGTCTGTACCACAAAACATGCTTTGGGCACATTTTGTCTCATGTGTAATTTATTACTGGATATCACATCCTGCTTAACAAAGAAACAGCATCTACCAGCTTAGTAGCAAAGTCGGTAATTAAGGTACAGTGTATTAATCTTTGCTATACTTTAACAAATATTAAACTTGTGATGTTCTTTAATATAAAATTAGAATAATTTAGCCTGTATGAAAATCAAATTAAACAAAATGACATTTTGCCTTCTTAAAGTGAGTTTTTTGTATGAAAATGTATTGTATCAGTCTTCTTTAAAGTTTTTAAGATAGCTTACCTCTTGCACACCATCTAGTGATTTCAGCTCTTTTAAAGTTTTTTCTATAGCTTTTTCATCGGGTTTTGGTCCTAACTCTAACAGAACTTCCAACTGAAATGTATTAAATGCACCTTATACCCATCATAAAGCTAATTTAAACAAGATTTGCTTAAAGAAAAAGTTTTTAAGAATACTTTGTCTGGTTACAAGCTTCAGTTAATAAAATAGGTTGAAAAAGATTTTAAAAAATTGGCCTATCTACTCAGATATAATTATATAAATATGTATAGTTTTTTGTGATTATGTAGAACATAACTCCTTAGTGGAAAAAAGGTGACATGGAATGGTGAAAAGGCCATGGTTATAATATTTTGAAATAAATATTTTAACTCAGGCAAAGATTTTATTATTAAATTTAATCAATTGTTTTTTAACCTTCAACTTATAATATGGGTAAGTAGGTATTCTAAATTATTGCAGCGTCATTCTTGAAGGTCAATTAAAAACATAAATTACGTAAATGATAAATACCTGCTGTTGTGAATTAAAATATGATTTTATATGGATTAAATTGTACTTACTTTTGAAGTTAGCATTGTGAATTTTGTAGGAAATAGCTAATTATTGATATATGATAGTGATTTTAACGTATTTAAATCAATTGTTTTTCAATTTGCTCATTAACAATTAAATATTACACTTCTAGTAAAATCACTAAGGAAAACTCAAAACACATATTTTGTACTCTTGATCCTTGTTTACATTTCAAGTTTTTTTTTTTAATTTATTTATTAGCCGGATACAAAGTCCATTGGCACTTTAAAAAAAGGTATAACAAAATATCTTACACAAATAACTATAGTCTATACTATCTTAACATAAAATACAATCAATTTATATAATACAATGGTGAGCTTTAAATTTTCTCAACCGTGTTTTTTATATAATAGTAAATAGCTTTAAATAGAACTGGACATTTCAGTAAATCTTGGACACGGCGGGGAATTTCTATTTGTGATGGTTTACATTGATGACTACCATTTGCAGTGACTGATGAGTCTAAAGCTGATCTTGTCGGGTTATTTGCTAAATAATTTCCAAGTTTAGTCTGATTATTCTCATCAAAATCCTTCAAGTTTTGACATTAACCAGTGTTGCCAACTCTCCTTAACGAAAGCTCACTCAATTCCATAAACTATTCCAATGCCAAAACATATAAATTATTTATTGATATATGTTTAAAGATCTCATATTTCAATAATAAAAACAAAGACTTTTTATTAAGTCGTTGTTTGCGTTGTTTATATGTAAATCATAGTTATGACGTAAATATTTCTATTAAAATTCTTATTACAAGGTCATAGACAATCATATCGTTTCTCAACGATTCAATCGATTCGTTGAAGGTTTCTGCAGGTGAACTTTTTTTTACCTCTGAATAAAAAACAGTTTTTAAACAAATAATTTATTAAATAGGCATACAAAAATACATTCGAAATATACTACAAATATCTAAATTAATATCAAACTTCACAATCTTCGATTAAAGTTTTGGCGGGTGTTGGTGAGACGGAACGCAGCCTCTGCAAAAATTTCCATTTTTAATCACTTGTTTATTTTATTATTAATTAGTTTGTCATGTCAGTGACTGTGGCTTATAACCTCCTGCGGGGTAAAATTCCCAGCGACTTAAAATATTAAATGTTTCCATTTACTGGGGACATACTCAACATTTTATCAATTATTATTATCGAACTGTATTATTAGGTTAAATATGTAATTAATAACGATTATATTATATAAATGATATAGAAAAGTTGACGCCTATCAAAGTTCGATCGAGATGCGCAGGTGTCGTTTTTTTAAGTCTTACCTTCCCCCATGAAAGCCACAATTCGACTTGTATAACAACAATATAATTTGTTTAAAGAGTACATTTAATGGCTAAAACTTAATAATTATTATAATTCCTATACTGATAGTAATAAAGTACGTTCCTGGAGTTCGAAATCCGGAAAAAAAAAAATATTTTGAAGACAAAAAACGAACAAATACCAGTGCCTACCTCAACATAATCAGATGCTGCAATAGCCGGCTTCAGCATCTCTACCTTCTTTAAGGGCTTCTGGTCCATCTCATGGATGGCTTTATACACCTCCGAGTGCTGAAGGTGGTCCAATTGTGGTGGTGGTTTTTCGTACTTCATGAAGTTTACTCTATGGATTAAAAAAAAAAAAATTATTTAACCTAGTACATGATTTTTATATTATGAAAATAATAAAATGATTATTCTATTAGGTATTATTTCGTCTCTTTGTGAAATTGTGTTTATCTCTAATTAATAAAATGTGTGACACTCGGGGACTGCCGCGGTAAAGCTACTGCATTTTTTATCAACTTATGCAATTATATTTATTTTTTGCAGTTTTTTTTTTTTTTTTCTTTGATATTGATTCAATCTACCACTCTACCAGACTCAGACTAACACGCCTATATAGTCTGTCTCACTGTAACGCGTATTGTCCGCACGGCGCACCTATATTACGTCATCGTGTGTTAGGTTTTTTCGTTACGGAATTTCTTGATTCGGTTGCCGCGCTCAAAGCCCGCGATAAAATCTATGCAATAGCTTAAAAAAAGACAAATGAGTGATTAAAACGGTTCGACTCACTCGACTAACTTTTTAAGGTATAGTAAAATAACAATAAATAAAAATAAACAACGCATGAATATAACATATTTTCGCTTATGCTATATTTGCTCGCTTCACCAGGGGCTTGAGACAAATTCTGTTTGCAATAGGCGTGACCCACTAAAGCCAAACGAATATGTATGATCACGTGACAAATAGTGAACGAATGTCATCCCCATACAAATTCGTTAAACGTTAGTGACTTGCGCTTGTTGAAAAATTATTTTATCTCAAGCCCCTGGATTAATTAGTATAACTATTCCAGATAAATTATAATATTCATTTTCACACAAAACACATTTAAATTAATATTCACCGTCAAATCAATTTTTAATGAATAAAAAATTAGATAAATAGTATGAGGATAATATTTCATTAATTATTGCGAAATGCAACGCATAAAAAGATTCAATTAATTTTAATCAGTTACGTCTTCGAAATCGAAATTACACAAAATTTAACTATATTAAGGTTTTAAGGTATTAAAATAGTCTTAATTTGTACTTACTGGAATGGAACTTTGTTACATAAATATAACATAATTAGGTATTATTGGAGTTTACTCCTTAAGAAACGATTTGAGTTATAAGGCCCGGTACGGAAATTTTATGAGGAGTAAAATCAAGTGTAATACGAAAAGTTGAGGCGTTATGTGTAACACCAAAAGTTGAGGCGTTATGTAGAAAGAGACAAACATATAGAGTTTACTCCTTAAGAAACGATTTGAGTTATAAGGCCCGGTACGGAAATTTTATGAGGAGTAAAATCAAGTGTAACACGAAAAGTTGAGGCGTTATGTAGAAAGAGACAAACATATATATCTGTAGGATTGAACGTGTAAAAGAATGAGATGGAATACATTACACAGACTTTTCTATTTTGAATTCACGTTTTGACAGCCACGTTACAACATTGTCAGTGTTGACAGGTGTAAAAAATAAAAGTAGATTGTCTAGCGTGCCATATAGTTTTGGTCAATAGTAATGGTCAGTGAAATTAAAACTAAAAAGATTGTTCATTCTTATTCTTCTCTTACTATAAAGGTAACTTTGGTCACAGAAAGAAAATCCTATTTGGGCATAGATGATGTAGGTACGTTTTATTACTACTACAAACATTTATATTATAAAAACATATACATATTCTTACCACCTTTAGTATGAAAATATGGTCGACAGCCACAGAACATTATCGCCATTTTATCGTTCGTAAGGAGTAAACTCCAATCGTGCGTCGTAGCTGACACACACACACTTTTTTTATTATATAACAAAACACTTACCCAATCGCGTTTCCTTTAATAACTTCCGCTTGTGCGGCCATTGTTTCTGATAGCATTTGTTCTAAATTAGCATCTTCTAATTTCTTCCAAGCTTTTCCCGGTTTAACCGTTTCTCCAAATGTGGGGCCCGCAATCGTTGAGTCTTGAGGCATGCTCGATTTTGGAGGAACTCCCGTTGGCAGCGATAATACTGGAGATACACCCATTTCCAAAGGCGTCGTTTGAGGTAATGGAGAAAAGCCCATAAATGGTCTGTCCTCTGGCATTTTAGGTCTTTCGTCAAAACCTAATTTAGGTGATAACCTCTCCGCCGCGAATCGGAGCTCTTGGCTAAGTCTTTCTTTCATTATTTCCTAAAAAGATTTAATAATATATTATTATTTCGACATTTTTATATTCACTTTAAAAAATCTATAAATGAATAAGTGTAACTAACATCTTTTGTTTTGTTCTCAGCCTCTAATCTTCTCTTATCTATGATACTCTGAATTTCTATATCGGGTTCCGGTATCACTTCTATGTCCTTCACATCTTCCGACGCAGTTACTTCGATGGCTGGTTGTTCCTGAGGTGCTTCTATAGGCTTTTCTGAAACTGAAAAAACTAATAAAGATGTATAAATTGTTTTCTGTCATATTTGCAAATAATTCACGAATTTTGAAACTTTATATATTAAAATAAACGACGAGTTTTATATATTAAAATAAATAATTAATAAAGCCTTTTATTTTATCCATTATATCCTCTATTCTCTACTCGTTCCAACCAATTTTTTACTTCTATTGTTGTATCGTCTTCCACATCTTGTTAGTGGTGTACCCTGTTTTCTTTTACCCTTTTTTGTCATGTTGTGATGCGGTATATCTATCGCAGCCAACTAGCTTAATAAGCCGTTCAATTATCACCTAGCCTTTTAATTAAACAGCGCCGTTTAACTAGCGGCCTGTAGCGTTTGTCAGCATGTAATAAACTAGCTGTTAGCCAGCCTGCTTAGGCCATTCGTACGATAGAGTGAACATGTGGCAGAAATAAAAAAGATGAAACATCAGACATAAAAACTATTTCTTTAAAAATTAAATTTCTTGAGTCAGTCAGCTAAATTAACATTATTTTTGTCACTACACTCCATTGTACTTGTTGCCTTTCATTAAACTTTAAAAACACAATCAAAGTTATGGTTGGCCTACGCCATATTGACAGTTTGAAGAGTTTCGTTTCGAGTTTGAGAGTGGCAGAAAGTTTAACTAAATTTAAATTAACAGTTTACGGGCTAGGCAAGTAATGAAACGTCATCGATCCAAGCCACCTGCCGAGCTGTTTGATCAACTGGCTGAATATCTTTCAGGCCGCTAGTTAAACGGCGCTGTTTAGTTAAGAGGCTAGGCTGTTTATTGAACGGCTAATTAAGCTAGTTGGCTGCGATATATCCATCGGTCTTTAGTCAGCCATACTATGAGTCCTGCCTATTCCCATTTTAGTATGAGAGACATATCTTGTATATTATATTAAAATACGTACTTTGTACTGGCTCGCTGTTCTCATATTGACTTGACTGTATTTCAATTGATTTCTGCAAAAAGAGAAAAGTAGCCAAATAAAGGGGTTTACAAATATACAATTTTTCAATATTCGTAACTGATTTCAAAGTTAATTGTACTGGTATGGTCATGCGGATGTTCAAGAATTACGTAACCAGATTTACTGCAATTTATCCCCCCTCCTCCTTCGTCTTGTCAGCAATAGTAAGAAAAGCTCTCAAAAATCATAGTACATATACGATTTTTTTTTGTAGGAATCCTCGATAGTGTATTTCGTTTACAAGCATAGACAATATGTGTAAAAAAGTATATAATTACTGATGACGTAATCACCAAATAAGAAAATCAAAGACTCCCCCTGCCCCTATAGTGCTTACGTAATACTTGAACCACCCTAAATAATAGAAATATATTTTTTACTATAAAGATAAAGCTTTCTACTTATATGCTGATTTAATTCTCAACAGAGTTAAGAACTGGCTCCAGTAGAGGTAAAAGAAGTATTCTTCTTTCAACCTAACCGGAAGATCTGAAACCCTATGGCGTATTTTTCGAGCAGGTGTTGTGTATTTATTCATAACAACTAAGTCTCATTAAGCATTTTTAGTTCTCAGCTGACTCTTTTCTGACATAGTCTGATAGAAAGAGACAAAAGAGTACTTATAATTTTTATAAGTTCTCTGTTACCTGCTGTACTTGATAATTTAGTTGTTCGAACTGCATTTTGACGTCATCAAGGGTTTGATGAATGAGGTCTGGTAGTTTTGATAACTCAGCAATCTGGGCCTGCATCTGTGTTAGCCGCTCTTCTAGAGATGCTTTTGGGTCTGTAAGAGGAAATCCTTTATAATTCTAATAAAAGAAGAGTTGATATCAAAAAAGTTCTAATCTAAAGCTACTTGATTTATTATTACGAAAAGGATTTGAATGATCTCAGTACTGGGAAATTGCTCCATTTCTCACTTTAAATATTATTTTGTATTTAAAAGTGCAAGTATCCCTCGGCCGCAGCAACGGAAAATAATAAACGACTCAAATATAGGAGACTTTCCTCCAACTTTGTTTTTGTTCCCTTTTGAAAAGAGACGCTTGGGCCCGTGGGGTTCAAGTGCACAGGCGCTAATTAAAGATTTAAGTTGACGGTAGATAGTACCGGTGACCCCAGAGCTGGTGCTTTCCTTGCTCTACGAATAAGTGTAGCAATACAGCGCGGTAATGCCAGCAAAGGTAGTGTACCTGCCATAGCGACCACTTTTTAAATTTGTTTTAATTTTCATTTATCAATTTTTATTATTATTACTATGTAGGTTTAGAATATTGTAAATATACTGTATATTTGTAATACACGAATATTATTTCGCTTAGGTATAGTGAATTACTTCCAACCGCGAAATCAATCCACCGGTTTGTAAGCCATTTCGATGTCTCTTAAGGGATATTAATATCTGTAGCAATAATGTCGCTCTGGGATTGTGTGGTACAACAACTCAACAGTAAAGTCGGGAACGCTATGGGAGATACATAGGTGCTTAGACATATCTATAGACCGTTAATTAGTGACCTTCATAGAAATTTTATGCTTGTACTGTTTGGCGTTGTAGTGGAGTGGCTACGCTAGTTGCAAACACCTCACTTACCAACCATACTTCGGACGCTATAAAGTAATTGATCCGATAGCTTTGTTGACTCCATTTTTCGTTCTTGCTTCACCTCCATGGACGAGTAATTTGTGGACAGTTCTGAAATTACGTTAAATTAAAGTTTAAACATAATTATTATACGTTATATAGAATTGTGTACAGTATGAAAAATTCAAAGCTATGACGGAAGATTCAGTTATTTCAATTCAGCGTTCACTTTAAATAAAACCGTAACACTAACCAGCCGGTGACCCCAGAGCTGGTGCTTTTTTTAAGTATCGTAAAGATATACTGCCTGTACGAGCAGGTTTTGAAGTTATACTTCTTTAGGCGCGTCATGAAAAATTGATGAGAGTGAAATTTTGCGATGCGCGCGCACCGTGACACAAAATTAACAGAATGAAGTTGCCCACGGAAGATGCAACGGCATTGGACATAATTTAAAAACAACATTCGAATAATAATAGAATTTATGTTACACTTAATGTAAGAGAATAATAATAAATATTTATTTATTTATTTTTTCAAATGTAAACTGAACTTTATTTTCCAGTCTTTGATTATTTAATTGTAATTAATTATTTGCATGCAATCAAAAACTATTTTTAATAATGCCAAAGAAGTATAACTTCTTACGCGCGAACATAAGTACACGCACCCATTTTTTATAAGCGTGGGGGTTTCGTAAATCGTCGGAGTTACCCCCCCCCAGAGTATAGCCAGACGTAGGCACTCTCTTTTGTTACATTGCATTCATTCGTTACATAGCAATTAACATTTCATTATTTCGCTTATTACTGTTGTACGCAAATGGTTAATATAGAGTAAAACTAAAATCCTCTATTATTTAAAGCACCCCGATGACCCAGGAACCGTACACTGCCACTGGGAAGTCTAAATCTAATATGGCGACCCAACTCGGCCCTGGGGTGAGCCGCCATGTTGAAGTTAACGTTTTTCATTAAGAACACAAATTATAGGTTTAAATAAATTGTAATTACGAGCGACTACATACAATATGTTATTTCTTGCTTTATTTACTTATGTAATTTACAAAATTACTGATTTAATTGACTCGTTCACTAATAAAACTTTGACCTTTTTAAATGGGCTCCACAACGTTTTTATTTAAAAAAATTAAACTAATATATTGCTTCTGACAATCCGTCATTCGGTTTGGACTTTGAAAAGGCTTGTGCAATTCATCCATAAATATATTTATCTTGATATAATAAACACATTTTTAATTCAACCTTTATACATTAAATATTTGAAAATAACTTATCATTTTGCTAAAATTCCATAAGACAAATGACCAGATTATACGTTGTAGACAATAGAAAATAAATTGGCGGGAAAGTTTACCTGTCAACCCATGACAGTATGGGTAGTGTTGAGATATTATATACGAAGAAAATAAACTCATGGTATTTGAGACACAGATACAAAAAAATCTCTCTTCACCAACGCTTGTTTTCAGACTAAACGAAAACGAAAGTGATTTTAAATTGTCTTTTTGAAAATACGTTACTTTGCCAAGAATGTTAACGTTATTGTAAATATCCATTTATGTTTGTAGGCCGAGAAATAAATTTTAATTAAAGCTTGAAAATACTAAAATTAACTACGCTCGTGTTACTTATTAACTGGTATTTAATCTGTTAGAGTTAATTTAACTATTTATTAGATATATACTTACCAGGTGTTTTGTGTGTTTCCTCCGTCGTGTACTCCTGTAATTAATAAATAATTACGCTTTAATGTGTGTGTGATATAGCAAGGTAGAATAAGAAATTCTTCATATCACTTCGTTTCTTTAGGCACTTTTGCCTATATTTTTATGATAAATTTTAATTAGTTACGGAATCACCTCCGAGGCGACCAATCAGGCCTTCCCTTTTCATACAAAATTCTACACATCCAAAGGTTAACGATATGTTAATTCACAACAATATAATTTTATAGATTATATACAATAAAATCACGGATTAATAATCTTAGAACATTCGTGGAACTTTCTACGAAAACCTTGACGTTACGTTGATGACACTACTTGATTATTCAATCACGCGGCACAATAAGGTGCCAATTTACTCTTCAATCCATTTTAATATATTCTATTATCAACATTACCGAATACCAACCACTGTTATATTATATAGTATATTTTTTTTCGTACATTTGTTATATACAACATGAAAATTATGTTTAATATAAAATGACAAATCATAATAATTGTATTATCTCTTCTGTATGCCGTTTTTGCATATAAGTGCTTGTCACATTAAAAATTGTATATTTTGTTTCTTTTACCAATCAGTGTGCCGAGCGTTGGCAAGCTTTTATCAATAAAAAAAAGTATTTTTACTCTCATTATACAATTATACATATAACAATATAATAGTAAGAATTTGGTTTTGCTTTGTTAGTATTGGTTAGTTAACAAAACAAAAAGAGTCCTATAGTGGGGCATGGACAGCATACCAACGTTTAAAGATATGCATGTCCTTTGTGTTGTTTTTTTTTTTTAATTTTTCATTCAAGATACCATCGGCGCTATAACATGATACATCATCATCCCTTTTCGGATTGATGGCTTAAAACCGTCAGTTCGGGTCTCGGCAAACAGACTCGATGCACTGCCCAACATAGTAACAGTATAGCATACAGGCGAATGTATAATATTAAAAATGTAATTAAATAATTAATTTTAATGTAAAAATACAGAAAACATGAAGTTTCCATAATATTTTAATTGCCATGTCATAAAGTACACTGGTTGGTTCACATTTTTTTTATAATTTACTACGATTCTCAATGAAATAAGTTTCGTCGGGAATTGAACTTAGAATTACCAGGTCGTGTGGGTGTAATTAAAAATCACATTGAGACTAATTAAATGTGACTATTTTTATACGCTTTATATTAGCTTCACCTGTATGTATGTCTGTATGTATGTAACCTACTCCTTCGGACTCGATTTTGACCCACTTTTAACGGACAGATTTGATTCAAACTTTGTGCACCTGTCAACGATCGATGACAATGCAATAATAGGAAAAAAAATAAAAAAATTTAACTAAAAAATAAATAATAGTTTAAAAAACTAGAACACACGCTTTATAAAGAAAACTAAACTAAAAAATATAAAGCGTGTGTTCTAGTTTTTTAAAACTATTATTTATTTTATAATTTTCTCTTAACGTGCCAACAAAAAAATTAGTAAACTCTGTTAAAATTCGAAAACAGCAAAACAATTGCAAGCAAAACTGCAATGGATCTTTAGTTAACATTATAAATAGCAAAATACCTTGATTGTATTGTCCGCAACACCTCTCAACACCTCAATATATTTAAAACTGAATTATCAATGTCGTGCCAAAACGTTGAATTGACTCTACGCCAAAGAATACAAGTCAATAGAAATTTATTGATTTTTAATTTGTTTAAATAATGCTTACTATATCGTTAACACGTGTCTCGACCCTGAGGTTCGAATCACGGTTGTGTACCCATAATTTTTTCTATGTCTGAATACTTGTTCGTACGGTGAAGGAAAATATTGGGAGAAAACATGTCTAACGCTTAATTTCGACAGTGTGTGCAAGGCCAGTGTATCTTTGAGAATGTCGAGTCTGTGCGGAAACAAGTACGTCGTTGGTTTAGAGGCTACAGTTTTAAATTACCCTTTTTAATATAAAACTTACACACACACCGTTTGACAGTAATCATGTTATGAAAATAAAGTGGAAAAATAAATTATATATATTGCTTTATTTGCAGTTTGTAGTTTCCTATAGGTACATATTGTCGCTGTGGCATGATAACCTCGTATGTCCAGAGAACCAAACATTACAGGAAACGAAATAAATGTTTAATTTTGTCATTGCTCGTTAAAATATTATTATGTGTTTTTGCCCATAGTTTTAGATGGTAAAAAGGACTTATTTATTAATAACATAATTATACCAGTAAAATGACGTAAGAGTCTAAGGATACAAAATAAATGGTTTTTTGAGGTTATCCTTCTACAGTGACAATATGTCCTCCATGGCCTCAAGACAATCAGTGCTGTGGTCACAAGGCTTGCTCGAGTATCCTCGTACTGGTATGCAGTAGAAACAGGGTGGAGATAGAACACAGCCTTGTGGGACTCCAGCGTTCACTGGTTTCGGTCAGGTCGAAACTAACGACCTTGAAGCTCCTTTTTTTTATATAAGGCATTATAAATTAGTAAATTAATGATTGATGCTTTTATATAATAATCAACTTGATGAAGCGTTCGTTTATAAAACCCTGCGCCTTATAGCGATTGTAATAAATATATGAATGGAATAATGAGGTAAAATTAATACTACTGTATTTTTTTTAATTAAATTTAGTTTGAGCATTCATTGTAAATGTGATAATTTGTGTACCTGTTAATAAATGTTTCTTAAATTGCATAAATGCCAAGCTGCTATTCTTTCCGCACAGACTCGAGCACACAAAGTCTTAGAATGGAAACATATTTAAAGTGGAAATTTCATCTATCACACATACCAAACTAAAATCTCTTATAGGCAGATTTTGGTCAATATCAAAATGCATTCCGCAATCTGTACGTCATTTAATGTATAATTGTTAAGTCAAGCCACATTTCATATATCTAATTGAAATATGGGGTACACCACGCAAAAACAAAATTTCTAACAAAAAAACACTACAAAATAAATTAAATCTACCAAAAAACCAAAATTATGACGATTTAACAACTATATTATGTTTATAGCAACTGTATCTTAATTTAATAAAATTATATAACTCTCTCCATAGCAGCTTATCATTTAATAAAATCAAACACCCACGACACGCAATACTCGTCGAGCAATTTTGCAAATAATTTGTACGCGACTTCGGCAAGATTGAGGTGATTAAGTATGAGGGTGTGCAATTATTTAATCAATTTAGGTATAAAATTCGTAAAATTAGCGAGTTTTACCAATTTAAAAGATGCATCAGAATGAGCCTAGTAGACTAAAATAAAGACGGCTGATGGCGACGTGTATCTCGATTGTATATATCAAGTTTCTTATGTAAACAAAAATAGATTCTTGTTATGAGAAATAAAGTTCTTTAAACATTAAACTATAGAAACTGTAAGGAAAATCGTTGCTTCAAATCCGTCAATTTCTTAGCGAATTGACAAATAATTAATTAACACGATAAAAGAACCATATTTAATGTCTGTTCTGTCTTGCTTACCTGAACAATTGGAACAACAAACTCCTTGCTATTTCCGCACTCTTCACCCTCATCCGAGAACCGTCTTGAGGTTTCAACCATCTTGTCAATTAGAACTTCAACCTTATTATCCTCACTTTGGTATTCGTTGACAGTTCTGGATTCCGAACTGGATATTTCGGAACTGGAGTGTTCCATTATGCCTGCTGCGGATTTGTATTCCTCTATCCTTTTTATTGTTTTGTCTATGGCTGATGCGAGGAGGTTTGACTGTCTCCCGATTTCTAATACTTCTTCCTTGAAAAGAAATAAAATGTCTTTGAAATTAACCCCTTTATTCATAATAACTGAAAGTCTTATCTTTTTGGACTTGATAAATAGAAACAGACCACTGTGTGATTGTAAGGAGTAGTACGGTAAGTCTTTTTTTATATAACAAGCAAACGGGCAGGAAGCTCATCTGATGTTAAGTGATACCGCCGCCCATGGACACTACTAATGCCATTTGAGAATTAATATTTATCGCCCTTTTATTGAAAGACCCTAAGTTCGTTCTAAAATACTTCAGTGGGCAGCTGGTTCCACATAGAGTCGTTGAAAGGCAAAAACTGCCTTAAGAAACGCTCAGTTGTGGAACGCTGTACGTCGAGGTGATTCGTATTCTGTCTTGACGTCCGATGATGAAACTCAGCTGCCGGTATTAAACCAAACAACTCCCCTGAACACCCTATATGGTAAATGCAGTAGAAGTTGCAGTGAGACCCCACATCTCTATGCTACGTCAATGGATCAAGCCGCTCGGAAAATGACCGGTCTGGGACGACAGCATCTCTAGTGCTGTCGTCCACGAGAGTTGCTAAGTTGCAACATATCATTGATATGCAGAAGAAACAGGGTAAGGATAGGACACGGCCATGTGTGACTCCAGCGTGCACCGGTTTCGGTCAGGTCGAAACATGCGTCGTCGTCATCCGTCGATGACGACCTTGATGCTCCTTTATTTTTTATTAAGATTTTTTATACAGGGTGGTCAAAAAGTCGTGGTACAAACGTAACTAGGGGTCATCAGCTGCAAAAAATTGTTCTACGGGAGGTCCCTAAGCTCAACCCCTGCAGAGTTATCATTTATTTTGCGTCTTTATAAGAAAATTGACTTTTTTTACTAATTCTTGTTAAAATTCGAAATAATCTACACCTGTAACTTTTTCATAATATACACTAGATTGGTACTGATGAGTCCATGCGTTAGACATATTATTTATAGTTGTTTATTGAGTGTATTGAACATAATATTAAGTTATACGATATACAATTTTTTCAAATTATAACTTATACGAGTAAAAATACTCTACTGAAAAGTGACCCTGTATTACAAGTTTTGGCGCATTTAATAGGGATTGTGAAAAGAAATTACACATGGCTATGAGTCGCTCTAATATCTTTCTGTATCCTGTATGAGGCATTAAAAAATTAGATTTTAATTTAATTCGATTTATAAATGAATGAAGCATATTTGGTACGACAATTTAAAATCATTTTGTTGTTGCATATGGTCTAGTTTCCTGTATGGTTTTGACAGCGTTTTATAAAACCCTGTTATGCGCCTTATAGCGATAGTAATAAATTTATGAACTAAATAATGAGGTCCATAAATACGAATTCAATAGTCAGTTTTTTGACTTATTTGACTGTGTTTTCTTATTACGATAAAAAATAGGCAAGCTGTCAACCTCAATTTTTATATCGATAAAAAACAGATCACACGCCATAATGTTAGAGGAATACTAGAATGTATGTAGCAAAGAATAGGAATGTTATGTGTACACGGGGAATAATGGTTGCACAGAAAGAACTTACCTCTGCCAAAGATCGCCGGTCAATAAATGTTGTCAATGAATAGATGTAGTGTTAGATAATTATGTATAGTTTATATACAGTATGGGTGAAACAACGACAAATTAGAAATTACATAATATTTTAAACATTTTTGACATGATAAACGATTCCATTCTTCTTGTTTCGTCGATCAACAATTGAGCGCTTTTTAAGGCAGTTTTTGCCGGGTAGGTACTACTACTATGTGGAACCATAAAGTATTTCCGAACCAATTCGACTTAGGGTCCTTCAAGAAAGGAGTGTACGAATTTGGCGGGCAATGCACTTGCGAGCCTTCTGGCAATGTGAGTGTCGTATTATCAGATGTTAAAAAAGCTATGAAATAAGATTTAGAGTTATTGTTAGCTAAATGGCTATTGCATCAAACATAATAATTTATGTTTATTGTTTTTATTTGTAATGTAACGAAGTTTAAATGAAAAAAAAAACTCCCTTTATGCCAAAATCTATTTAACTTTTTTTATTTAAATTTAAAAAAATTTAACACTCGAGCGTAAGTCTTTAAAAACGGTAAAATGGTTGGTTCATTTGAAAAATACTGAAAACCTCGCTCGCGTTTTATTTTAAAACACCATTTACAACTGCGCATGACTTTCATAGATGCCAGAGATATTTATGGACGTATTTCAAATGCACTAGAGATTGGTTGCGGCTTTGCACGCCTCTAATATAAATAAAAATAAATCGCAAAATATGTTGCTAAGCGCATAACTCGAAAACGGTTAGATTAATTTTTGTATTTTTATTTATTCTTTGGACCCTGAGGTTTTAATGGAGAGAGAAATTAAAAAAAAAAGGAAAAACGAAGTTCGCAGTAATATATAATTTTAATGCCAGAAAATTAAAAACACCACAACATAATGCATAATAATACCTAGCATTAAGTTTACCTAACTGTAATTATTTCCGACCCAGAATATAGCCTATAATAGAGTTATACAGAGATTGGAATTATCTAGTGAAGTTAATTTACTTAAGTCTTTTACAACTGCCTTGCGATTCTGTAACTCACTTCTCGAACGCTCACAGCGGTTTTCGCAGCGGCGGTCGCGCTCAAATCAGTCGTAAAGCAGTCATTTTACGATTTGGCATTCTGATAAACAATAAACTACAAGAAATGGCAGTAGGTAACTGTAAAAATAGAAGCATTATATATATCTTCATATATAAATCACGTGTCACGTTTTGTCCGCGATGGACTCCTAAACTACTTAACCGATATCAATCAAATTTGCACACCGTGTGTAGTTTGATCCAATTTAAAAGATAGGATAATTAACATCTGAATTTATACCCGCAATATTATTTTATTGCAAAATATTTGTTTATTATTTGATAGTCACAATTCTAACAGATGGCGCTGTGTTGAAAGTACCTACTTTTCACATAAGCTACAATTTAATGGCATAACCACCAAGAAAGCATGGTGGTCCCCATTACTGGTGTTCTCCTACCGTTTCCCTTGATAAGTTTACAACTATGTAATATAACAAAAACCTTAGGCACAGCAACGCTTGGCCGGTCTGCTAGTATATATATATTTTTGACGTTCATAAGTGTACATTGTGTTACCTATATGAATAAATGATTTTGACTTGAAAGAATTTAACAAATATTATGTACCTTGGTTAAATCGAATGTGTCGCCACCCCCTCTCAATCCTGGCTTTGAATAAAATGGTTTAGCTCTTGAGGATGATGTCATTGAAGCAGGTGACGTCACGGGCGGTGAAGTGGGCGGAGTCGGTAATGGTGGATCGAATATTCTCTGTTCTATTGATAATTCCATGTGGGGAATAAGTTTCCTTCTTATTTCTTCATCTGATTCAGAACTGGAGCTAGATGTACAATCACGCGGTACTGGAGTACCTTCTCTACTTGGTAATGGTGCCGTGAGGCGGAATACATATTCATCTGTTAAAGGTGTTGCAGGTTCTATAGGCGGACTTTTTAATTCTTGGCTGTCAACTCTAGTTTTTTCGGAAAATGCACTTTCGATTTGTTTTTCCGTAATTTTATTCTTAATTGACAATACTTTGGCTTGTGACATAGCCATTTCTTTACTTGCTATTTGTATTGTAGTGTCATGGTGCTCAGATAATAACGCATGCCTTGATTCAATATCTTTTTCTACAACTTTGATATCCTGTTGTATTGCTTGTCTATTCAGTTCCAAAGATTGCATTTCAGATTGAGAAATAACTTCACTTTGATAAAACCCACTGTTTTCTTTGCTTTCTGTTTGTATTGTTCCTTCTGTGTGTTGTAAAGATTTTGAAGACTGCTTCTTTGATTTCGCTAATTTTGTTGAATTTCGTTGACTTGATGATTGATCTACTTCTTCCTCAATCACCCCTGCAATGTCTTGTCTCTTGTGAAGTTGTGATGTCTGTGATTTTGAGGTTATTTCAATAAGACTCCCTGTACCGATTGTAGCTGACTCATTGCTCAACTGTAATACTTTATTAACTTGACTGTGTACATGTTCCCCATTTTCCATAGCATATTCCGAAGACTGCTCTTCCATTCGAGTTTCGATCGTATGCTGAGTTACTGCTCCCATGTTTCTGTCGGATTCATATTGTCGTTTTTCATATTGATATTCAATTTCAATGGATTCTACTTCATCTTCGGAATCAGATATTTGATATTCTATGCCAATCGACTGTGCAACAGAAATTTCGGCTTGTGTATATCGCCTTTTTCGAGTAGACCTGTAGTCCAATTCTACTATAGGAGTTTCAGCTTTCGGTTCATGTCTTGCATACGGAGTTGCAACACAAAACAAATAAACATCATTTACCGGTGATGTGGGAGATGGGCTCTTGCTACTATCACTCTCGCTTAACTTTACTTCCGAAATAGCTACTGTAGATTTATGGGACTTTGATTTGAGGTCTGCGTCTACGGACTGAATAGTAGAAGCCATACCATTTTCCATATATTCTATATCTTTTTTTATAAACTCTGTATCTAACTCCAGTATTTCTGCTGTTTTTTTATTTTTTACTGTTATTATTTTCTTTGTTTCGTCTTTCACAAATTCTACTTTGTAATTCATACCTACTTCTTCACATTGGTCATCCAGCACATCAGTTATTTCTACTTTTGATTTTTTTACATCGACTTCATTGATTGTTGCTTTTAATGTATCGAAAGATTCAGCTTTACCATAACTTTTATTAATTTCTTTAAACGTATGAAATTTTTCATCTTTAACTGAAGATAAAGCGATTATTTGACCAATATTTGCTGCTGATAATTCTTGCACTAGAACTTTAGCTTGGTTCTTTAATATTTCGGAGGGTTTTGCTCCTATTCCCACTTCTTCAAGGGGTATAGCTGCAGTTTGGGAAAGAGATGCCAGCGGCTGTACGGCAAGACTAGCTACTTGTCCAATGGCTTTACTTGAAACAGAAAATGATTTTTCTGATTCTGCTATTCTAATTTGCACGTTTTCTGCTACTGATTTAGTACTTTCTTCTACTAAACTTTTGGGTTGTCTAAAATCAATTTTGATTTGATCAGAATTTAACTGTATTGCTTCTTCTGAAATTACAAGTGATCCTTCCAGAGCTTTTTGTTCGTTAACTTTCAAAGACGCACTTGCTTTAACTATTAAAGGCGTTAAGAGATTATCATCTTTAGGACCTAGTATAACATTTTGTTGAATGTGAGAGACAGTCATCTTTGCGTCTTCCATTAATGTATGATGTTTCCGCTCTTTTATTTCAGGAAATTCAAGTAAGTCACATTGAGGTTCTAAAATGGCTATTTCAGTGACACTAGTTGCGTCGGAGGTTTTTAAATTCAAGTTTGCGTGTTCTTTTGAACTTTTTGAGACGACGAAAACGCCATCTTTTGGACCCTCTAGTAATGGTATCGAAGCTTCAGGCACTATCAGTAGTGGTTCTTCTATTAAAGATCGCGGTTCCTTTACTTTAACTTGTGGTACGTCAAAGGGTATCTGATGGGGTTCAGCTAAGAGCACTTGTGTAATAACGGTTGGTTCTATTTTATCAACAGCAATTTTCGCTTCTACCTTGTGAACTGTTGGTAAGTAAAATGACTCCAATTTAGGCCCTTCTGGAATTGAAACTGCGGTCTCAGGTATAAATCGAAATGAATCATCCATTAGTACTTTAGGCGCTTTTATATTGAAGGTGTAATTTTTCAAATTATCGGGCTTGGGTTCATCAATTAAAGTTATACACACTTCTGCTACACGTTTAGATTCAGGTACTAAGAGTGGCTGTATTTTTTCTTTAGGTAATTCAGTTTTGTCAACAAACCCAATAGCTTCATCTGTTAACGTTTCCTTTGTTTCAGCAGTTACTCTTACTGGTAGCTCTACTGCAATTTCGGGTTCGGTACCTTTGGCCTTAAATTTATTGAATTCTTCACCAATATCATTCACGTACATTTCAAATTTTTCGGCCACATTTTTCATGGGTTCCATGGATTGTTGAATACTTTCTTTACTTCCTAAAATGGATTTAAAATCTATACTTTTTTCACTTAGCATTGTCTGATTTATTTCAGCAACAGCTTTTGTAGCCGGTTCCATACTTGAAACGTGGTTTTGCCTCCTAGCTTGCATTAAATCAGTATTTATATTTGTTGTTTCTTCTGTAGACGTCTCAATCTTCTTCGCTATAGTTTTGTGTGGTATTTCTATAGTCATTTTAATTTTTTCTTCATTACTTTTTTGCATTTTATACAAATCCTCAGACATTTCTGAATATACCTTTTCTACTTGAGCCACAGTTTGATATGGTACTTCGACACAAGTTTTAATATTTTCATTAATCAGAGCATCCCTTTTAAAGATACTAAGATTTGCTATATCAGTAGAAGTTTCGAAAGTTTGTGCTACAGCTTTAATAGGTTGTTCATATGTTTCTCGGATCAACTCTGTTTGAATTTTTGCTGTCGATACGTTGGTACATGACTCATCAAAATTAGTTTCTGATTTTTGTGCTACTAACTGGAAAGGATATTCGATAGTTTGTTTTAGGTGTTCTAGATCCAGCTCCTTTTTCTCGAAGGATACGGTTGTTTCACCAATATAAACTTCACTTTTCTTAGCAACTGTAGTTGAAAAAGGTTCCAGTTTTATTTTGGATGTTTCTTGTTTAGTTTGTGGTGTATCAATAAACTCTATGTTTGATTGATCAGTGAATGTTTTCATATTTACGGCAACAGATTGAACAGGTGTTTGTACTAATTCTTTAGATCTTACTTCAGTGGGTATTGCTAACTCTAAAGGCCTTGATTGGGGTTCATTTACTTCTACTTGTGACACTTGAGCTATTGATTTTACTGGTTCCTCAATTAAAGGAACTGGTTTGCTACCTGCGTTTTCAGTAATATCTAGTATTTCTACTCTTGGCTCCACTGTGTCAATTTTAGTGGTTTCAGCTATTGATTTTAAAGGTGGTTCAATTAAAGTTACTGATTTCCTATACTTAATTTCAGGTAATATAAAGGAATCGTCTTTTTCATCTTGAAGAACTACAGGTTTAATACCAGCTATTGAAATACTCGATGGATGCGTTGCATGCCAAGCCTGCTTAACAGCTGTTAGTTTGTCTACTTGCATCTCTATTACGGGCTCTAATACTTCTGTTGTCTTCTGAACAGCAATGCCAGTTTTCACCTGTTCTATTGCTGGAAAACTTTTGTATTCTTCCACTGGCGTTATATCTTCTATAGATTCAACTACAACTACTTTTTCTATTGGTTTTTCTTTATTTATCCTTATTGTTTGGTGTTCCAGCTGAGTACAAAGAGCAAGCTGCTCTTTTGCTTGTATTATACTTTCTCCTTTAGAATCGAATTCCTCAAACATTTCTTTTCTTTCCTCATATTTTTCTTCTTGGGTATCCCGAAATATTGCGTCTTGGTTTGTAAAAACATGAGCTTGTACAATTGCTATATAGGTGAGAGGAGTTTCATTATACATTTTTTCTTCAACTAGCTTTTCAATTGTTTCTTTTTTAATTGTTTTAGACTCCATATATTTTTCAGATTTTAGACTTTTACTGATTTCAGGTTGTCCAATATCATAATATTCACTCCATTCTTCTGTAACGAATGCTCTGTAAACATTTTTACCTTCAACGTCTGAACTTATATATTCCATAAAATCACCGTTTACTAATTTATCTTTTGCAGCACTACGACTTCTTGACCTACTTCTCCTCGTTGTCGTTCGTTCAATACCAGTCCTTTTTTCAAACTCCGTTATAACTGTATCCATTCTTTTAGTAAACTCTAGCGGAGTCTTTCCAAATTTTCTAGACATTTCAGCACCCGATAAGATCATCTCTTCGTAGTATTCTCCTTCGTTAACCAAGTCTTCTAGTTTACTATTAAATGAAGAGTTAAAATTATTTAACTTCGGATTAGATGTATTTGAGGTCCTTGAAAGATGTCTAGATAAAAAGACCGTGAAGTTCGTTAGTTGTAAGAAAATTCGTTTAATAAGCACACGATTAAAGTTATTGGATTGCATGTAAGTTTTCATGTAAGGTATTGTCTGTAACCCTAAATAAAAAGCAAGTCTTTTCGCTGATTTTAGAATAAATTCTTTTTTACTGCTAATTTTCTTATAGGAATCATTCTTTTCTTTTATTTCTCTTCCTTCCGGATCTTTTCCTGTCATCTCAACATCTATCTCTTGCTTAATCTGTTCAGCTACTGAGACAGCCTTTTTAATATTTTCATCAATAATATTAAACGCTGTCATTTTAATAGATTGCAAGTTCCTTTTACTTTCTCTTTTATCCTCCCATTTTAAGCTATTATACTCCCGGGTTTCATTATTTTCTACATTTTGCAGTTTATGCCTTTTTGTTTCATTTTGGTGTGTAACATTGTTTTGATATAAATAATTTTTATTATCTTTTGTAAGTGATTGTACATATTTAAGTCTTTCAACGATAATTTTTACTGCGTGTTCTTTTCTTCTTAACTCGGAATCATCATGGTTTATTTTATTATTCGGTAATATACCTTTGTAATTTGGATTTAAAATTATTGGGTTCTCAATAGGCGGAACTTTTATAGTATTAGTGAATGGTTTATACGTTTTGTTCGGGATGGAAAATACTGCTTGATGTGTAAATAAATTTAGAACTTCATTTGATTCTCTACTCGAAGTTTCATCGATTCTTTGAGTATAGATTCCCTCGTAGTTTCCCGGGACAGGAATTCTGGAAATACAATTAAAATATGAGTCTGAATTAAAAACAATATTTAACTATGTTATCAACCAGTTCCACGTTGTTTTAATATTATTATATGTATGCTAACAAAATATCTTCCAAGTATAAAAATTACGGCGAAACAAAAATGATGAAAAGTCTTGTAACGACCGTTAATCATATCAAAATCTTCAAGATTCGTTTAAGTGGCTTTATTTGAGTTAAGATAATTTAAAGTGAAATAATGCATAAAACCGAGTTTCATAATATGTAATACGAATTTGCAATTCTTCTCTTTCTTTTTTAAAAACACTAGCTTTCATCCATAATTGTAAAATTGTGTTATATCAAATAATTTAATCCGGTAAATGTGATATCTTAAAAGTTACACTTGTCATGATCACGCTCGTAACTTACAATTCTAATTTCAATAAATTTTTTATTATATATATGACATGTTCATTAAATAACATGGACTAATTTTTATCCCTTCGATGTACAATCTACCAACCATAACTTTTCACATAATATAAATTCACTGAACACACACACAACATAATAGCTCCTGTATGATCACACACAAATGAAATATTGCAAAAAAAAACACAAAAACCTACACAGGTTGAAATTTCATGGTACGTTTTTTTCACCGGGCAAACTATGAGGGAATGATGTTTAATTGTAGTGGGTGGCAGTGTGATTTATTGGAAAATTTCCGGGATGAATCAGTTTTAGGGATCCACGGAAATATTTCCACTTTATATAGTAACCCTACGTTTCTTAGGGACTCCACAATATTCATTAGTTTTATTTCAATGTAAAACTTTTTCGATAGAGTCTGTTTTTTATTTTACAGAACGATACAATCTAAATCATGCTACATTTGAAAACTACTATTAATGAATAGCAGTCTTGTTAGGAGCGCGAAAAATTAATATAAAAATATTTCTGGAACTTGTTTTTATGTTGTTTAACGTTAAGCTATCTTATAACCGACCGGTTAGTCCATTTATTAGCCGTAGTAGTAAATACTTCAAAGTTTTCAAAGGACAACCCGTATCACCACTGAATTATTATCAGTGTGAACAAAACCACCGCTTCCTTGGCTAAGATTTATTCTTTTTTTCCTAATTTAAAGCAAGATATATATGTATGTATATTATGTTAACGTAAAATTGTAAAAACCGTTAGATTGTAATCTATCTCGCGAGATAATAAACTGTCAAAAGATTGTGAAACTCAGCGTACTGCTTACTATTTAACGTATTATTATTCGGTAGATTGTAATCTATCGAAGTGAAACCGTCAAATTGTCAAACGGATCGCACCTCGCGCGCTGATTGGTTGAACATAGATCGCGACATAGATTACAATCTAACGGTGTTTACAATTTTACGATAACATATATATGCTACTACAGAAGAGGACATCACTTCACGCATTGCCAAGAGCAACCTTTGCACAACTTCGGCATGGATGGCAATCACGGATGTTGATGTGTCGAATCAAGGTTAAAATATTCGGATCCAACGACAAATCTGTGCTGCTCTATGGGTGTGAAACGTGGAACGTCACCAAAGACATCTTGCACCGACTCCAAGTCTACGTCAACCGCTGTCTTCGCCGTATTCTGGGCATCTACTGGCCTGAAAAGATCTCTAACGAGCAACTTTGGGAGCGCTGCCGAGAAACCCCTGGGATATAACCCGGAATTGGATAGGCCATACACTCCGAAGGGATCCCAATCTCGAAAAATTGCGTGACGTAATACTTGAACGCTCCCTTACACGTTAAACACAATGCGAAACCAAATAGTTCATGTAACGTTTCACACTTAGCCGTACAATATTGGCAATGCATCAATCAATTATTTTATATTGGCACTCATTATCTTGTTAGCTCACTGTCATGACATTTACATTGAACTAAATACAATTATATATGTCGCAGCCAAATAACAAAGTAAGCCGTTTATTAACAGCCTAGCCTTTCAACTATCGGCCTGAAAGATATTCCTTCGCGTTTGTAAAAACGTTTAATAAACTGGCTAGCTAATGCTTAGGCCATTCCTACGATACAAGTTGAAAAATCTGACATAAAAAATATTTCTTTAAAAAATTAAATTGTTTGAGTCAGTCACAGCTAAATGCACATTATTATAGTCACTACACTCTTCCATTGTACTTGTTGTTTTTCATTAAACTTTGGAAAACACCATCAAAGTTGTGGCTTGCCGACGCCATATTATATTGACATTTTGAAGAGTTTCGTTTCGAGTTTGAGAGTGCCAGAAAATGGAACTAAATTTAAACTAACAGTGAACAGGCTAGGCGAGTAATGTAACGTCATCGATCCTAGCTGTTTGATCAAATGGCTGAATATCATTCAGGCCGCTAGTTGAATTAAGAGGCGCTGTTTAGTTAAGAGGCTAGTTGAATGAACGGGTAATTAAGCTAGTTCGCTGCGACATATTATACATCTATTTATAATCGGAATGGGCCTGTGTGATTCTCCTGAGATCCTATATTCGAACCTCGTGCACCATGGATTCTTTTTTATAGATACTGGTATAAAGGAAGTCTCACTATAGACTTGAAAGAGAATATTAGGTGGCTTAAAAGATTATTTATTATATTTATATTATTGGTAGGCTAACGTAGAATAAATTTTCTTTTGATAGAATTTATATACTTAAATAAACATACTGCGTACGATACAACGATTATAGCTGTCATACAATTTTTCGATACATTTTTTATAGAACGATTTGTCTTCCTCAAAAAATATTAGTTTAAAAAAGTAGGATTAAGTTTACTTTGTTCTTTTGCAAGAAATAAACAGGCTTTTTATTTTATTTTATTCATTTTCTTCCTCAAAATAGTCTTCAGTTTTAAAATTTCTGGAGCATTCTCTTGAGGTCTGAGAACTGGAAAAAGTGTGTGCCAAATCTGGATAATTCAGTGGATGCGGAAGCAATAATTCGAATCCCAATTCATGGAATTTTGTCATCGTTTTCGTTGTTATTATACTTAGGTACAGGTTAGGTAGATAAAGGTTATCATACTCAGGTAACCTACCTGAGGTTGGAGGTTCTGGAATTAGGTAATAATTCCTATAGGAATACTTGTAGTTAGCCATTTTGTAAATATTTTAATGTTCTATTATTTTATGTGTATGTATTGTTTTGAAGAATGATAATCTACTCAAGCACGTGTGTTCACACGATTTAAGGCAGTTTTTGCCGTGTTTGCGAACCATTTCGACTTAGAGTCTTTCAAGAAACGAGCGTACTAATTCTTAAAAGGCAGGCAACGCACTCGCGAGCCCTCTAGCATTAACAATGTCTATCTTTATAGAGGCTGTAAAACAACTATTAATGTTCTAATCCTTGTAGGTATCTTTCTTCTTTAGATGATTTTGGTATGTTTGTCGTCCGGGTTTATAAATTGCTGTCATATTTTTTTTTACTTTGCTCTGTATCATATTTTATATTAGTGATTATTTTTCCGACCCAAATATCGACCAATAGAATTGCACCATTCGACGTCACGTGGTACAACCTACATGGTATTTACTGATAATTTTTTGAAAATTTTCTCTGGAAGTTGCTTCAAGAAAAGTATTAAGTAGTTGTTTTATTCATTATGAAATTCTTATTTGTTAACTGTACATTTCGTCTCATGGTGCAATTCTATTGGCCGACATTTGGGTCGGAAAAATAATCCCCCGAATACCACACGAGCTTCAAAATTATCTGGCATTTCCCTCAAGGTTCCCTGCAAACAAATAAAAACAAAAAAAAATTTTAACCTGAAAAACTTGACTCCTTCATTTGTTTGCAACGAACCTATCGGGAAATACCCGATAATTTTGAAGCTCTTGTGGATACATCCAATGTGTTTATTGAATGTTTTATTTTTTAACTTTTTTATTGTATAGAGATCTGTATCTGTTTTGTTTTCCCAAATAAATAAATAAGATAGACACACTGACGCTTGTAGGCCAACACTGCTTTAATATAAGGAACAACAATTAAATAAATTCCATTACAGATTTCCTAGTTAAAGTAGGGAACGTTTAATCACAATAAACAATTATGTTTTAAAAACATTGTTCAAAACAATAATTGTTTGTAAACAATAGCATCAATGAAATTCAGTATTTGGAACTGTGTTTAACAAAGTTCATGTTCGCTTTTAATAATTATTAATTGTGTTTCCTATATATTTAATTATTGAATAGGCTCTGATAAATAATTATTATATATTTAATATAAGTATAAATAATTTTATAATTATTAGTGTATCGACAATTTATGATTATGCAGAACAAACCAGCTTTTATTTAGCGACTTTTTATTTAAACATAGACAAAGGGACAGGCTATTAAAATAATACTTCAATGTATTTACTATTGTTCTGTGTATTGTGTGTATATTCTATGGAGCCAGAAATAGTGGATTTATTGACTCCCCTTAAAGAATTGGGGGAAGCATGCGGCTATGACGTAAGTATATTTCGTTTGTTAATATAATATATAACCTACAACTTAATAAGTGTAATTACGTGTTCTTAGAAAACTGTTCTGTCTGTTTTTATGACAGCATTCACAGCGTTAGTATAAAAGATGAGTAGCGTAAGTTTAAACAGTGGAATTGATTCGACTTTTATTATTATGCTGCCTTGCGATTCTGTAACTCACTTTTCGAAATCACACAGCGGTTTTCGCAGCGGCGGTCGCGCTCAAAAAATGACTGCTTTACGACTGATTTGAGCGCGACAGCCGCGGAAAAACACTGTGTGAGTTCGAAAAGTGAGTTACAGAATCGCAAGACTCTACCTTAACGGATGTGTGTACGTGTGTGCCTAAATCACATTAATACGTTGAAATACTGTATATCACCGCTATGACGGCCGTCATGCAAATGACAGCACTGCTATTTGACGTTACGGTGACACTCAACGTTCTCTAGAAAACCTACTCAGATTTATAGACAACGTATGGGTGACGTCTCCCAACGCTAAATTACGGCCGTTAGATAACGCCACCGCTTTTCTAGGAAACCGTAGCTTTAGTGCACAAGCAGGTTTGAACCTACGACCTTAGGGACAAGAGTCGCACGCTGAAGCCACTAGACCAACACTGCATCTGTATACGTCGATAGAAAAATTCCGTTTCTGAAAGCATAGCATACACTAGAGCAGGGGTAGTCAGTAGTCACAGGAAAAGCCTATTCCAGCCGAGGTACGCTCGCCAATACAGCCCCAGCTGAGCTGTAAAGACCCTTAAGGCCAAAAGCGACATTCCATAGTAGAAAAAAATTGCCAGGGCTACTCCAGGCCGGCCAGTCAGTGGTTAGACTGGTCGAAGATCCTCCCTTTGGGTCAGAGGAAGAGCAGAACCGTCCTTCCTCCACAACCAATTGAATTTGACACACAGCAGTTTTGTGTTAAATCAAGACTTTATTTTTTTCAGGCCTGCCCGAAATTATCAGAAGACCGCATCAATGTCCACATTGTGCCGCATTCGCACGCTGAGCTGGGTTTTTCAAAATATTTCGACGATTACTGGACGGGTGGTGATTTCGATGCTACAGGTATGATCCGATAGATTGTGGTTGGTGAAACAGAACGAGAAACTGTGACGCTGTGATTGGACGCTGTTGACCTATCAGAAACAATTTTTTGAAGTTTGAAATTCTACTTCTTTTGGCGCGTTAGGGAAAAATGATGAGAGTAAATTTGTCACAAAAAATTGACACCCTGAAGTTAGCATAGTCAACAATTTGAAATAAAAAGAGTCAATTTCTTTAATTATGTAGATTTTTTTTTGTGATATTCAAATAAACTTTATTTAACTAGATAATGCGTTATAATAAAACTTTCAATGTATTAAATACCTTTTTTCTATTGTTAGTGTAGTTTTTTCTACAAACGTAGAATACAATTTTTGAAAAGATTTTCATCTTGTTACGACAAAGAAGTGTAACTTCTAACGCGTGTACATGAGAACACAAACGTTTTTTTTAATTTTATACAGATGAATCAAATATATAACGTAATGAATTATATGTTTTAAAAATATGGTTTCTTCATACTTTATATAGGGGATAAAAGCTTTGGAAAACATAACGATGAATCACGACAAATTCGTCGTTGGCTCACAATAAGAAGTCATTGTATTCCCTCTCTTACCACGATTTTTGTAATACCAAGTTTTGTCAGGACAATTCATAGCTGACAAAAAGAGTGACAGCAGAACGTGGATGAACGCTCTAGGACGAATACTAGGGTCACAAAACGCGAAGTAAATAAGAGAAGATACCCAACTCCTATCTCCTATTTAATGTATACTGCTCTGGAGGTATGGATCGTAACAGTTAGGCCGTTGAGGCCCCAGTAGTAAACCCCGGAGGCTCTCTAACGCGGTCTTATAGGAACTACCCGAGGTGGTTTTTGTGGGTATTGCTTGCCCAGTCTCTGAATAGCAGAGATTCTTGGTGGGATTAGACCCACACACACCTGCTTCTTTCGGGGGCAGGGGATGTGCTATTCTACCTCGGATATCAAAAAAAGCATAGTTCAATTTTATTTAATTTTATTGTATATATTGTCTAAAGTGGTACTAAATTCGAACCTAGGATTGACGCTATATGTGTTACAATTATTCGTTTGCTATGTTTCCAGTGGAACTCCCAATAGCAGCAACCATGGATAACATGAAAATGGTGTTAGATGCGACGATCACCGAACTTTGGGCTAATGATGAACGAAAGTAAGTATTACTATTCGTACAATATACATCCGCTACGGATATTGAAAGAACTACATTGAGCTCGTGTTTCCATGTCGTTGTTTATTATTTATAGAATCGGCACTTGGTGTAATGCTTTCAAGGGGAAGTAGGGGAGTATTTAGACCATAAGTTGATAACATTTATAAAAAACTCAACTTATTATTATGACGTTATGTTAATGTTCTTATTATAAATTAACGATTATCTAGTTAATAAAAGGGCATGGGACTAGTGCTAGACAGGCTACTTCTAATTAATTTGCGATGTTTGTTTTAAAATAAGTGTTGTTTGATTTTAAAAGAGTACCGAGAGTTTTTTACGCCGGCTTTTTCTCTCGGCCTACACCCTCTGTCTTCTTTGCCGATGAGTAGGGAGTCTACCTATTCAAATTTAATGGAATAAGTGATACCTGTATCTTATGTTCCATAATAAACATACTTTTTTATTTTATATGACTTTATAATATCACATTTACTTGCCTTTATTTATATGGCTGATTGTGTGAATGTGCAAATAAACGATTTATTATTATTATTATTTTTATCGAATATAATATCGAATTCCTATGTCTAGGGAATAAATAGAGGTTATTTTTTTATATAAAAGAGCAGGAGGCTCACCTGATGTTAAGTGATACCGACGCCCATGGACACACACTGCCAGAAGACTCGCAAGTGCCTTTGAAAGTCAAGTCAAATCATTTATTTCAATTAAACCACCTAAAATGGCACCTTTGAACGTCAATAATTGGTACGCTCAGTGTGTTACGCAAAGCCACCTCGCCTAAATCGCAGCGTTGCATCGGCCCGACAAACATTCCACACGGCACCAATGGAGGCACGAGGCGCATGGTCAGCGGAATGTGTCGGTGACGTCAATCGCCCCGCACAATATCGGATTCCATTTTTATTAGTTTCATAATTAGATCTAACATCGATCATTTAGCACTTATTTGTAATTTTAATTAATTGTAATTTCTTTTAAATATAGTTTTTTAAGTAAATTTGCATTTTTTTGCATCCCTCGGCTGCACCCTACGTAATTGGCGCAGTCGGTAGGATTTAGTTGAATTAGAGTCAGTGAATCGATCACGGGCAACGGCTAAATCGAACCTACAGGTGTGCAGCTAGTTGGAGTATCAAGCTATCGATACCGCAGAGAAATGCAAATGATTTGGTAAGTACCTAGATCTTACTAGAGTTGCTATTACCTTTCCTTATTTTATATTCCTTTGTGTAATTGTAATATTCCAAAATTTTCCATCCACGAGAATTACGGACCCCTAGGTTATATAATAGTAGTAGAAACTTGCAAATTGATGCGAATAGAAATTTAGAAAGTACTTTAGAAGATAGTTTTAATCTTAGTGATTTATTTAATTCGAACGAAGGTGATAATATAAGTAAAATGAGTGTCGAATTGGTGGATCAAGTTTACAAGGCTCTACGCCTATTACCTGAATTTGACGGGAACCCAAACGTACTTACGCGCTTCATACATTTGTGTGACCAGTTAGTAGCACAATACGTTAGAGCGGAACCGGGATTCGAACTTAGTAATCTATCGTTATTAAACGGGATTCTTAACAAAGTTACTGGTCATGCAGCGCGAACAATTAACTCAAACGGCATCCCAGAAAACTGGCTAGGTATTAGAAATGCTCTAATAAATAATTTTTCTGATCAGCGTGATGAGACAGCTTTGTATAACGACTTGGCTCTCTTAACTCAAAGAGATAGCTCTCCTCAAGAGTTTTATGAAAAGTGCCAAAGTCTTTTCAGTACTATCATGACGTACGTTACATTGCACGAGGACATACTTACCACAATAGAAGCCAAGCGCACCCTGTATAAAAAACTAACCTTACAGGCTTATATTCGTGGCCTTAAAGAACCCCTAGGTTCACGTATTCGTTGTATGCGGCCTGAAAGTATAGAGAAAGCGTTAGAATTCGTTCATGAGGAAATGAACACTCTATACTTGCAGCAACGCAACGACCAGCTACCTGAGCGGAGAATGCAGTCGACGTCTTCATTAAATCCTTCTAATAATGTTAACAGACCTTTCAACTTGCCAGCTCCGCGACCCTTTACTTTCCCCAATCGCTAAATTATATGCCAGGACCTTCTAGACCAATGTTTCAACCGCCAAGGCCAATGCAAATTTGGAAACCGCAGACGCCTTTTATTCGTGGCCCCACGCGAACACAACAAGTTTTCGGTGCACCACCACCTAATTATAGACCCCAAAGTAATGTGTTTAGAATGCCCCAACAGAGAGGTTTCCAAGCCTCGAACAACGGCCCTCAGCCTATGAGTGGTGTTAGCCACTTTGTTACTAAGCCCATACCTAGACCCCTGACAGGACATGACTGGACAAAGTAAGGCAATCCACCGCCCACTAATTATTTTAAATCCCGAGAGATGAATTTTAATGATACTGACCATTGTGATTATTACGTCTATAATGATTATAATGACTATTACGACTGTTATGAACCAACTTATGATGAACCTACATATCACCAAATGTATGAGCAGCAACAATTTAACCATAATGACTATATACCTGCTTATGTAGAGGAAACTCAAGATGAGGCTCCTACTGAAAATCAGGATTTTCAAACAACTCACAAATCAGACAGGCAAAAATAGAAATTAATTTACAAACACAAAGACAACTTCCTTACATACAGATTACAAATCCACCCTTAAAACTATTGGTTGATACAGGGGCGAATCAATCATTTATAAGCCCCGAGGCTGTAGAAAAATTCTATCCTAATACTCAGTGTAACTACGACCCTTTTGAGGTTACCAACATTCATGCGACCACTCGAAATGATTATTCCATAACTATACCATGTTTTCGCGAATTTAGTGAAGATTGTGATATAACTTTATTCATATATAAATTTCACAACTATTTCGATGGCTTAATTGGTCTAGACTTGCTGGAGAAACTGGAATCTAGCATTAATTTAAAAAACAAAGTCCTAGTTACACGGAGCTCTACCAACCCCCTGCGAATGTATGATTCACGGAACTGTAATCTTTATGAGGAAATAATACCGGCCAATACATCTAGAATAATTCGTGTTCCGATTAACTTTCATGACGGTGACGCATTTGTGACTGAACAGACAATATCTAATTGCACTATCCATGACTGTCTTACTAATGTAAAGAACAACCGAGGTTTTATTGAAATTACCAACCCGACTAAACATGATGTTGTATTTTCGATGGACCGACCAGTTAGCGCAGAACTATTTAATACCCAGTGCACGCGCACTCAACAACATACCGATCGCACATCCGAAGTACTTTCGCGATTACGTACGGACCATCTGAATCCTGAAGAACGAGCTAACTTAGAATCACTCTGTTCTCGATACGCTGACGTCTTCTATCTTGATGGCGAACCATTAACTTTCACCAATAAGATAAAGCATAGTATTCGTACTACAGACGAATTACCTGTTTATACTAAAAGCTACAGATACCCTTTCGTTCACAGACAGGAAGTTCAAGATCAAATCTCGAAAATGCTCGATCAGGGAATTATCCGTCCTTCTCAGTCAGCATGGAGTTCTCCCATATGGATTGTCCCCAAGAAGGCTGACGCTTCTGGAAAAGTCAAATGGCGGATTGTCATCGATTTTAGGAAAATTAATGAAAAGACAATTGATGACAAATACCCAATACCTAACATCAATGACGTCTTAGACAAACTTGGTAACTGTCACTATTTTACTACTTTAGATCTTGCTAGTGGCTTTTATCAGGTGGAGATGAATCCAGACGATATACACAAGACGGCATTCAATGTAGAACATGGGCATTTCGAATTTTTAAGAATGCCCATGGGACTTAAGAATTCTCCATCCACGTTCCAACGTGTGATGGATAATGTGCTCAGAGATCTCCAAAACGTAATCTGTCTCGTCTACCTTGACGATATAATCGTGTTTAGCGTCTCTTTACAGGAGCACATGGTCAATTTAGAAAAAGTGTTCAATAGACTTAGGGAATCGAATTTCAAGATTCAGATGGATAAGTCAGAATTTCTAAAACTAGAGACCGCATACCTTGGCCATGTTATAAGTAAAGACGGAATTAAGCCTAATCCTGATAAAATCACCGCTATTCAGAAGTTCCCCATCCCTAAGACAGCTACCGAAATTAAACGTTTCCTTGGTTTGCTCGGATATTATAGAAAATTCATTCCAGACTTTGCACGAATTACAAAACCAATGACACAATGTTTAAAAAAAGGCTCCAAAATAACTTTAAATGACGCTAAATATATTGACTGTTTTGAAAGATGTAAAGTACTTTTGACAAATGACCCAATCCTTCAGTATCCTGACTTCACTAAAGATTTTGTACTGACGACAGACGCTTCGAACGTTGCAATAGGCGCTGTCCTTTCTCAAGGGCCAATAGGTAGTGACAAACCAATAGCTTACGCTTCGAGGACGCTAAATTCAAGCGAAACCAACTATAGCACTATCGAGAAGGAGCTGTTGGCTATCGTTTGGGCTACTAAATACTTTCGGCCATACCTATTTGGTAGAAAGTTTAAAATCATGACTGACCATAGACCACTACAGTGGGTTATGAGCCTTAAAGAACCTGGTTCTAGACTCACACGTTGGAGACTGAAGTTGAGCGAATATAATTTTACCACCGTCTACAAACAGGGCAAACAAAACACCAATGCTGATGCCCTATCTCGCATTGAAATAAATCACGAGGATATCAGCTCTATAGCCGTTAATCCATCTATAAACCTTCCATCTGACGCAGGTTCAACAACTTTGACGGCTGTCACTAACGATGCTGAAATTCCACCTGACCAAGACAACTCGACCACAGCAACCGCTCATACTAGTGCCGAAAGTCCGATTTTAGAAGTACCTATATCTGACGACCCACTCAACAGATTTAGTCGACAAATTTGTTTCGTTTTAGTAGGTGACATAAAAAACGACCGACAGTGACAAAACCCTTCGAAACCCATACCAGAACGACTGTACAACTCTCTGAATCTAACTTGACCAAAGACGTTATTAACGCAATTAAAGAATATGTTAACCCCAAGGTTAAAACCGGCATTATCATTCATCCCCCGCTCGCCATGTATAAGATTATCCCGATTATACAAGAGAATTTTAAAAGTTCAACTATGAATCTTGTTTTAACAAAAAATGAATTAGAAAACGTTAAAGAATATTTACGACAGCAGGAGATTATTAAAAAATACCACGAGGGTAAAACAAACCACCGTGGTATCACTGAATGTTATCTCTCTTTATCCTCAAGATATTACTGGCCTAAAATGAAAGAAAGCATCGCGAAATATATAAGTGAATGTAATATTTGCGGCCAGGCCAAATACGACCGAAATCCGATTAAACAGAGATTTTCAGTTGTACCTCCACCTTCAAAGCCTTTCCAAATAGTTCATCTTGATCTTTTTACAGCACAAAACGAAAAATACCTTACAATAGTAGATGCCTTTTCAAAGTATTCGCAAGCATATCACCTGAGAGATAGTACGGCTTTGAGTGTCGTACAAGCTTTCCTTGTATTCTGTACTCATCATGGCGTCCCTTTAACTATTGTCACCGATGGAGGCCCCGAATTTACAAATCAGATCTTCTCAGAATTTGCTCGAATTCACAAAATACAACATCACAAAAGATATCGACCTATCAGAGCACTTACTCCACAATATTCACAAGACCACAAGAAACGAATGAACCAAGTTTATGACATCATCAACGAAACTTCCTTACATGACAGGACACAATTGACTGAAAACCGAAACAAAGACAGAGAACCGGAAAAGGACTATACCCCTGACCAACAAGTTTTCATACGTAATCCCATGGCAGCCCGACAAAAATTAGCGCCACGCTATACGCAAGACACAGTGCTTGCGGATCTTCCCATTCATATCTATACAAAGAAGAAACGCGGTCCCGTTGCAAAATCACGCCTTAAGCGAAGCTCTAAACATCCCACATTGTTACAGGATACTACTATGGTTGACACTACAGCACACGACGCGAGGACAAGAAGTAACACTTGACTCACTTGACAATGGACTTACTTCCTTTCAAATTAGGACCGACAAAGATTGTCTCGCATTACCATTCCTTTCTTAACTATATTGATTTAGAAAACATCCATCTTCAGATTGAATTAGTAAAATCCCAGATGTCTCAGCTAACACCATTACTAAACAATAAAACGTTTTCTCTATTTGATCCTCATTTGAAACATCTTAATAATAAAATTACTACAATTTCGAATAAACTTAGTATGTTTGAGTCAGCGCGTCATAAAAGAGGTCTCATCGACGGTTTAGGTTCGGTCATCAAAAGTATTTCTGGTAACCTAGATTACACTGACGCAATAAAGTATGAACACGCGATAAATATCTTGCGCAACAATGAACATAAGTTAGAAACGGAAATTAACAGTCGTGTTAGTTTAAATAAAGATTACATTGCACAAAGTTCTAAAATTATAAACGATATAGTTAGTAATCAAGTTAAAATCAATAATACGTTGAATTTAATATTGCAAAGTGACACAAATTGGGAAACAGACTTGACTTAATATGCCCACATGGCACAACATCTCTTAATCTTAGGAGACAATATTGAAGACTTGTACGAAGAAATGCAGAGGTTAGAAAATACTTAATCTTTTATTCGTGCATCGAGCACTTCATATTCTATTTTTAGTTTAAATAACGTTAAAGATATGTTAGGTAAACTTAGGATTTTATACTCTAGTAATGAAGTCCTTGACGTAGAATTTAGACAGTTTTATGAAATAGTTAAATTAGGTTATTTTTACGTATCTAAGCAAGTAGTCATAGTTATAAAGGTCCCAATTATCGTTCCTTTATCATATGAACTTTATAAATTATCCCTTGTTCCTAACAAAAATCATGAAATCCTGATACCTACCCTACCTTATATAGCACTCTCTAGCCAAGACTCTCGGTACACAGAGACAGAATGTCCGAAGTTAAACTCACTATTTCTCTGCGAGGCCAAATTTAACTTCAAAATCCAGGAGAAGCCCGATTGCATACAACAACTCATTACTCACCAAGAAGTCCAGCCGACATGCAAACTGACTCCAGTAACTCTAACAACCGAAGCCCTGGAAGCTTTAGATGACAAGCACTACACAATGAGCTTTCCAGCACCAACTAAAGTGAAAATATCATGCGGCCAAGATCAATACCGGACCCTACAAGGGAGCTTCCTTGCAATTATTCCATTGAACTGCAACCTGAAGACGCCCGCATTCACTATCTCCAACAATAACGATCAAATAAAAGGACATGTCATAAGGATAACGGAAATGCCTCTGTATAACGAGCCGAGGCCCAAAGAACATCCAAAGCTTATCCTCAATTCACTTAATCTGCAAAAACTCCACTCCTTGGATACAGAAGTAGCAGCTGAACCATCCATCCATCTCGATGACGTAACTGATCCAGCTATATATCACACAACTATCCCCATCTACTTAATACTACTCTGTGCAGGCGCATTCATCGCTGCGCTGTACTGCTACACCAGAGGATCGACAAAAGGCAATGAAACTGCAGGAGCCCCTACCAGTGATCCTGAAATATTGATCGCAACCCCAACACCTCGGGGCATTAACCCTAACCAAGTGAAGATGGACCACAGATGCATCTCAGCGACCATCTCGGACGAGTCCTGCAATAGTCGCTGTTCTTCGGGGGAGGTGTTACGCAAAGCCACCTCGCCTAAATCGCAGCGTTGCATCGGCCCGACAAACATTCCACACGGCACCAATGGAGGCACGAGGCGCATGGTCAGCGGAATGTGTCGGTGACGTCAATCGCCCCGCACAATATCGGATTCCATTTTTATTAGTTTCATAATTAGATCTAACATCGATCATTTAGCACTTATTTGTAATTTTAATTAATTGTAATTTCTTTTAAATATAGTTTTTTAAGTAAATTTGCATTTTTTTGCATCCCTCGGCTGCACCCTACGTAATTAGTGCATAGCTTTTATTTATTGTGAGATGTTTGTAAACACAATTTAGATTTATTGTCTAATTGGGATTGCCTTGTGGTTATTACGGGTTTAAAATAATTTGTGTATTATGTTTTAAATGAATTCTATATGTTATTCATGGTTGTTTTTTTGTATTCTTTTATCTAGTTTTCTTTTTTGTATTGTGTAACTATAAAATAATTGTAATTACCATCTTTTTGTCTAAAAAGACTTCTGTTTCTTGCCTGCTGTTGTACTTTTTGCTATTGTAATATACAATTCATTTATAAGCGTAATGGATTATTGTATTAGTATATTTTCTCATGTAATGTTCTTAATCAGAAATAAATATCTCAAACCGAATAATGTTCCTTAGAAATATAATACAAGATTCAAATAAAAATACGTATTTTTGTAGCATTCTGTGATTCTCTTTCAGATTCACGCTGTCCGACTCTGAACTCCCATATTTCTTCTATTGGTGGGCGAGGCGTGATGGTACTGGTATGTTAAGCTGTTTTTTATACAGGACTATATATGCCCCAATAAATGCTTCTAACAGACGCATCCAACAGATTTTTTTTATTTAATTATACATTATTATCATTCCTACATATATTTTCCTGGATTTGTATTGTCCAGGCTAGATATTCCAATCGGTATACCCCGGATTATGGATTAGGCACTGAACTCCATATACACCTGTAGTTTAGTTCTGCGGATTTATAGGTGTTTGGTTTTAGTACGTCGAATGGTATACCAACTTCTTCGGCAAGGACGTCTCACTATTGTTGGAGGTGGTTGGGGAATGAACGAAGAATCAACAACCAGTTACCAATCTATTATAGACAGCTATACCTACTCTTTAAGGTAAAAACTACCAAAAATTATAAAACATTTGTTACGTACCAAAATCTTAGGCCCAGAACTAAAAAATTGTAACGTCATTTTTTAAGAATAAAACCTAAGATCTAGCCAGTGTTGGCCGGAGCGTGCACCAACACTTTTCATTCTATATGCGCGTTTTACACTCGCTCGTAGTGAAGGAAAACATCGACCAAAAATCGACGGTGTGCGTCGGGCGGATCACCTATTTGCCTATTAATAAAATGATCAAGTAACATATATAGAAATCTAAGCCAAACCAAAGGTTTGACTTTTTTATTCGTTTGTTGTCTATGCTTATCTCATCTACTCTCGTATATACGAGAACTAGTGTTTTAACGCAGGCCACAGACTAAATGCGTACACTTGTAGGTGATCAACTTAATTCTATGTTACCGTTACCGTGACCGCTCTCGGCTGCAACATGCGGTCCGTCTATGGCCCGCGTAAGGGCTGACCCTTGCGCTGGCCATAGACGGAACTACAGCTTACGCTAAGAAAATTATGTAGGTATGTCAAAAACGTATTAAACATGCGATATATGGTACAACTCGAATACTGAGATAGCAAAAAAATTACCTTCTTTATTTGTCTTTACAGAAAATTAAATCGAACATTTTTATCTTGTGCGAAACCACTTGTGGCGTGGCAATCGGACGTGTTCGGACATTCCCGTGAATACGCGTCTCTAATGGCTCAGATGGGTTTCGATGGTCTCTTTGTCAATCCCATTAGCTTTGATGATGAACTGGTTAGGATGGACATGAATGCTTTGGAGTTTCTGTGGAGGGGGAGTGACGACCTTGGTAAGTGATTTTTTTTTTACTGGCTCTGGCACGATTTGTGCATTAGCCAGCGTCAAGTATAGGATTTTTTTATAATTCGTGCTTGTCTTTAGAAATTCGACCGTGTCCTCCATGTACGGTTTTAAGCACTCGCCCGGTACCGCACAACCCTCCCAAAGGCCGAGAACAAATTTAAAACAAATTAAAACTTGCCCTCGAACCGGGAATCGAACCCGGTACCCCTCACCTAGCTGCCACTTAATAAGACCGCTAGGCTATGAGGCCCATAAGTGATTATTTACCTGTGCCCAACGCTTTTTTCAAGGACGCATTTTAAAGAAACATGTTCGTACTGGTTTTTTTAAGAAATATAATAATAGAAATTTTGTCAATACTTCTTACCAGGTATGGAAACGGACATATATACAAACAAACTATTCGATGGGTATTGGTCCCCTCCAGGCTTCTGTTTTAGCGTCTCTTCCTTTGACCCACTGCTTGTTACCAGCGAGAAGACTTTCACTAATGTTGAAGAACGAGTAAGTACTTCTTCACGCTGTAATAAAAAAAAAAGGGTGCGTGTACTTATGTACGCGCGTAAGAAGTTATACTTCTTTGGCATTATTAAAAATAGTTTTTGATTGCATGCAAATAATTAATTACAATTAAATAATCAAAGACTGGCAAAGGAGTCATTATAGTCAATAAAGTTCAGTTTACATATACTATAAATATTTATTATTATTCTCTTACATTAAGTGTAACATAAATTATATTATTATTCGAATGTTGTTTTTAAATTATGTCTAATGCCGTAGCATCTTCCGTGGGCCACTTCGTTCTGTTAATTTTGTGTCACGGTGCGCGTGCATTTTTGCCGAAATTTCACTCTTATCAATTTTTCATAACGCGCCTTAAGAAGTATAAGTTCAATAAAGAATTTTTATCAGTGGAGCTACAACCTTTTTAGGTCTTAGATTTCTGAATCTCTTTCATAATCATTTGTCAATCTAATAGGCAAGTAGGTGATCAGCCTCCTGTGCCCGACACACGCCGTCGACTTTTTTGGGTCTGAGGCAAGCTGGTTTTCTTTCACCGTCCTAGCGAATGTTAAATACGCATTTAAACAGATTCTATTAGTGCACAGCCGGGAATCGAACCTACGACCTCAGGGATGAGAGTCGCACGCTAAAGCCACTAGGCCAACACTACTTTTTACTTACTCACGCCTTAATAATTATAGGTAAACCTATTCATATCACTAATGAAATTCCGCCAAGCGCCATATTACAAAACCAAACATATACTGGTGATGATGGGCAGTCGAAATGGGTATTATTCAGCTAGAACATGGTTCAGAAACATCGACGCTTTGATTGCGTGAGTTAAAATGTTTTTTATCGTGTCCTGTGTGACAAAAGAAATAAACCTTAATAATTGTTTCAGCGCTGCGAACGAAAAGACGTACGCGGATAGAACACAAGTTTTCTTACATTATTCATCACCACATTGTTATTTGAAAGCTGTTCATGAGGCTCGGTATGTTTTACTGTTTTTAAGCGCTAATTCAGAGGGTAACAATTTGTAAATGGCAACTATGATCCGCTCACTGACTGTGTAACGTTTATTGCCTGTAGATTAAAAAATATATTGATTTACATACTTACTTGAACGGCTATTATCCCTGCTACTTCTTTCATCCCCGCAAATGTATTTCCATCTGGGATATAAAAAAAGTACACAAATATAACTAAACAATATATAATGATAAATCTATATCATATAAAAAAGCTGGTTAGGTGGCTAAATATCTATTTATTTCCAACACACAAATATACAGTATTCACATGGTTATTTCGACTATGCATGTTGTTCCCACGAGAATGTAAGTGCGTGCTCCTATTTCACAATGCCTTCTGCTGATAGAGGACAAATCTTTGTTTTTAATTTATGTTATTATTATTAATTACTTAAAATGTCACATGGGACATGGTGTAATGGTTGCAGCTCCTTACAAACATTTTGTAAAACAAAAAAATGGCGATTAAGAAGAGTGGCGGAGAGTTTATTGCCAGTTCTTCTCTCCGGTTCTACGCCCTTGATTTGAGAACTGGCAGTAAATGTAAAATTAGAAGCATTAATATGTATAAATTCTTTACTGACAAGTCATAAGTGTACATTATGTTACCTATGTGATTAAATGATTTATTTTTTATTTTTGTACAATATTCTTAACCTACTTAGTAATAATAATAATTAAAAATTATAACAATTTTAAAAAGTTTGGTCCGTGTAGCAGTGTACCTTTAACGCTGGCAGCACCCTCTCTGAATTCCTAATCTTATTCGTTGAGCGTGGAAAGCACCGGCAGAGCCTTGAACTAATTAATATTTTATTTCAGGCCCACTTTAGAAATGAAACAAGACGATTTTATTCCGTACGCTTATGACAAAACTGCGTATTTAACTGGATTTTATACTTCAAGACCGGATTTGAAGTATTTTATTAGAGTTGGAAATGTTTTCTTACAAGTAAGTGGTTTATTAAATTGGATTTGATAAATTAGATACGTTAAGCTGTCTACACACCGCAGCCGCCGGCCCGCCGGCACGAACCCGGCTGGCAAGGCCGACGGCCTTAGTTTTAACGATGTTGCCGGCGGCTTGCGCCCACGCGATCTTCCCCGCGGCACGCCCCTCTCCGCTCTTCACCACCGGTTGCCCACCGGCTTTTAAGAAATAGTGACGCGTCAGTGTTTTTATCGACTAAACATTATGGAATCCGTTAATGAAGTGGAGAGAAAAATAAAAAATTTAATAAGTCAATAGCAAGCACTTGGCAATCACTAATTGTGAACACTGCATGCCGTGACTGTATGTCGTGCCGCCGGGAAAATTGTCAGGCTCGCAACTTCTAAAGCCGCCGGGTTCGTGCCGGCGGGCCGGCGGCTGCGGTGTGTAGACAGCTTTATTATTTCTGTTTATATAGCAAACGGGCAAGAGGCTCTTCTGATGTTAAGTAATACCGCCGCCCATAGACACTCATTGCCAGAAGTGCTCGCAAGTGCGTTGCCGGTCTTGTAAGAATCGGTATGCTCTTTTTGTGAAGGACCCTAAGTCGAATTGGTTCGGAATTACTTCAGTGGGCAGCTGGTTCCACATAGTCAATTTATTATTTTAGGATTTTAACATTTACTTAATTTAGAAAATGTTTTAATGTACTTAACAAAAAAGAAATATGTTTATTACAAACAAATCTTTACAGTTTTGGAGGCATTCCAGAAAGTAATAAATGAATTTTTGTGTTAGAAAATTTGGACTTCATATTTGGAATTTGTAGGTACACATTTTTTTGTGAAGTGTGTGTGTGGGTAGCTGAAGATGTGTGAAGGGAGGATAAAGGTGTGTGAATGGGTAATATATACCTTACCTATACTTTTGTGTCTGCATACACAACACCAAGAGAGAACAATTTCGAGTTTTCGGTTTTTTAACTTCATATTTTTTTCAGATGTCAAAACAGTTGCAAGTACTTGCTAATTTGGGATTTGACAATGTTTTAGAGGACTTTATGTGGATCATGGGTAAGACAAATCTGCGTAAGTTTGACAATTAAAAATGTATGCACTTTGTACAAGTGTCACCGCTTTTCTCATTTGTAAATACAATTAGCAGTGTTGGCCTAGTTACTTCAGCGTGACTGTCATCCCCGAGGTCGCTCGATCGCTGGCTGTGCATCAATGTGTGCACAAACAATCGCGCGAACGGTGAAGGAAAACATCGTGATGAAACCGCTTTGCCTTAACCGAAAAGTCGACGGCGTGTGTCAGGCACAGGATCACCTACTTGCCTATTAGATTGATCATGATAGCGTTCAAGTATTACGTTATCCGATTTACTGCAATTCATCCCCCTCTCTAGTCAGCAGAAGCAAGCAAAGGAAACTTTGAATATTTACTTTGAATAAAGGATATTTTGTCCTCTATCAGTTTAGAGTTGTTAAAAGACAAATATAGAGTTTACCAATATTTTAACAAAAATTTAAAAAAAAATGTTTAAAAAGAAATTATAAATAAATTTATTTACATTACCAAAAGGCAAATGGCGCAAAGCACAACCCCAAATCTGATATGGAGACTGCTAGCCCACACTGGCTCCTGGTGGCTTATGTAATCCTAATTAGTATTTTTAAATCAATGATTTTTTTGAAGTGTTGACAAGCGTTGTCATTTGGTTTTTAATATTTATCTTTTTTGTAATAGGCGTTGTTCAAGACCACAATATAATATCAGGAGCACTACGGGATCACGCTAAAAGTTATTACATTAAGAAGTTAGATGTAGCAATACACAGATCTATGGCGTTGATTGAAAGCGGGCTTAAGTATGTGTTCATTATACCTATTTAAACTTTATTAATATCCATATCTAATATTAAAAACTATGTAATTAATTATTCAGTATTTACTAAATTCTTAACCTATATAGTAATAATAATGAAAAATTGATTTATATAAAATTAAAATAAACTTTAAATGATTGCTCTCTGTGGCAGTGTACCGTTAATGCTGGCATTTCCTCGTTGTATTGCGATACTTATTCGTTGAGCGAGGAAAGCACCAGCTCTGGGGTCACCGGTAATAACCAGGAGCCAATTTAAATATGTATTAATTATTATTTGATTTGAATTAACTATAATAAGCCTCTTCTATTTTTAAACAATTGACCATGAACACAAGCGCTTTGGAGCACTGACGAATCCATAACTAAATCTGTCGACGGAAGGACTAAATTGCTAATATACCTATCGTTCTGTTGACGATCACCAGACGTACTGGCTGGAATTTTATAGCAATAAGGCTGTCGTGGTTTTATAGGATGAATTAAGAACCTAAACGAACTTAAACTTTAAATAAAAATAGCTTTGGATTTTTTCCAGCATACTTCGAAACAGTCCAGTTGCAATAAAGTACCATCGCTGTGAGTTCAACTCATCAACATGTGCTATCGCGCAATCGCCATCATTTCATGTAAGTTTTTATACATATAGGTATTTAAATTAGAAATGCTATTATAAATGGAGACTGTGAGAACACACCACCACTTTCACATCGTGATAAATGGGACAAAGAAAGTAGAATTGTCCTATAATTTTTTTTATAGAACGGGGGGCAAACGGGCAGGAGGCTCACCTGATGTTAAGTGATACCGCCCCGCCGCCCATGGACACTCTCAATGCCAGAGGGCTCGCGAGTGCGTTGCCGGCCTTTTAAGAATTGGTACGCTCTTTTCTTGAAGGACCCTAAGTCGAATTGGTTGGTTCGGAAATACTTCAGTGGACAGCTGATTCCACATAGTGGTGGTGCGCGGCAAAAACTGCCTTGAAAAACGCTCAGTTGTGGAACGGCGGACGTCGAGGTGATACGGGAAAATTGTTTTCATCTTACTCGGACTATGTTAGCTAATGTTGTTGTACAAAGAGTTAAATTGTTAATTTAATAAAAATAAAAGCTATAGTGCCTGTGTACAACAAAATTTCTAACATAGAAAAAAGTAATTGATAAAATTCTGCTTTATATTTTAATATCAACTTCAATATTGTTAAATTTTTACCAAGACATGTATTATCATTATTTGATATAAATAAAATGTAACTGACTATTAAAATCAACACATTATTTATTTTATACTTCGTTGCACGAAAGTATAATTAAATAAAAAGGAAGGGAACCTTATCGCTTTTAAGCGATCTCTTCCAGGCGCAAGAAGTGCAAAGCTACATACAATATACAATTACTTAGACATAATGAATGGGACAAAGTAATAAAAACATATGTAAGTAGACAATGTAAAGGAAAATAAAAAGGATATATAAAAAATATGTTGCATTAATCTTTTTCACATTTACAGATTAAACCAATATCATTAAATTACTTTCAAATATTCATTATACAGTATTTAATATCTAGCCATTTATTTTTTACGTTGCGACTTTCATATATTATATAATAAACATCACACTTTGGTCTAAGTGTTTCTTGTATTTCTAGTAACCAAGAGGATCAAAGTTTTACTTGCTTTTGGGTGATAGTTCACTTAATCTTTATGTCACTTTAATTTTCAGATTGTAATATATAACTCATTGGCATGGCGTGTGTCTTCTCCCGTAAGAATACCAGTAGAGAAAGCTAAATATATGGTATTTGAGCCAAACGGTAAGATTAACATTAGGTATAATTCATTAATTAAACAAAGGGCAACCGACGCAACGAACGACTCCAAATCCGATGGGAGGACCTTTATTAAACTGCTGGCCCATACTGGCTCCAAGTGTCAGGGAAAATAGGCATTCCTTGGAAGCCTATTCCTGTGAAGGGAGTTCCTAGTAAAATTGTAACTTATATTTAATATATATCTTATATGTTAAGTAACAAAATGTTTGGTTTCGTTTTTTTTTGTATAAATCATAATAGTTATAATTATTGTATTTTTTTTAAATTGAACTATAACATACAAAACTATTAATGAAATATTCATTAATAGTAAGTAAATAAGTATTAATAGTAATAACCGCCCTGAGGCTGTGTCGCACATCGCGTTTGTCCTGGAGGTCATACAACGCTGCAAATTCATCATTGGGCGTTACTGTAGAAAACTACCCATTCAAACACGAGTTATTATTTGTTTCAGGTAAAGTACTAAATGCCTCACTTCTACCAATATCTACCCATGTACTGAAAATTCCCACTCGAAATACGAAAACAGAACACGAACTAGTCTTCATTGCGACCGATATACCACCTCTTGGTTTTAAATCTTACTTCTTCAAAAAAATAATAAAAGAAAAACGGTCAATAATAAAAAAGTTAAGCCCACATCCTCAAAAGAAGTATTATATACGCCAAGCACCAGACGTTTATAATAAAACATATTTTGAAGAAATGGCAAATTATGACGAAGTTGATGATTTAGATAAAGTATATTCATCGAAATTTGATTTCAACAATAATAGAGAATATATAGAAAATAACGTAGATTATGCAGAATCAAATGAGAATAAAAAGGAAGATAATTACGCGTCTATTAATAGTTATTTAGCTGATAATAGAGGTGTTGTAACGCCGCTGTCTGATCAGATCCCAAAAAGAACAGAACTTTACGAATTGGAGTTTACGGAAGAGACTACTTTTGGAAAACCGATTTATTTTGAACCTGTAACGGCAAAATATGTAGAAGTTACCCGGACGATGCCAGTTGTTAATGCTTTCGTTAACGAAGATGGTAATTTCAATTTTTTTTATTATATGTCATTAGATCTCGGGCAATCATTTTGGCTAATCCTTAAGTAGTTTTAGGTATAGGACATTTAGAATATTTTATATAAATCACTATACTAACATTACCTTAATTACTTACATAACACTAAATTAACTTTAATAAAAATACGGAGATCTAATCTTTCTTTTCTCAAATACAGGAGAACCGTCATTTAGACTAGATCCAACAGATTTTATTGAATCACTAATGGATGTAAGTGAAACAAAACCATCTTCTTCAGAAGCATACGAATCAGTAACAACAACGACACTAACATCAGAAACGACACAGGCAACAGAAATAATACCATCAACAGAAACTATAAAGGCCTCTGAAAGAGGTACAACTGAAGAAATTACAACCACAGATGGAATTTCAACAGAAACATCAACATCTTCAGAAGTCACTGAAACTTCAGAACTACCAACAACGACCACATTGACGACTGAAGAAAGCCCGACCGAACAGACTTCAGAAACAAGCCCAACCGAACAGGCTTCAGAAGCAAGCCCAACCGAACAGACTTCAGAAACAAGCCCAACCGAACAGACTTCAGAAACAAGCCCAACCGAACAGACTTCAGAAACTAGTTCTACAGAAGAGACACAGATTTCAGAGACAAGTTCAACAGAAATGACAGAGCTTTCAGAAAGTTCTACAGAATCGAATTCAGAAAGTTTAACAGCAGCAATGCAAAATGTAATAGCAATTCATGTAACTCGAACAACACATAGATCTTTTACGACAGACGTCACACAGATATTAGAAGAAGATTCGATTCCTCTAAAACCTGAAGTATTTGCAAAAGATGTAACTCGCACAACAAAAGCAACACTAAGGTCTTATTCGACAGAATCAACAATACCAGCAACAGCAACAACACAAACAGCAACACATGAAACTTCAACAATAGAAGTAACGTCAGACCTTGCGACACCAATTAAAGATATTACAACAGAAACTAAGATTTTAGAGAAAGCTAAAATTAGTTATACTGAGAAACCAGAGGTAGCCCAAACACCAAAATTTAGAGTTTATGATATAAAAGATGAATCATACTATGCAGTGCTTTCTAAAGATACATTTATAGAGAATAAAGTAAGTATTTTTTTTGTAATCAGTTGGTATTTAGTTTATACACCACCTTCAACTACTTTGTTTGTAACTAACCACGCGACTAACTGTACAATTGAACCAAATATAAAATCAAATATGTCTCAAATATATCCTTTTATTTTCCAGTACATAAAAATAAATTTGGATCAAGACAAAATATCATCGATTAATCTTTCAAATAACATTAGCATCTCACTGGACATACAATTTTTCTACTACATATCAGATGACCCAGATAAATTAAATAAACCAAACGAGACATTAAGCCCTGGAGTGTATATCTTCAGACCCATGGATCCTAATCCAGTGCCAATAATAGATTATCTAGACACAAAAGTATATAAAACGGATATAGTACAAGAAATACATATTGGGTACGCTGATTATGCATCTGTGGTTATAAAACTATACGTCAATAGTCCATTTATAGAATTAGATTGGACTATTGGGCCATTACCCGACGACGATTATGGGAAGGAAGTTTTTATAAGATATTCCACAGACTTGAATAACGATGGAGTGTTTTATACAGATTCAAACGGACGGCAAACGCTTAAAAGAATTAAGAATAGACGAGCTACGTATGAACCATATAATATTGATGAAATTGCTGGTATGTATACATTTTTTTGTCTGTAATATTTAAAGTCGATATGATAACCCGACCCAAGACTTCCGTACGTCAAAATGCTTCTTGACAAGCAGGAGTCCAAGGTGAGATTCAGAAACGAGTGTTAGCCAAGCGACAAAATTCAATACAACTGACGAAGGGGAGTCAGAGCTCACCCGAAGCCTCCTTTCTGACTCTTACACTTGTCTACGGTCTTGCTGAGAATAATTAATGCTGGTGGCACTGTGGCAATACATTTCTGGTTATTAGTATGATAATATATTAAAACCATAGTACCATAAAAATAATACATATTAATTTATTTATAAGATACCTTTAAGGGCTGAAGCAGTTTCGGTATATAGAAGAATAAATTTATACATTAAAGCAAAAGAATTACAATGGAAAATACATCATCTTTGAATTACATCCAAAACCAGTAAGGTCTGGGCCTCAGATTTTTGTATTTGTATCGTGATCCTTTATTCAAGCAAGTTGCTGATCAGCCTTCTGTGCCTGACATACGACGTTGACTTTTTGGGTATAAGGCAGCATGGTTTCGTTCAACATACGAGCGAGTAGGTATTAAATGTGCACATAGACTGAAAGTCCATTGGTGCACGATATAGACCTACGGCCTCAGGGATGAAAGTCGCATGATGCCACCAGTGGCGTAACTATACCATCTGGGGCCCGTGGCAATCTTCTTTCATGGCAATTCTTTTGGTGGGGCCCTATCAATATAAATCGTCACGTTGTTTAATTTTAAAAAACTTCGAGATTTAAAGCGTATTCAATTACACGTTGTATATGTCGCACTAATGGACATAAGCCTCTCTTTGGCGAGAGGGAATGGACTGTAGTCCCCACGCTAGTCCAATGCGTATTGGAGACTTCACATTCATCCATAGAACATAATATCCCTTGGGCAGGGGCCCTCATCGGTTGGGGCCCGTGGTATTTTGCCAGCCCTGCCACCCTATTGTTACGCCACTGGATGCCACCAATGCACTACTCATTTAGAGTTACATCTATTTTGAATATTAAAAATAAATAGTCTGTGCTTTATCCATGTCCTGTCATGTATTATACGCTTGACGGCTTTGATGGGTTTTCTCCCTGGAGTATAAAATATATTTCAGATATTCAAACGCACCATAATCGCTCAATTGTCTGAGCGATTTCAATAGTGCGTTAAATTTTGAACCTAATGTTATTATTTCAGGTAACTTTTATCCAGTTACATCAAAAATCTATATAGAAGATACAGAGAAAGATATTCGATTCGCAGTTTTCAACGATAGATCACAAGGCGGAACTTCCTTAATACCAGGAACCATAGATCTTATGATCCATCGTCGAATTATCACCGACGACTCTGGCACTAATATCTTTTTAAACGAAACTATGGACGGAAAAGGGATCACTTTACGTGGGAAACATTATTTATATCTATCTAAATCTAAATATAAACCGAATAAAGTGTACGAAAAGAAGTTAGCCAAAGAAATTGAGTTAAAACTTGTGTATTTGATTTCGAATACGAAAATGCATTTACAAAAATGGCTGACTTTGACAAATGAATTTTCAGGCATTGACAAATTGCCATTGGGCGTTCACGTTTTGACATTACAGAATTGGAATGATGGAACACTATTAATAAGACTAGAGAATTATTTAGAAAAATGTGATACAGTTAAAACGGGGGTGAAATATGTGTTTTTAAAGAATTTATTTTATAATATAGGAATAGAGACTATAAAAGAGACAACATTAGCAGCTAATGAATGGAAATCAGATTTTTTACAACTGAAGTGGGACACAAACGGCAGTTTTTTCAAAAATTTTAATGAGTATTATGGTACTGATAAAGTGGAATACGATTTAGATGAAATCAGAGGTGATGATGGGGATTTAGATAATGGTATACGACTTGTGCCGCAACAGATTAGGACGTTTGTTGCTTGGTTTAAGAATAAAAATCTTTAATGTTATTTTTGTATATTCTTCTCGTAGATAGAGTAGAACTAGATGAGCTTCTAAAATAACAATAATAACTAAAGAGAGAAGACATTAACGTGAAATACTTAAGTGCGAGCGAAACAGAGTATCAGTTTTTCTGTCTCTATTTAGGTATCGGGTTTTATTTGTTTACCACCGAGCCCTTGGTGGTAACTTACTGTCCAATACTACTTACTGTCCAATAAGTGTTGACACGTGACTCGTCCATTTGTCCCATAATAGATAAATAAGAACCTCTTTCGTTTTACTGAGCTACCCTCTAATAATAATGCTTCTTCTTTACGAGTGGTCGGATTTAGTAATTGTGTAAATAAATAAGGAGTGTAAGCATAGCCAGAGTCTCTATGTAAACCATGAACTTGTTCCCTCACACAACATTGTTTAAACGGCTTTCATTAAAAATCTGTGTGTCATGGTTTAGGTTATGTCAGAGTTATACTAGGTTGGTGGCTGGAATAACGCTAGTATGAACAGTTACGCCGACCTTATACTAGGCCTAAGTTATTCCGGGTTTATTAGTAGACATTTCGCTTATTCTTAGGTTATTCTTGGTATAACATTTTATACCACTTTTATTTGTGCCACTGTGTTTTTTTAACCTCAATACAATTTCAGGCATACGCCATTATCACGTCCATCCCTAAAAAAATAATCTTTCCCGCCTTGCGCGAGTTAACTCTTTGAATATTAGTCACTAAATCTGGTCGCCCATGGACACTGACACTGCCAGAAAGCTCCTAAAGCGTAGTCGGCCTTTTAAACATTGGTAGGCTCTATTCTTGAAGAACCTTAAGTCGCATTGGTTCGGAAATACTTCGGTGGGCAGCTGATTCCACATAGTGGTGGTGCGCGGCAAAAAGTGCCTTAAAAGCGGTCAGTTGTGGAACTCCGGACATCGAGGTGGTACGGGTGGAATTTCGTATTGTGGTTTTATCACATGTTGTAAATAAAATACCAGATAAACAATCAATATGTATTTAATTAATCTACATATATAACGAAAGCAGACGGACACATGCATATTTACTATCGAATTAGCATTTCTTTAATATACGGATCGTTGACAGAAAATCTGATTTGTATTTTGTAGTCTCGTTAGTATAACTGTAACGTACTCCAACGGTCCGTTATATTTAAAGAATTGCTCTTAAATAACCGCCATATTGCCTTCTCGCTATACGGTCAAAAATAGTGAACACACGGAATCGGTCAGCGGGAAACTTTGAAGTGCGAGCGAGAAAGAAATAGAGCTGTCATTCACAATACACCTAGAAGCTAAAGGCATAGAAAAATTTTGTCATCTTCCGAGAATAAGGCCACAGATATCACACTTAATTCAAAGGCCGACAATTCAGTCATAGATTTTTAAGAGGAACACTGCGTATTATAAATTTACTAGTTTATAATTACAATATTTAAATCAAATATATGAAAATACATTTGCTGCAGTGCGAGTTGCATCGTCTTATTTAATTAGAAAAGAATTTAATCCCAATATGAAACTTCGTGGCGCTTTTGACACATCGGACGCATTCGTTATGTTCATTTATACACTATGGCGTAATACAAGGCCGTAAATAAAGATGTTGCTAATTTGCTAAGATTTTAATAGAGATAGAAAAAGAAGTTTTAGAAAAAAAAATATGGCAGGCAGTGAAAAGTCAAAAAAGTCCCTTTCGTTAATCTGTAGTAGGTAACCATGATTTAAATTGTTGATAATAAAAAAGTTTAAAAAGAAGCTACAGAAAACGTAATCTGAAATCATCTATATCTAGACATAGATTTGTTTTTTTTTCATTCACCGTGAAACGTCACTATTAGATCTATGTTTTTGATAAACCACAGAGGCGTCTTATGTGTCAAGAGATAAATTTACGCGCCTAGTCATGTGTCAAAATAAATGCGTAGGACATCTTTTACACAGGTGACTGTTCATAAAATCTATTTAACATAAAAGATATAGATTTAAAACGTTTTATATATTTAAATGCAGTAATCAAATATTTTTACTGATAATGGCACTAACTATGAAAATTAATCTCAATAATTTGTAAATGAAAATATTTGAACATTCATTATAGTGCCACAAGCTTATTCGTTTATAGGTTGCAGTTCCAAGAATAGAGTCAAATATGCTCGTGGCACAGTTAAGGTGCATCTTAAAACTAAGGCATAAGTTAAAGAATAGACTGAACGATGTGTTTTAGAAAGAGAGAAAGATATCAAATAGAGAATGTGTCAAATAAGTACTCTTTAGTGCTGGCACAATTATATTTTTCTACGAAAAGAATCGCTCATTCTATTCTCTACATCGTTTTTCTATTTAGCGTGCTCATTTGCGCGCCATTAATAATGACAATTGACTGTGAACATTGACAGTATTAAAAAGTAATAATTTGTTTAATCTACATAACTGTTATATAACATAATATCAATTCTTTATTTGCGATTAAAATCATTATTTCTACAAATGTTTATAATGTAAATTAATTGTCAAGTGACTACTTCTTACGCTATGTAAAATATAAAAAAAGCTATATCCTTGGTAAAATAATCACTATAATAGTTTTTAAATCTCTAAATAAAATATTTAAATCAAGGTATCGAAGCACATAAAGAAATTAAAAATACATTTAAAATATCAAGACCCTTTCAAACAAAAATAATAATTGTCATAACTTTTCTATAATAATATTACATCTGACAAATATATTCTGAATAGTCTGAAATGTCATTTGTCATATGTTGCGGTTTTTTATTTTATTTTATATATATTTATTTCTTGCATTTCTATGGCACTTGTTACTTGTTATTTAACGCTGGTTTCTTGGGCACCTGTAAAATGTATGCACACAAACATAAGGACTAATTATTACATCACAAAGGTTCGTTTATTGTTATGTTCATCGGATTCTATATTTTAAATTCAGAAACTTTTTAATATCATGCTCACAGATAGAATAGAACGATACTCTTTTTTTTAATTTACAACATTATTTACCTAACTTGACGTTTCGAGTACAGAAGTAATCTGTCAGCAAGACGCACTGCCATATCCATTGGACAGATATTAGTCCATTGAAAAGTTACATTTGGAGTTGCGTTTTTTAGAGGACGCAATTTTATTTATGGAACATGTAGGGGGGGTCAATACAAGCTTAACCTCAAGTTTGTGGGGTTGGCGTGCTTGTCCCCCGGCCGCCATCTTGGATAAAGGGGTCCAAAAACCACGTTTTTGGCTATATCTCCTAAACTATCCATCGTACATAAAACTTGTAAAGACACATTTTGTAGCAAATCGCTGTGTCTACGATTATGTCTATTTAACTTTTTATCATAAATCCATAATTCAAAAAGTTATAAATAAAAAAGTGATAGCTAGCTACCATTCTAATAACTGATTGATAATATAATTATGTCGAAGATTACCATATCAGCAAGTTGTCTGTGGAATAGGCCTACTAGGAATACCAATAAGTAAAATTGTAGGAATAAAAAAAAAAATATAATTTATTTGGAAAATTTGTTTAAAATAAACGAGAGATCTTAAAAGTAAGGTAAAACTGCTGTTTTGATCGGCTTGTCATGAGCATTGACGCACCTAGTCAACTTTAGAAATAGGAAATATTTTCACTTTTTTCTTATAACTTTTTGAATTTTAGATTTATGATAAAAAGTTACATAGACATAATTGTAGGCACAGCGATTTGCTACAAAATGTGTCTTTACAAGTTTTATGTACGATGGTTAGTTTAGGAGATATAGCCAAAAACGTGGTTTTTGGACCCCTCTTTCCAAGATGGCGGCCGGGGGACAAGCACGCCAACCCCACAAACTTGAGGTTAAGCTTGTATTGACCCCCCATACAGGTCCCATAAATAAAATTGCGTCCTCTAACAAATGTTCAGTTTGGCCCTCAAATTGTAACATTTCAATGGACTATATGAATTTTATATGATTCTATTAAAATATTAACACCATTGTGTTTATGTTAATTGTGAATACATATTTCCTATAATTTATGCGAAAAAGTGTTTAACAAAAAACTTAATGTGATTTTTTGTAGTAAAGTTGATAGAGTAAATTAAAGATAGCAGATTTCGTTTTCGAATGATATGAGTTAAGCAAGCTTTAACATTGCTGTATTTTCATATAAATCCGACGTCTTTTATAAACCAGATTATAGACTTATCATGCACTTACTTAATTTAGCTATCAGGTTCTGGACTTGAATGTCAGTAGGTATTGAAATTTGGTCTTTAACCAACTGTGCGACTGGCTTGCACCAAGAATAAAAATGTTACGGCTATGACATATTACTATACGTTTTTAACCAATTAGAGAACAAGACCTGCATAGTATCATCTTATATGCGATCGAACAACACCTTAGGATCATAAGGTCGCTGTAGAATGATAACCTCGTATGTCCTGAGAACCAAACATTACAGGAAACGAAAAAATGTTTCATTTCGTCAATGGTCGTTAAATATTAATATGTGTTTTTGTCCATAGTTTTAGATGGTAAAAAGGACTTATTTATTAATAACATATATAAGTTCTTACTTCATGATTATACCTGTTAAATGACATAAGAGTCTAAGAATAAAAAATAAATGTTTTTTTGACATACGAGGTTATCATTCTGCAGCGACGATAGGTAACATAACTTTGAATGATAGTAAAAATCGTTCTAGTTAATTTTTTATTAGTGTTAGCGTGTCACACCCGTCGATTTGTATCACCAACTAATTCAGACCCAAATTGCCCCTAGTGGTAGTCTAAGAGAGCAAGAGAGACGGACGTTCTCTCAGTGTATCATAACACGAGAGCAAGGGAGACGGAGAACGCCAGCGTTGCCAACTACGAGCTAAATTGGGGACAGACCCCACTTGGAATCGGCACACGAAATCCTTATGGTCTGTGCTTCTATCTTACGTCAGAATTCGTTAGTATAACGATATCAAATGGGCTAAGAAAAATTATATGAAACAGAGTAAGTATATCATTGTGGCTATTGAAGCCACAGCAACCCTTAAACCATTTCAATCTAATTTACAGATATGAGACTATCTGTAAATTAAATTGATAATTAGCATGCATAAAAAATCTCACCTCATTTCATACTAACATTTCCACCGTAAAAGTCGAAATCATCGAAACCATCCGGCTCGAACGCGCGTATCTGCTCAAACAGCTCGCTGTCCATGAAACTGTTCTCGGTTTGCGCAGGCGTTGATGCGCTGAAGTAACTGTGGTGTGTTTCAAGTGTTTAAGTGTTATGTGTGTGTGTTTGGTGTATGAAGTACAATGATTTGTGTGGAATGTTGTATTAAAATTTCAATTATTCCAATATTTGTTTTTCGTATATATTTAAAATAATATAGTATTATGTGAAGTGTAGTGTGTTCGAAGTTTTCCACCAAGGCAGCAACGGATCGGGAAAGAAAGAAAATGCAACACGTTAGCGGTCGTTAGAAGAAACAGAAAAACAAAAACCTATGATCGCCAAAATGTCACCACAGACTATAAATTACAATTTAAATTACGCTAAAACAAAACAAAGTATAGAAATATCAAAATTAAAATAAACGACCGTCTGTGTTGCATTTTCGCGTGGTTAGAATTTTGAATTATCCTTTTTCTTATTAAAAACTTAGCGAAAAAGCAAAATTCAAAATAAAAGAAAAATCTATGTATCGAAATCTCACATATATTTATCATAAATACATCCAAACGTACAACATTGTCATGTATATTTATTATTATATTTAGTCAAATTAAACAGTAATATAGTTATTTTTGCTTAAATCATAACACTTATGTCTGATAAAATTTAATAAAATGCGATAGATTGACATAAAAGTACGTAATCATTTTGTTTAATATAAACCAATATTAATAATAACATCTCACAGTTCAACATAATCTCGGCTGTGTTTAACTTGAATAAAAACGATATACTTTATCAAGTAACACCTAAAAAATATATATATAATATGTGTTATATCTTTTTTACAGGTTCTTGGTAATTTCACGTAATCCCGTAAACACGTAATATGTTCAATATTGATTAATAACCAGTGTTTAATAGTTTTTTTTATAAATCACAAAAAAAATATAATTAAATTGGTAGGCTTTTTTTTAAATAAATTATATTTTTTTAAATATGTTTTGAAACAAAAGCAAAAATCCACAAAATATCCTTTTTTTTCCAAAAAGTGGCGGTGTTTCATGCCAGCGCTTGTCGCATACATTTTTTACGTACATAGGTACCTATTTTCTATTAATAAAGTAATATTCTATCGCATTTTATCAAGAATATCTTTGAGCACATTTAATATATATTCATAATAGTCACATCCATTAAAAAGCTTGAAATCATTTCTAAACTCGGACAATACTTTTGTGCATTTAACATCTATACATTCAATCAATTACCACACGTAGCTAGTCTGTGATTCAGTATCTTTCACAATACTACTCTGTGGTGCCTAAAGGTTTCTCAGAAAATTGACTATGGACAATTATTATCTGTGCGATATGTTCATAGTTCTATTTTCATTCGAGATCAAATAAAATCGATATGTCGAGACTAATTACGATAAATATAATTAAGTTGTTAATAGACAAAATCTTAACACATACAGGATAAATGCGTTACATAAATTTTTACCAATATATTTGAAAATAGGCTTCGAAAAACATAATTTTTATTTGTATAAGAGGACATTGAGGACGGAGTGGGTTACAATTAAATGTTCTTAAAAAACTATCCCAAATAGGAAACTTTCAGTTTTTGGCATGTAAAAATTGTTCCAAAATTGCCTAAAACACGATAATACATAGAAAAAATAAAACGTTTTAAAACGATTCTTAGATGTACGAAATATTGGTAGTTCTGAATATAAGAAAGGAAATCGAAACATGATATGTTGTTTTTAATTGACATTTATACTAACCTAATATTATTTAAAAAAAATACTGTTTACAATCGTTGGATTTCGATGTTTCATTAAACTTGGAACGTATTTAAATTGGAATTGTATAATTATGAAACAGTCAAAAATGGATTCAACGTAGTGTTTTTATCACTTTGCATTTCCTAACAATTTAATTATAATAAATAGTTCACAACAGAAATTTCGCATAATTAATTAATAATAATTTTTAGTTAAAAGGCTAGGCTGTTAATTTAATGGAATTATTGAGCTAGTTGGCATATATGTATATATCATAGTTACTGAAAAAAACAGAATAAGGTAAAATCAATATATCAGTTAATGTTAATAACTTAATCTCGTATACTGTCTCGTACTTTTTTGTATTACAAACATCAAAACTATAATAAAATACACAACTGCATCAATAACGCGAAAATTACGTTCTCAAGCAATAAATTGCGTTTTCTCAGAAACAATTGACATAGTCAAATTTAAATAAGGGAGCGTTCAAGTATTACGTAACGCAATTTTAGGAGATTATTGACCCCCCCCATGTATCGCGCCGTACCGTTTTTCAGTACGCAAGTACAGTACTGTACCCAAGTATAGTAAAACGTTTCGTGACCACCTAGTGACTCTTTAGTTACTATTATGTGGTGTAAGTCGAAAAAAATATTAATAATAACGCGTAATTTAATTTCCGCCACGCATCGTAACGTTTTGCAAAAGGACCCCCCCTCCCAAAATACGTTACGTAATACTTGAACGCTCCCTAACATACAGGAGCGATATCTCTCCCTTTCTAGGGTGAAGAAATTTCTAACATTTATTTTGGCAAGGGAACCACAACATTTAACACCAATTTGATTCCTACCTACATAACATCGAAAACATCAATTAGTTATAACAATTAACTTCGTAAAATAGTCTATATAGACACGTTTTCTCTCCATCAGAGTCTACATAGGGTAATGAAAACCGATATAAGAGATTCCTGCACGAAATGGGAATGAAGCCGACAATTTGAATCTGTTTTAGTAAACTACCTTCCGAATCACGTTTTTTTATTAACCATAGGAAAGTAGAATAAGTCGTTACTTTCAACTTTTAAAGTATGAAAATTTAGTGACGCGTGCACGCAATTATACTTGCTGCACGTTTGCGACACTACATAACCAGTTAAAAACTCAACTTGAACTTTAAAATTATATTTAATTGTAGTATAATATATATTTAGTAACGCGTAATTCAATCCCCGCCCCGTATCGTAACGTTTTACAAAAGGAAAAAAACGCGTTACGTAATACTTGAACGCTCCCGAACGAATTTAAAAAACAAAAAATATTGCAACAAGGTTAAATTTTCGGTCTTTTCATTACACTTTGTATATTTTACACGTTTAGTCCTCTTTATAGTTGAAGGATGGTCGTACCGCAACTATAAAAATATTACAACATATTAAACTATTGTGCAGTTATGAGCAATTGGAATAGTGGCTTCAGCGTGCAACTCTCATCCCTGAGGTCGTAGGTTCGATCCCCGCCTGTGCACCAATGTACTCTCTATGTGCGCATTTATCATTCGCTCAAACGGTGAAGGAAAACATCGCGAGGAAAGCGACTGTCTTAGACCCAAAAAGACGACGGCGTTTGTCAGGATTAGATTGAAAAATTATCAAAATCAGATTTTTTTTAATTTAAACTCTTGTGCATAAATAAGCTCGAACAGCTTCGTTCCCGAAACGTAACTCAACCAATCGTTATCTGCGCATGAGTCGTTACCTAACGTACATGTACGAGTACGAATTACAATATTTTACGATTCTTTAAGATCAACAGTTAACACGAACTATTCCCGTTTGTATCACGATTTTGATATACAACTCATATGCCCGAAGTTCAAATTCCGTATGTCATATCTAATACCTTTTTGACAAACTGTAGTTTCGATTTTGAAACGTATACGAAGAGGGATGTAGTCTAATGTATGGCTAGTCTAACATTGTATAGAATTTTTTTTAAATGAATATAGTGCATATGTATGAACGATAAGGAAATGACAGAAAACTGGAAATGTAATTGTTGGTCCCTATTGATAGTCATAAGCTTCTTACAAACTCCATTTTAGAAAATAATCATAACATAGAAATTAATGGACAAAACTAAATGTATAAAAAAGTTATGTCAATAGTATTGTCTTTGATTAACATAACTTTTATTCATTTAATAAAACACTATTTTGACCGGATTGAAGTTATGTATTATTATAAATTTACAACTATTTAAAATTATGTTAAATAGTTGTAAATTTATAATAATACATAACTTCAATCCGGTCAAAATAGTGTTTTATTAAGTTATGTCAACTATAATCGTAAAACAATTTTTGTGAACTACCCTCATATTTAAAAATCTAATCTCTACTGTATTATCTAAAACTGTCTCTTTCTTTCAGATCGTAAGCAATTTTAAAAAAGAGATAAATGCTCTATGTCGTTGTAATTAGACAGATTTAACGTATATGAGGGTACATATTTGCATAAAACATTATCTATCTAAGCCCAAATTGTTAAAAAAAGATAAATGCTTAAGTAAAACATCGTCATTAGATTTAGATTTTATATGTGCCCTCATAAACTTGCATAATACTAACATCATAAAAATCACGACATCTCGACCCAAGCTTTCTGCTATTCAGAGAGCTGGGTGAGATCATCAATAAATCTCGGGTTTTTATGTCGATGCATAATAGTCCAAATTCATAAGCCAATTTGATTCTTACTATCAAAACTATAGCGTTGATTTTACTTTAGATATTATGTCGGTAGCCCAACCTTCGAGATGTTTTTAATAACAATTTTGTCAGCTTTCCTAAGAAAGGAACTGACTTAATTTTGAATAAGCTGAAGTTTAAATCGAAACTAAACTCCATGTTCTTAATTCTAAACCTATTCTACTAATAAATCACAAAACTTAAAAATAAAAATACTAAAATATTTTTTTTTTATCAAATTGAGATTTTTGATTTTTAAAAAGCAGTCTTGATTTTTTTTGGAAAAATAATACTTAAAAAAAATGGATGTGACTACTAAAACAAACTTAAACGAAATCTTCATGCTTCAGAAGTCAATCATGTACCTAAAGAAAACACAAAAACAATAGAAATAACCGAAAAAAAAACACATGCAAAGATGAATCAATAAAATTAAAAGATCTTACTTATAACAAAATTAACCCAGCAAAGGTGTAAAATATACTAATTTCATCATTTTAAGATATTGAAGGAACTCCATCAAATTTGCATACAAAACGTCGCTATTAAAAGATACGTTATTTGGAAACAAATGATAAATAGAAAAAAAATTAATATGAAAATATTAAATGATGATATAAGTAAGTATTACGACATAATTGAAATGCCAAACCAATTTAATGAAATTTTAATAAGATGCACTATCTTTTATGTATTGGATGTAATTTATTTATCAAACTTGTATAGTGAGTATGTTTATCATTTTAAGCAACATTTTCCAAATTAAATTGTATGTTTTAGCGATCCAGATTAACCAAGATTTTATACAAACCGAAAGACAAGTGAATTCAGTAACACACTGAATTAAAATAAAGTATGCGTGTACTAGGTGTACACACGTAAGAAGTGAAACTTCTTTATGATCTTATTTTTCGAAAAATGATCTAAGATATGCAACTTTACAGAAATTCGTTAAATTAGATAAAGTTTAACAAAAGGCTTTTATTATCATAGACATGAATACAAATATTTCATTTTACCTTATTACTACGAAGATTATTATAGAATTTCATTAATTGTAATAGAATTATTACTATCATTGAAAAACGTGACGATTTGCTACAAAATTTCTCCCATACATCGATAAAGAAGTTTCATTCCAACGCCGATAAAGAAGTTTGACTACAAAAAGCAACATGGCGCGTAACCGAAAAATGTGACGCGTAACGAAAAGATTTTACACTAAATTTTTTTCCAACCTCGATAAAGAAGTTTCACTTCAAAAAACTACAAACTCAATAAATGTATATTTTTCCCAATACACATTTCTAAATATTAAAAATGGTAACTGTACTCACAAAAAAAATCGTATAAAAATTCCACCCATTATTAAATTGTTTAATTACATCTTAATTCGCTTGCCTAAAACAGGTTTATTCTAGCTGGGTAACGGCCTAATTAAATAATTCATTTCGCGAGTTATTTCACCTAACATTAGTTAAGTTATATATATATATATATATATATATATTAGTAAAAAACCAATCATCGCACACTTGAAGCCAATATGAGTTTTTTTTAGTTTTTACCACACTCATAAATTGTAATTTAACATTCTCGTTTCCGATAATGTCCAATAATATAAGTGTCAATTAGATTTACGAGCTATTCAATAATTCAAGTTAGTTTGTGTTATCTTAGCTATAAGCTCATATTTTAACCAATTAAAACCAGTTGTTCCCAGCTTCAAACAAAGTGTTATATTGAACATATCCATACAACAACCGTCACCGAACTTAACTCGCGTTAATTAAAAATAAAACGTTTATATTATTTTTGAATTGAATCAATAAGTTCATACCGAATAAAATTATTAGTTAAAAATATCGTACCTGTTGTGCACGGATGGCGTGTTGCGATGCGAGTCGGGCGAATGCGCGTAGGCCGGAGAGGGGGACATGTATGGGGGCAACGTCGTCACCAACACAGGCTTCACGTAGCCGTTCTTTAGGACGTCGTTTTCTATAACATTATAACAACCACATATGACTCATCAATAAATTTATCAAGCAGGAGCCATCTGTGTCTGACACGTAGGGATGCATCCGATATCGATATCGATCCCGATACCGATACATCGGTAAAGTATCGCCGTATTAAAAATTGCAAACGATGCACGAGCTATCTATGCCCGGGGAATCCCCGCGTTTTATTTAGTTTGTTGTCTCTCTCACCCGCGTATTCCATTTCGCTAGACACTTTAGTTGGCTTATAACTGCTATCGCGCGTAGTATTTTTTCGATACCGATTAAATTAAATACAGAATTACAAATTCTTATCAATGTTAATTTTAATAATTAATAGTTATTTATTTTAATTTAATTATTAGTCTAAATTCTTAATATTAATTATTAGTCCTAAATTCTTAAAACTAACCAAACTTGATAAATTTTACCTTAATTTAATTTTAATTCAATAAGTGTTGGTATCGGTATCGACGATGTTTATATAAGAGTATCGAGTCGGTGTCGTATCGGCAAAAAGGCATATATCGATGCATCCCTACTGAGACGCTTCGTCAAAAAGTACAGCTCTGCAACTCTCTCTATATTGAAATTAATTGGCGAAATTCAATATTATCTTTGTGTAATAATCGGAAACAGATGACGCTATGAGATCCATCAAGTTAGCTAAATAATTTAAGAAATAAAAATATATTCTTTACTAAGATGTGTACTGTCTAATGTAAATATATTTATCTTAAAGTATATACTAATAGTTATATATGTTACGAAAATAGTGTTGGCGAAATATTCTATGGCATTTCTGAAAACCAGTGCTGGAACCTGCCAACTGTCACTGTCAGCCTGACAACTGACTAATCAATTGGCGCACAGCCTATAGAACTTACGACCAGGGATAAGATTTGCACGCTGAAGCTGTTTTAAGCTTTATATATATCTTATCTATTACAGATAATCTGTGAAATCGTAGATAAATAAACACAATAGTCTTATGCCCACCGATTGCGTCCAATTTTTAATTATACCTCATGCTGGAACACGGCCTTTTTAATTCTAGTTCCAACTCACCAGGCTTAGTATAATACTTGGAGAAGACATCATTCTTGGCCACGTTGGGGTAAAGGAACTGCAGCTGGGACAGATCCAGGATTCGGTCGGCGAGGGATCGCAGCATCAGGTCACGGGATGTGAACGGCTGGAGGCTGAACACTTCGTTGCCATCTGGACAGAGAAATCTTTAATTAACGAAAAAGATGGAAATCAAATCAAATATTATTTAAATTTATTTTTTTAAGCAATACTCATTTATGTACGTCATTATAATTGTTTACGTATACCCACTTTTAGGGTTTAATATAAAAAATAAAGTGTTATTGAAAGTAATCTTTACAAAAAACGGCTTTAAAAAGCGTTATGGAGTAAAATAAATTATACTTTTTAAAAATATTGATTTTATATACGTCACGTGACACAAAACGGTCGGTTAGTCGAATCGACGATGACGTCTAATCTTAGCACTGTCTTGGGAGTTTAATTTCGTTTTAGATTTAAATCTAATATATAAAATTCTTGTGTCGCGGTGTTTGTAGTTAAACTCCTCCGAAACGGTTTGGCCGATTTTCATGAAATTTTGTGTGCATATTGTCCCTAAATGTTAAGGGTAGTCCACCCCTAAACTTTTTTTTAAATCTTTTGATAAAAAAATTATTTTTTTATGATACATCATTAAAAATACATACATTTTTATGATACATCATTAAAAAATACATACAACCCCTAATTTTCACCCCTCTACGATCAACCCCTATTTTTTATTATAAATGATATACATGGCAAAACGACGTTTGCCGGGTCAGCTAGTATACATATATGAATAATTTTTTAAATGATAATTAACACGAGTTATATTACCTAAGATTAGTTATGTTATATATATATTTTAGTAAAAAAATAGACAAAATGTAAACAATCATCGCACACTTAAAAAGGGTGCGTGTACTTATGTACGCGCGTAAGAAGTTACACTTCTTTGGCGTTAATAAAAATAGTTTTTGATTGCATTGCAAATAATTAATTACAATTAAATAACCAAAGACTGGCAAAGGAGGCATTATAGTCAATAAAGTTCAGTTTACATTTGAAAAATTAAATAAATAAATATTTATTATTATTCTCTTACATTAAGTGTAATATAAATTCTATTATTATTCGAATGTTGTTTTTAATTATGTCCAATGCCGTAGCATCTTCCGTGGGCAACTTCATTTTGTTAATTTTGTGTCACGGTGCGCGGATCGTAAAATTTCACTCTCATCAATTTTTCATAACGCGCCTAAAGAAGTATAACTTCAAAAAGCCAATATGAGCCTTTTAGTTTTTACCATCCTTATAAATTGTAATTTAATATTCTCGTTTCCGATAAGGTCCAATAATATAAATGTCACTTAGATTTAATAACTACCCCTAATTGTCACAGTGACCATGCGATGCCATCTTACAATGAAGCGTGTAATAGGATGAGGGTAGAAACAAAAAGGACAGACACGGACGGTGATTGCCGTAGATTGGACGTGTTAAATATATAAATTGTGTCTTGTGTAATATCAAATTTGGGATTTTGAATTTCGGTTATGTTTCATTTAATTATTATTGTATGGTTTAGTTTTATTTTGGTTGTGAAACGATCTGAAATGTTTTAGCTTTGGGAATTGCCCTCAAATTAAATGTTCATTTTTTGAATAACAAATTGTCTATAATGTTTATGTGATAAACGTTACCACATATATTAGGTTTGGCAGGATAAACCTAAATCCTCCTGGCGCCCACATTTATGTATTTTTTAGTTAATTATAAGATTTAGTCTAATACATTTTAGTTATTGTATTTTGCTAGTTTATAAATATCCTAATATATGCTAATTTGTTTTATTTATGTTAAAGACCCATAACAAGCGTTTTGGCAGATTTTATTGAATAATAAAGCCAAGACGTAACAGTATTAAAAAAAACGTGTGGCACTCGGGGACTGCCGCGGTAAAGCTATTGCATAGCATTTTTTATCAACTTATGCAGTTATAATTATTTATTTATTTTTTATTTATGCAGTATTTGTTTTTCTTTGGTATTTGCCGCACCTATATTACGTCATCGTGTGTTAGGTTTTTCGTTACGGAAAAAATTCGTCACTAATAAATAATCTGAAATACTTTTCAAAATCTTAAATAGCCCATTGAAAATCAAAGGCCTCTATAAAATTTAACTGTCATTATTAGACACATAGGCAGGGTAAATTCACAGTCATAACACATTTAAAAATCTCACCTCCAACCCAGGCGATAGTGATTCCACCGAGTTCAGAATCCGAGAAGCGAAGTAGGAATGTCCCAGGAGGACATTTAGCTAACATCTCCTCGGCTTGCTTCTTTTGAATGAAACCCATTATCAGGCTGAAAATGTTTATAAAATATACAGTAAGGGAGTGTTCAAGTATTACGTAACGAATTTGGGGGGGAGGGGGTCCTTTTGTAAAACGTTACATGGTGGGCGGGGATTGAATTACGCGTTATTGTTAATATTATTTTCGACTTTCCAGTACTGTACATCACATAATAGTAACATTTAGGTATAAATAGTCACTAGGTGGTCACGAAACGTTTTACTAATGGGTACAGAAAAACGTTACGGCACGTTACAAGGGGGGGAGGGGGTCAATTATCTCCAAAAATTGCGTGACGTAATACTTGAAATCTCCCTAATCCCCCTATAACGCGATTACTGTCACGCACATTACGCGGTTTTACCCCCAATAACGCGTTTTCATATAACGCGAAATTACCACATATAACGCGTTTTTCTATAACGCGATTACCGTCACCCACGATATGTTCGTTAAACACGATATTACGATAAAAACGGGTTTAACGAACATTTTAAACGTCTGATTAGATTTATTGACAATATGTATGAACGAATGAGTGAATGAATACTCACCGATCACACCAGAGCGTCCTCAGATAGTCTCTCGTGACCTTGACGACCATGTAAAACCACTCCCAGAAGGTGAAATTCCGTTCCGGTAGTGCGTCTTTGCAGAACTGGGTCCAGCTGACTGTCATGGCGTTCAGCTCCATGGTGTTCATGGGGAGACTTGTCCTGGAGATTATACTAAACATATTGTATAGTCTGGTATTGATTTTAGTGAAAAATTGTTTTGGCAATATATTAATAATATTAGTAAATAAATCTAGTACATTTCTCTTTATGCATAAAAAATGACCAAAATTGTGAAGGAAACTATGATTTTGGAGTATGCGCCCTTAAAAAGGCATTCTAACTTAAATCTAAACTATACTCTGATTTTTGATTCAGTAGAATTCTGACAGCTATCATTTTTTGACATGTCAGAGATTACAAACCTTTTTGGCCGGGCTCGTTTTTCAATTTCAATACGAGTCTGAACATCTGAGTCTATACATACATTTTATTTGTTAGTTAATGTATCCATTTTATTAAGTGCGGTGCTTCACATTAAAAATGATTTGACGGCGAGTGATAATTACGTCCCTTTTCATTACAAACAGTAAAGAACCCACAAGTAAGCATAACATTTTTTTTAAAAGGTTTACTAAACCACGAATTAGTAGGCAGTGATGCCAGCTAAAGAATAAACTAAAGTAATTAAAATTAAGTCGATATATTGTTCGTGATATTGAAATATTTGTTATTTTTGTCTTAGGTCACTTGAGTAAATACTTAGATTTACCTTTTTGTAGGTAAAACATAAGAATACTTAGCATTATTTTTATGCCCTCAAATGGGTAAAATTTGTGCGTTTTCCGGTGGATTTTTTTTAGTAGCAACACTTATGAAATGTCAGAATTCTACGGAATGTAAAATCAGAGTTTAGTAATTTTTTTGATTTGTAATGAAATAAATGATTTGACTTTGACTTTAAATCTAGTTTCCAGAGCTGTCAAACGAATTCATCTATTGACATATTTGACAGCGCTTAAACAAGATTGTGGCTTGAAATACAAATTAGAATATGGAAACGGCGTGTATCAAACACAGAAGGCTGATTACCTGAAAGATATTATGAAAAAAATATTATTTAACAACAATTAATTATTAATAATAAATAGAAAACTAGTAAACAAACCTAAAAATCTTCTCGGCCAGGAACCTCAGATTATCCTCGGACAGATCCCCACCAGTGGCTGAACAAAATTTGATGCGTAGAGTCTCAGCCAACTGACACCAAGTCACCTGAAAACGTTTTATAGTATTTAAGTTAAAGTAATGAAGGGACTGGTTAAAAATGTCAAAAACAAATGAATGCGCCTGGAAGAGATGTTCATCCTTGGATGAGATCATGTATAGAAAACAATAATTTACTAAGAATTTTTTTATATATAAAACTAGCTGCCCCCACGAACGTTTCTCCTTACTGTGATTTTACTTAGCCTGCCTTTTTTGTACCTACCAACATGGAACGTTTTGCTATGCTACCCCGGAGACTGTTAGATTTTTGGAATAAAAACTTTTTAGGTTTTTCTGTGAATATTTCTCTATATAAACCTCATAGTCAAGTCATAAGTTTTAAATTAACTAATAAAAAAATAGGAGTTGATCGTAGAGGGGTGAAAATTAGGGGTTGTATGTATTTTTATATGTTGTATCGTAAAAAAATTAAAAAAAAAAACTTTATCCAAAAAATTAAAAAGTTTTTGGGTTGGACACTCCTTATCATTTAGGGGTTTGAAAGATAGATAGTTTTAATTCGATAGGTAGCAAATTATATGTTAACAATACCTTATCGGGGACAGCGAAGGGGACCCTGCCTGGGGGGCTGAAAGCATTGTCCCAAGTGACTGTGGCCCAGCCGTGGGGCTCCTGATTGCCGTGGACTATCACCACTACTGGAAGAGATAGGGTCCACACCTGAAAAATAATCAGTTCTTTAAGTTTTACTTATTAGGCGTTTTGCACCTTATGTGGTGGAAAGAAGATACATGTAGGACATTGTCTCTTCTACATCTTCTCTTCTAAGAAGAATTTCCACTATTATTCCTTGCCTTGTTTTAAGTAATAAATATATTAAAATCATTTCTTATTAGGGAGCGTTCAAGTATTACGTAACGAATTTAGGAGGGGGGTCCTTTAGTAAAACGTTACGATGCGGGGCGGGGTTGGAATTACGCGTTATTGTTAATATTATTTTCGACTTTCCAGTACTTTACACCACATAATGGTATAAAGAGTCACTAGGTGGTCACGAAACGTTTTACTATACTTGGGTACAGGTAAACGTTACGGTGCTTTACATGGGGGGGGACAATAATCACAAAAAATTACGTGACGTAATACTTGAAAGCACACTTTTATTTATAATAATATTTCATTAATAATTTTTAATTTACAATTTTTTTTCAATTATTTAAGAAGTATAGTATTATTAATTAGGTTTCAAACTCTTGCACTTACTCAATTATTTTTTAGCTGTTATGTTTAATTAGGTTTGCCTAGCGAAATGCTAAGTAGCGATAATGCCGCCCTTACGCCATGTTTTTTTAAGTTTATTGTTAATATTCTTATTTAATTCTTGTGCAAAAAATAAAAAAAGAGCAATACCGAACGCACTCTGAAGTCTCAAACCTCCAGTAGAAGGTGGCCACTTCTGCAGGAATTGGAGCACAAAATATGTCAACATACAAAAAAGGTACACCGCTGAAACGAACTCAAATCCCTCACACACACACACACACATATGTATTAAAAATATTAACCTGGAAGACAAGTTCCCCTCCCCCGACGTTGAACTCAGACTGAAATAGAAGAGTTAGCTTCTCATCCATCACACTCTCTGTTCCCTTCTTCTCCGCTCGCTTTATTTTGCGTAACTGCATGTTCCTGAAAGATAGAACATTGTTATTTTTTTTGTTATAGACACTTAAGCGTAAAGAACATAAACTTAAGCGTTAACTTCGACACCCTTTCGTCAAAATTGTATTGGATTTTGAAGTCGGTTTTGAATTTACCATAAAATCTAATGAAATATTTGTAATATTTTTTGTTGATTTGTGTTTTTTTTATCACGAGATAATAAGCCAAAGTCTGTATTGCCATAATACTGAATATAAATGCAAAACCACTGTTATATAACTGATTCCCATGACAAAACCCTTCTATGAATCTTACCTTTATGGCATTACAAAATTTATTTCCACATAATTATTCATTACCATTATTACTAAGGAAATAGAAAATAATCTTATAAATATGGGTTTTGATCTCAGGTTGCACGCTTTGATAATTTTTTATTTCATAGACAAGGAGGTGATTTTTTGTCTGACACATTAGATTTTAGGATTTGAGACATGCCGGTTTTCCCGCGATGTTTTCCTTCACAGAAAGAGCGAGTTAAATGAGGAGAAACTCCATTGGTACACAGTCTATCAAATCGATGAGAGTCGCACTCTAAGCCACGGCCTCAATATTATAATTAAACTTCTAGTCTACTATCTGGTCCATATATTCTTTCGGAAATTGTATTCGTTTTTACAACAAATTCCAAGCGAAATTAGAGAATTATCACTAAATAAATTCAAAGCCCTCATTAATCGAAAATTAATCAATAAAGCTTTTTATAAATTTGAGGAATACTTTTAGATTGATTTGCTCCAGTTCAAACAATTTGTATGAAAATACTTGGCGATTAAAAAGAGTGGCGGAAAGTTTCTTGCCAGTTCTTCTTGCCCGCTCTACGCCCATGACTTGCGAACTGGTAGTAAATGTAAATTTACAATTAATTTTACTTCTTTCTGACAATTCATAAGTGTACTTGTTTACCTACATGAATAAAGATATTTTGAGTTTGAGTTTAGTCAAATAATATTTGTGAAATCCGCCGATACAAACACATATGTCTGCCTTATACATCTTATTAATTCCATATATTGGCGTAACTAAGTCGTAATTAATTAAGAGATAAATACGCCTTGTGAATACCTGAAACTGACGCTAAGCTGCCGGCTGGTAGGCTGGTACTCCATACACCCGCTGTTATTGAGAATGTCCCCACACTCCACGGGCTGCTTTCCGCGCCCACTTTGGGAGTCACTCTTCAATAACAATTGAGCTTGTTGCTCGGATATTATCACCACCTGCAGATGCACCACATTCATATACGACCTTGGTTGCATTATACCATTTAGCTATAGCGATATTTAAAGTCCCTTGAATTTAAAGGATTAGTACAAAATTGTTATAAGGGAGCGTTCAAGTAATACGTCACGCAATATTTGGAGATTATTGACCGCAAACGTTTCGTGACCGTTTATAACTAAAGTTACCATTATGTGGTGGAAAGTACTGGAAAGTCGAAAATAATATTAACAATAACGCGTAATTCAATCTCCGCCCCGCATCGTAACGGCAACGTAAAGCTGCGTATACATTAAGCGCGGCAAACCATCGAACATTGGCGCGCGCGGCGGCCGCGCTCTATGTAGACGGGGTCGCCGCGCGCGGCGACTCGAACATTGCCGCGCTCGAACGTGCCGCGGGTCGATCCGCTCGCTGTCGGTTTTTGAGACCGCATCAAAGGAGCTTCAGTCGTTGGCTCGCGCGCAGTTGGGACGGTTATAGTTATGGTGATTTGGCTCGCGCGGCGATTACGTAAATAAGGGTGCGTGTACTTATGTACGCGCGTAAGAAGTTATACTTCTCTGGCATTATTAAAAATAGTTTTTGATTGCATGCAAATAATTAATTACAATTAAATAATCAAAGACTGGAAAAGGAGTCATTATAGTCAATAAAGTTCAGTTTACATTTGAAAAATTAAATAAATAATTATATTTATTTTTTTTACAAATAAGATGGTGAATCACAATGAAAGCGGCAGCCGCCCGACCACGCGCGTCCATACTCGCAGGTTTACAAGAGTGAACTGGTCTGACTATCTGCCGCGGTCTGTTTGTGATCGATCGCCTGCCGCGCGCGGCAGTCACGTCCAACTAAATTTACATCTTCATATTGGCTCGCGCGGCAAATGAAGGTCAACTCTGGTCGAACATTAGCTCGCGCGGCTGCCGCGCTTAATTTGTACGCAGCTTTAGGCATGCAGATATTGCGCCGGAGTCGGCCTCCAAAGACACATTCTTATTTTTGTTTACAATCACACAGATTGTAAACAAATGTGGAGCCCTGTGCCTTTTGTTTATGAAAGTAGGCCTTAAGAAATTGAAACTTGAACTCTTTTTTACCAGATACCTTCAAAAACGAACTAAAAACCTCTAGGTATTCTATCTGAAATAATTAATCAACTCTCCTACATTGCGTTAGATATTTTTAAAGATTCAGTTTATGTATAAATAATATAAAATAATCGCAATATATCTTTAAGGTCAAAACTCGACGACGGCTGGAGCAAATCGAGTATTTTTACTGTATTTATTTCTTGAATAAAAAGGAGGTTGTTATGGAAAGAAAAACCTAAAAACCAGGTATCTTTTTTCTTTAATTGTGTACGCAACAGTTTAGGTATATAATTTTCAAGGTTTACGAGTAACGGGCGAAGCTTGGGGCTTGTTTTTAATAATTAAAAAAACTCATTGGCTAATAGAAGGATCCTTTACTCACGGTAACTCGTGGTGGAGTCATGTGTACATTGAGTTGACCACCCACCAACAGGCGAACGGTTGCCGTAAAACTGTAACAAATAATCAAAATGTCAATCAAAAATATAAAACTCAATAAGTCTCAAAACGATTAACAGACTCACGGACATATTTCAGTGTCTGCCTTAGGTCTAAGTGATTTTTGTGCCTTAACCCAAAACATTATTTTTTTACAACTAAACTAAATAAACTTGTTTCTTCTTCTTCAGTCGCGCTCGTTATCTCTGAAGGCCCTGTTAAGTGCGCCGAAGAGCTTCCTCCACTCCCCCGTCTTGGGCAAGCGTCTACTCCTGGGTGACAGTAAGACCTGTACGGGCCATTACTTGATCGGAGCAAATAGGGGATCGAGGTCTAGAGTCCCCCCCCATGCCACTTACGATAAGTTTTTCTAAATTGTCTGAATGCGTCTCAAAAAAATCAGGATCCGTTGGTAGCAAAGTGTCGAAAGACTTGATATGAACACGTTTGTTTCCTTTTCCTATAATTTCCTTGTAAACTATAAAATTGTCTATTAAAAAGTGTCAGAGTTTTTCACGATATACGCCTTGATTTGGTAGTAAATGTACATTTAGATCACCCTTTTTTTATATTGAAGTTCATAAGTTATAGTCACGAATATATTTTTTTTATATATTTAAAAAGCTTCACTCACCGTGTATTAGTTTTCATAACTTGTGGTGGTTGTTTCTCAATTACGAACGTGGAAGTCACCAAAGTAGATAATAAACTTGTCACCTGAAAATATAAAATTTAATTTGACAAGAAGTTATTATAAAATATAATATTGAGCAGAGTTGTTCTCGTTGCTTCAGCCTGTTACACAATAGGATTAAATAAGTTTTCGCGACGAAAAATGAATACAGAGTTTTTTATTACTGAAATACTGGCTAGACCAGCTATTTGGAAGTATGGCCATCCACAGCATAAATTTAAGCATGTAGTGAATAGATTGTGGGACGAAATAAAAATAAAATTTCCAGATTCAGCGGCACTTAAAATTCTATTTGCATTAACTTTTTCGCAAATTCTGGTTGATTATTCATAAGAATATAATCGAAGGTTTCAATCACTCATTCTGGTATACTCAAAAAAAAATTCTGGATATATTCTGTATTTCTCGTACTTCTTGTGGAATTCTCCATCAACCTCGATTCTTATTTTAATATTCTTCACAATCTCTTTCAAATATCTCTTGAACCAAAAAACTATTACTTTCCAAGCAATTTCGAGATAATTTCGATAAAGACATTTCGCTGTCGAACTTCCTTACTGGTCGCGGCGGCGAACGTGACCTGTGCGTGGCCTGCAAATGGTCGCAGCGTGAATGGTCGCCTAGCCTCCCGCTTCGCCGTTCGCACCGCCGATCCCCGTGGCCAGGCCGTAACGCGTAGGGATATCTTACTACCAATAATATGAGTTGCTCAATATGCTTAAAATTTTGTCTCACAAAAAATAGTAGTTTGTCTTGTTTAAACTGTTTTTTCTGACAACAAACGAACCAATACGACTTAGTCCTTCAAGAAAACAGCAAACCGATTCCTAAAAGACCGGCAACGCACTTTTTGTCCTACGGTATTCTACTGTGGGGTGTTGCTGCAGAGGTTCAATCCATATTTGTGCTGCAGAAGCGGGCTGTTCGGGGGATTTATTTTGTTTCGGTACGGAATAAGTTTAAGAATTTAAATACGTATTATGACACTATCTTGTCAATATATTCATAAAAACCGCGACTTGCTAACTGGTAGATTTAGAATCAATTAACACCTTTTTCTGTTGACGTTCTTAAATAAATAAATGTTCTTGGTTACCTGTGAATAAAATTATTTTGAGTTTGAGTTTTAGGAATTGGTACCTACGCTAATATTATTCGATTTGTATAGTAAAATCTCTTTATTCGCGGGGTATACGTTCCATAAATATGCCGCGAATACAGAATGGTAATTTATATGGGTTTATAGGGGATACGTTCCTAGGTGCGAAAATAAAAAACACAAATATATAAGAAAATAAATTTTATTGATGTTATTGAACATTTTGATTATGTAATCATTATCCTCAGGCTTAGGCAATGGTTTGAAGAATTTTGTTATTTCCTCTTGCTTGGCAGTTTTTAATAGCTCCTTCAATTCAGACTGATACTCAGCAGTCGCATTAGCAATTTGCCTCTTAAAATTAAGACTTCGTTCCATAGATGGATCAATGTTTATAAAGAAATCGCAAAGCTCATTTGCCATTCTTAAACCTTCACTAAGATTTTTCAGAGTAAATGTCATATTTTCAGTGCTAGTTGAAGCCTCTTCTTCAATGGGCTGTGAATTTAACATTTCCTCCAAGTCGGTTTCAGTCAAATCTTCATCTTGCGATTCAATCAATTCCTGAATGTCACTTGATTCTGTCTGTTCGAACCCATCTCGTCCTATACCATTTGCAATTTCGGCTATGTTTGCAGTCAAAGTTTGAACTTGCACAGATTCTTCGTCATTTTCCGCAGACAGGGCAGGCCATAGTTTTTTCCAGAATGACTTCAATGTGTGTGTTTCAGTTCTTCCAATTATTATTTAATGTTTACGATGCATTTTCCTATGTCAAATTTCTTCCAGCATTCCATATTAACATTCAGATCAGGATTACACTCCATATTATCTATATGATATTGCGTTAAAAACCTATTGGAATTTTTTTATGAAATTTTAGATCCGCGAATAAAGAACTTTTTTGCCGCGACTTAAGAAATTGGGTTGCATTTTTTTAATCCGCGAATAGTGAAAACGCGAATAAAGGAAGCGCGAACAGGGATTCAAATCCATAAGCTCCCTAGCTTTTACTGTATAATATTATTTCCAAACTGACCTTGCTATAGATAATCATTTTTTCCAAAGACTTTATTAATTATATTTGATTTATCGTAACATCGCTGTTTACTTTATATTACATACGATTATAAAATAACAGAACCCTCAGCACAATAAATTAATTTTTCTTTACGGAACTCCACAGTTACAATATATAATAATTGATAGTCAATCAAATGTAATGAAGATTTTGTCTTAAATAATAGTTTGCCATAAGTGCGAAAACATGTGTCTTGAAATAGGTATAACTTTGGTTGGTTTATTACTAACAACTTTATTTGGATTCTATGTATTATTATTAATTTTTAAAATTCTAACAGACTCAGAAATTGTAATGTGCAACTGTAAAACAAGACTAGAAGGTAAAACTGTTGTAGTGACAGGCGGAAATTCAGGAATCGGCTTCGAAACAGCAAAAAATCTAGCCCAGCGTGGTGCAAGGGTCATCATAGCAGATGTTACGAACGCTGAAAAGTCAGTCGAAGAAATCATCAGATTCACGGGCAACGAAAAAGTAGAATTCCGATATTTGAATCTCGCTAATTTCAAAAGCGTTAAAGATTTCGCTGATGACATTAATAAAACAATAGATCATTTGGATATTTTGGTTAATAACGCTGGATGTTTGTTGGATAACAAAATTACAGAAGATGGAATAAATATGATAATGCAACTTAATTACTTGGGACCGTATCTACTAACTAAACTGATTTTAGCAAAGCTCAACAAAACGCAAAGCCGAATAGTGAACGTATCATCTGGGATGTATTTCTGTGGTGAATTAGACTTGCAAGATCTAGCAGGATTGAAACAGAATAATTTTGTCGAATCATACAACAATAGCAAACTCTGTACTGTTCTGTGGACGAAGGCGTTGGCCAAGACTCTGCCCAAAAATGTGTCAGTGTTCTGTCTACACCCAGGCATGGTGGCAACAAATCTTGTTGGTTTCTTAAAAGGCCCAATCGGTACATTTCTTAAGAAATGCTCAACCTGGATAGTAAGAAATCCGTATGAAGGTGCTCAAACGAGTATTCACCTTTGTGTGGCTCCGGACATAGAAGCATTGTCTGGAAGTTATTTTTCGAATTGTAAAGTGGCAACTACGACCAAAATTATAAATGATACTAATATAGATGGTTTGTGGAATGAAACTACTCTCTTTTTGAAAGAAGAAATGAATGGATAAGTGAATAATGAATTTATTATTTCTGGAAAATGTAAATACTAACACAATAGTTTTAAATAAACGTAATGTTAGATTAACATTAAATAATAAAAGTCTTATAATCCTGTATTAAACTCATTCTTTAAAACCGTATTCCATATGAACCTGGATTAACCTAACTATAGTAAGATATCACTTGTACCTATTTCTTTGTCAAACGCGGTGATTTCTAAACCGAAATGCGGCTTAGAAAAACGATCGATCAGTAGATCGAGAGAGATTCTCTGCGTAGAGCGCGTGATGAAGCCGAGTGGCTTGATGAAACCGACGTTGATCTTCAACAAAGTAGTGCCAACAACTGACTTGCATGATGCTTATCCAGTTGTTAGTATTGAAGAAAGTCTTGTTAATCCGTGGCAATGTACATTAAATATTTAAAGAAAAAACTTTTTTACCGGATTAAAGTTATGTATTATTATAAATTTACAATTATTTAACATAATTTTAAATTTATCCGACGTTTGACCTAAAATTGTCAAACACCTGGGATCCAATAATATCCAAATTAAAATCTCAAAAAGAAAAACAATCCGCGAAAATAGAGGACACCGTGAGCCATTTTTGCCAAAACCCTCCATCTTTTAGTCGATACCAACTCCGGGGAAATAAATACAGATAATGCAACTTTCTCTCTACAGCTGTGATACTTTTTGACATTCAACACCTTTTGTCTTCAGTCACCGTGACCACGCACGCTGTAAAGCACGCGAAACGTCGGATAAATTTAAAATTATGTTAAATAATTGTAAATTTATAATAATACATAACTTTAATCCGGTAAAAAGATTTTCTTTAAATGTGTAAAGGTTATGTCAATCAAAGACAATACTATGTACATTAAATATGTTCATGTACAATATATGTTTTTCGCATGATTACACCATTCCTTTAACATTATTTTTATGCCAGTCAAAAACAACCTGCAACGTTTCTGTCTAGACATTTTTATCATGGTCCTTAATTTTGCTGGAATATGATAAGATTATACTTTATACCAGTACTTAAATTATATTATAAAAAATATAAGATTGTGTGATGTCGTAGGAAACCCGACGGCACCAAAGAAAGTACATGTGCGCATAAAACACTCGTACAAAGAAGAAAAAACTCGTGAGGAAACCTTAGACCCAAAAAGTCGATGAGTGTCAGGCACATAAGGCTGATCTTCCACGAAACAGATACAGAAAACTGAGGCCCAGACTTAAAGAACTTTAGCGCCACAGATTTTTTATATAAAAAGAAATTTTAGAACTATAAAATTTTTTTTAATCAAAATGAATTATTCGTTTAATCAAGTTAATTTTAACCTCAATCAAGAAACTACGATGGAAATAGATTTAACAAATAACATTTCTATTATTAGTTTTCTAAGAAAATTTATCGGCCGTATATATTGTTCTGAGGTTACCATAGCAACGTCCCGTTCAAATATTACGTAAGCACTATAGGGGGTGAGGGGTCTTTGATTTTCTTATTTGGTGATTACGTCAACAGTAATTATTTACTTTTTTTACACAAATTGTCTATGATTGAAACCGAAACGCATTCCGAGGATTCCTACAAAAATTAATACGTTTATGTACTATTATTTTTGAGAGCTTTGCTGACAAGGGGGGGATAAATTGCAGTAAATCTGCTTACGTAACACTTGAACGGTCCCATAACAACACCCCGGTCACCATAGCAACGTGCCGGTAAGTATTACGTAAGCACTATAGGAGCAAGGGGGTCTTTAATTTTCTTATTTTGTGATTACGTCAACAGTATTTTTTTAATTTTTTACACATTACCCACACATTGTCTATGATGAAAACTAAATGCATTTTCGAGGATTCCTACAAAAAACTAATACGAAGTACAATCATTTTTGAAGATAAATTGCAGAAATCTGCTTACGTAAGGCCGTTTCTCCACTGCTCCGGTCCGGCAAACGTTAATTACCGATCCGATTTAGAAACTCACAACAGTACTTACGTACTTCTCCACTACTCCGGCATCCGGTTTTTAACGATCCGATAACTTGCTAGATCGGAACGGAGGTTATAAATTATTATTCACAGGTTTATTTATTTTCAGTTTCTTTAATTTGAAAGAATCTCCTGGCAAGTTTATTACTTTTTTTTTTTATATTGTCTATGTTAAAATATTATAATCTACTTAATAAATAGTTCGCTAATACTATGGTATAAAAATATAAATAAATAGCAACATAATTTGGTTTGGTCCAGGTTATCCAGATTCTTTCAAATTAAAGAAACTGAAAAGAAATAAACCTGTGAATGAATAAAATATTCAGAATTTAGAACGTTTTATTAATAAAATAAAGTATATGGGTTTTAGTTAATATAAGTGTTGCATGATAAATATACAAGTATCGATTATTGTCGGATCGGATATAGTGGAGAATCGCAATCCGGCCTTCCGATATTTTTCTCATGACTCATTCCGGTATCCGACGCCGGACCGGAGCAGTGGAGAAAGGGCCTAACACTTGAACAGCAACATCCCGGTCGCCATGGCAACCGACTATTACCTGTTTACTCATCTCGTCGAGCATTTCCACCAAATGCGGCTGCCGTAGCTCGACGATCGTCTTGCTATTGATTCTTGCGACGTTATTCACTTGCTGTCTGGTACTCCATATTAAGTCGGCAAGGAGTTCGCACCATTCTTGAATGGTGTTGAGGTTAGATTGCATCGGAACGCCATTTCCGCTTAGCTGTTGCTCACGTTTCCATCTGAAAACCACAATTTAAATATTAAATAATGAACGAAATTTTTACTACTCGGGTATAGCATATGTGGGTTGATGAAAGGATTTTGAAATTGGTCCAGTTTTTGAGTTTGTTACAAACATACAAAAATCTTTCCTCCTTATATTAGTATTGATTATTACTGGACATAGACAACATAATATGTCAAAACTTAGTGTCTTTGTTTTTACGCTATGAACGGCTAGCTATGAGCTATGAATAAAAATATATATCAGCAAAAACAAAAGCAGCCTGGTGATGTCACTAAAGCTGGTATCATTGATTAGTCATAGCTATGGTACATTTATATTTTATACCATAAGCATCACAAATGTCAGTTAAGACAAGCTATCATAGACAACAGTGCCGTTTTTTGTCATAATAGATTGTTAGAATAGAAAGAATGTTATATGTTTTTTATTATTATAAAATTATTTTTTAATTATGTTATTTCTCATGTTTTTAAGTGTACCTATTCTTTAGGGCTTACCCTTAAATATAACTTAAAACTCATGACTGAATAAAGAATCTATTCATGCCTTAAAATCAGATCAAAAAATTAAATTATCTTTATTCGAGTACGACACTATACTAATCCATGTCATTATGTGAAGGCCTCCTCCAAATTCTTCCTCTTGTCCCTATTCCTTGCGACAATTCCCCATTATTCCCCGCTATCCCTATCATTTCTTCTTCCCAAGTTTTTGGTGAAATTAAATATACTCCAAATAATATCTAAGACTCAATTTTGTACAAATAAAAAGGAACTTACTTAATAAGCTCTTCATCAAGAACTTGGCTCTGGAGCTGTCTCAAATTAGCGATGTTTTCCTTCATATGGTCAACCAGTTCCATTTGCGACTGGTTAATTTGTGCGACCTGAATCCAAAATACATACTTAATTCTTATGAAAATTCTGTTTTCATAAATTCAGAACGAATAACGTCATATGTTTGAAGCCATTAAAACTTAGCGTGAACCGAGTGATAATCAGAAACATAGCGCTTAGCGTGTCTCCTGTAATGTCAAAAACATTGATTTTTGACATACCGTGGTCAAATGTAAAACGATTTTGACATACAAGTGTTATATATACTTCTTACTCCAGTATGTCAAAAATCCTATACGTTTTGACATTTTACATTACGAATATACGCGCTAAGTTTCGACTTCTCACATATAGAACAATTTCTCACCAGAGCATTAAGTTTCCGTTCCATTTCTTCAATCTGCACACGAAGGCAGGCTTCAAGCTCTCGGCGTTCGTTCGTCATGGGACCCGATTGTTGCAAGTAATTTATGTGTCCTAGAACAGAATATTACATTACCATTCGGAACTTTTTAATAAAGAACTATTTAACTATACCTATAATTCGTTTCGTAAAAAAACTACCGACATAAGGTTATCATACGTGGCCCGAGTATTGATCCCTATGAAACAATGTTTGTATGCACAAAAGGATAATTTAATAGTAGCATAACCGCGACACCTACCATTATTTAAAATAAACAATTTCTTATTTAGGTAATATTTTTTTAAATAAAATAATAGTGATTTTTATATTTGTCTAGAGTTGTTTGTAAGAATTTTTAGCAGACTAACCTTTTATATAATTGTCATTTTTTTTATTTGTATATGTTTTATGATGTAAATAAAGTATTTATTATTCAAAAATGATTTTCCATACATTTAGTTTTACAAATAGAAGAATTACATATTATGCATAGATAGTTTTTTTTAAATGAATTTTCTGTTATTGTCGTCCTATGTTTAGACTCAATATCTAGCCTAGGATTCAAACGCACGACCCTAGCATTTATTTAAATATATATTTTATTACCAAATCTGGCTGGCATTACCTTTATTCTTGAGACACTCGTGGTACTGGAGCGAGAATGATTCAATGTTGGCTTGCAAGCTCCGTATTTCCTCACTCGCCATATTCACTTTCTGACGGACATTTTGTAAGCCCGTAATCAGCTGAAATAAAATAAATTTAAATTAATAAATTGGGACTTTTAATAATAAATTAAATTAATCGAGGTGCTGAAGAATTTGAAAAACGGACTTGAGACCAAAAGATAACTGTCAGTTTCTACCACCGTACAATCAAGTGCTGATTAGAAAAATCTCTATATTTACCTCACTATATTTCCTCTCAGTCTGCGGCTGCGCAGCATAAGGGCCCATCGCGGCCTGTATCACCTCCACTTCCATTGCGAGACAACGACGCATGTACGTGTATAGCTCGTGAGGGGCGTGCCTGAAATAATAAAAAAACATATTAAAACATCTATTTATTACACATTGTGAATAATGGCAACAGGTTGTCCTTTAAAAAAAAATTTCCAAGCAAATATTGTGTATAATAAAAAAAATAAATAAAATTCCTATATCCTGTATATTTCAATCAAACAAATTACCTCTCTTGAAGTTGGTTAAATTGAAGTTGGAGAAAATGTTAATTGCGCACATAGAAAGAAAGTCCATTGGTGCACAGCCGGGAATCGAACCTACGACGTCAGGTATGAGAATCGCACGCTGAAGCCACTAGGCCAACACTGCTCTACTTCTAGTATTTCAGATAATGCAATCAGTCACTTCTAGAAACTAATTGTTAGAATATATAATCTTACCCATACTGCATTCTGAAGATCTTAGCTGCTTCCAGCAACTTCATCTTGGTAACAAACATCTCAGGAGACAACATCAGCTCAGCATTGGTGTGAATCTCCTGAACTAGCTCCTCAACAAAGAACCTTTGCTGCTCCTCTGGTTCCGGGGTCCTAAAGAAATTAAAATTTGTTACATCCAAGTATTACAGCTTAAGCTTTTATCATGGGTCTTTGATTCATTCCCATGTAGAACAAAACCTCCCAGTGGCTAAGGTTTTTTTATATTACATAGTATTAAACTATTCAAGGGAAACGGTAGGAGAACTTATGTGAAAGGTACATAGCTTATGTGAAACGTTGGTACTTTTAATACAGCCCCATCTGTTAGAATTGTATCAAATAATAATATATATCAAATATTTGCAATAAAATAATATTGCGGGGTATAAAAGGAGATCTAAGCTATCCTATCTTTTAAGTTAGATCAAACTGCACACGGTGTGCAAATTTGATTGAAATCAGTTAAGTAGTTTAGGAGTCCATAGCGGACAAACAACGTGATACGTAATTTATATATATTAAGAGTAATGCCTTTTAAAAAGAAAATAATTCTTTATTGTTGGGAATCAATTGCAAGACAAATTCATATAGATAGAAGGATTTATATCCATAATAACCCATGACTTGGTAAGCTTTGTTAAGTTATCTGCTTGAAAAAAGTAAGTGATGTATAAATACACTTAAAAAGAAGTTAATAATAGTCAAAAGGAAGAAGATGAACAGGAAGTTAGACTTTCAGTTTCAAGAGGAAGTTTATTAAAGTAATGTCTTTCAGAAAATAAATCATGTTCTTTCATAGATTTTAGTTATTAAATACACTTAAGAAATACACTAAATGCCTTTCAATAGTCTCAATGGCATACAACTATATTGGATGTGTTTACGAGAAATGTTATTAAACAAGGTGTTTTCAGTAACGCAAGGCATCTCTTAGCAAATTGTTTTATGTTATAATTACGCTGTGATTTAACTCCTAAATAAAAAAAAAATACCATTTATTTTAATGTTCTTTAGCATTTACTATAGACTTACCAAATGCGACTTTCTATCCATGTTGCCAGACAATGGCGAACTTCAATAGGAAAATGATCTCCATAGATGGCTCGCACCTAAAAATTATATTAAATGACAGTGGTGTGCACAATTCTAATCCAGACTAAAAATCATATAACATTTAAACTTATCTTTAAAATTTAAACACTAAACTTAAGTATCCGATTTCTATAAAAAGTTTCAAAATTAGTAGAGAACACATAATTAGGAACAATACAACTGAAGGTTTACAAACAAGTGCTTTATTTATAAAAATAATCAATGACTTGAGTGCTAATAGTTTTAAGAATTCCATACTTTAATTATTTGCCTAAGAAATTACTAAAAAATGAGAGAATATGTGATCCCAAAAATTAAATTATATTAGAATATGCGCATCAAAACATGATCCAGAACAATATACAACATTAATATTCACATTTTGAATGTGCCTAATCCTCATAATAAATCAGTTGGCAAGGCATGTATTTCTGGATAATATAGGAAATAGCAAGTTATTGTAATGTAATATAATTTTTATTAATCTCAACAAAAATGTTAACATTGACTAATTTAAAAAAAGGCACCTTTTGCAGGCTCTCTGGAGGCAGCTGTTGAGCTCTCGCCCACAGTGACATCTTGGCACTGTAAAAAAAGTAGTTTTGTAATAATTATTTAATAATATAAAATAATTAATAATAAGTATATTTTTAATAATTTTACTAAAAGGACCTGAAGGTTATAATTAATTATTAGTATGACCTAGCCAATAATCTGGCTACCAAATTAGAAATATTCATAATATTAATTTCAAGGATGATAGTTTTAATAAATCAAATCTGTTCCACATAAACTAAATTTATCATAATATAGAGTACTTACATATTTATCCACCAATGCCCAGTTCTAGATAATTAGCACTTTCTGAAACAACACAGGACTATTTGATTTTAAAAAAATTAAATATTTTCAATCCTGGACCATATTCATTATGATTGTCAAGTGTTGAATTAAAGGATTTAAAAAAATGCTGTGTGGGTACCTTGTGATTACAGTTAGGGTGGTATGAAAATCTCAAAGTGACACCATGAAACTACCATATTGTTATTACATAGCAATAAATAAGTGAGAAAAACTATGAACTCAAGTTTCATAAACCTTACACTTAGTAATTTTCAAACAATGAACATATTCTAGGAAATAAAACAATCGGACAACTTACTATAGGTACAACCAGTTTAGAATAGTGTTGATTGGTTACTAAAAATTTAAGATGTTATGTATCAGTGCATAATTAATAATAAGATAAAATATAAGAAAGACATGTATTAAATTAAATGTATTAACGGATAAAGGTTTATAAAGTCAAGAAAAAAAAATTTGTAAGCCTATAAGATGCTTAAATGTTGAGATCATTAGGTCAGGTTGAAATAAGACCTAAAAACCCCTGAATAAAAAGTTTTTCGAATAAAACCACCACATAAAAAGCATAGGTTGTAAAGTCATAATTCATGTAAATTGGGCTTCAATCATTTAAAAAATTAAGCGTCGTGAATAGAATGCAATTACAATTGATCACGTAAATGGTGTAAAAAATGCTGATTAAATGCAAATGTTAACTGCGTACTTACCTACTAAGATAAACACTCAGTTATGAAAAGTTATGTTAGCGCGCTATATTTGTAATAGGCAAATAATAGGTAACCAAAGCACAGCTTGCCCGGGGAAGGCAATCACCTCGAGAAGTTTACCTGTATCGAGCGATGTAAAATTCATTCCATTGCCGAGACACAATTCTCAGAATTCTGCTATGCACGCACACATAAAAACATTAAAGTTCGACGTCACACATGCTTAGAATTTTAATTTTAGCTATATCAACAACTTTACTGTAGTTTAATTACCTGTTGCTGTGTTGTTTTACTGAAATATTGGCGATAGCTTCATATTAATAATGGCAAATCGATTTAAATTATAAATTCTAAATAAAGTGTAATGTACAACAAAACATCTAAGTTACAGCTCCACCTCACACAATCTCGTTTGAAATTTTATTTCTCGGAAATACGGAATTCGTTGCCCGGCGGATCCGGTGACAACTGTCAAAACTCAAATGTCAGAAATGTTAGTATGTCGAGTTACACAGATGAATACATATGGCTGTATGCAATCAAGTAAGAAATTGTTTATCTGTTCCAAGGGATGCGAAATGAAGTTTACTCCTTATTATTTTACAGAGATATAATAATTTGGCGGGAAAAGGTTAGGTAGCATTACGATCCTCTTGAGTCTATTAGTATTTTTTTAGCTATAAATTAGAATCTTCAATCAAATATTATTTAAGCGGGAGCGTTTGAGTTTTAGAACATCATCAAAACTCTTATACGGGTAAACTGGTTGTATTATATAAACTTTTATCAATATAGAAATTATAATTTTCTAACGCTTTCATAAATTTTAACAAAAATGAGTCAGTTCAACTTGCGAAAAAAAGCACGGCTAAGCTATTATGAAATCGAGGAACCAAACATCGATGAATATATTTGTAAGTAATACCTAATCTATTGATTGTTAGAAACTGAACTATAGACGTAATATCACATTTTATTGATTTATATTTTTTTGTGTATGTAAGCAAAATATTCTTACCGCCAATAAAGCATTATAATAGATTGTTGCTCGAATAATTGAAAAAAAAGAAAGCTATTAAATATCTATATATATGATTATTATTAATTATGCAAAATTAAGTTTTAAATAGTTAGTTATATGAGATATTCCTTTTACCCAATCCCAATTTTTAGAGATATTCAAAATATGGACGGAGGTTCAGATTTGAATTTTTTTTCTAGATTGTTCGGATTGCCGTGACTATGTGTTTGAATACTGTTCTATTCATGGACCATTGCTTGTCATACCTGATAATAAGGTGAGTTAAAAACGTAATTAAATGTAAGGTGGTTTAAAAGCGTTCTATGAACATAAACTTTTCGGCCTATTAAAAAGCAAAACAAAATTTGTATTATAATACATTAGACTTGACGTCTATCGAATGATGTCTGCCGAAACGCAAAACGATGGCGCGTTCCGTTTGTTTTTGATTGGTCAATAGGAGGAGAATACCTATCTATATACACAACTTCTCTTGCTCTTTATCCTGGTTTCCTCAAAAGATGATAATATTACCAACAATGTGAAATATTTCGCGCCTTTCTTTTCTATAGGTTCCGGCTAAAACCAACTTCCCATCATTCGTTCCTCGGGCTGCGCTAACCATTCCTGATGTCTTTTTACACTTAGCACATTCAACCATTCCTGGTAAGTTGAAAAACTGATAATATAATACTTATTTATAATTACAAGGTACTACCTGGCCAGTAAGTTTAAAAGATGAAAAACTTACCTCTTTCTATTTCCTAAATCAATAAAATCGAGTGCTTTCAGACGCTCATTATAGGGTATGTATGAATATGATTTAAGACTAGTTTGGAAGTAGGACCTTTTCACTGCAAATCCGAATTATATGATACTCGATCATCCTGACCAGAGATCGGACGGCGGAGCTATCATTATTACGTACACAAACGAAAACCAAAAGGCTGTTGCCGTTCCGTTCAATTAACTGCCTAGCCTTTTAACTAAACGGCGCCGTTTAACTAGCGGCCTGAAAGATGTTCAGTCAGTTGATCAAACAACTAGGCAAATGACTTTCATTACTTGACTAGCCTGTCGACTTTATGCCACTCTCAAACTCGGAACGAAACTCTTCAAACTGTGAATATGGCGTCGTCGGCAAACCACAACTTTGATGGAGTTTTCCAAAGTTTCATTAAAAACAACAAGTACAATGGTACAGTGTAGTGACAATAATAAAATTTAGCTGTGACTAAATCAAGCAATTTCATTTTAAAATAAATATTTTTATGTCATAAGTTTCATCTCTTTTATTTCTGCCAAATAATGACTCTATTGTACGAATGGCCTAAGTATTAGCCAGCCAGTATATTAAATGTTGTTACAAACGCTACGGCTGAAAACTTTCAGGCCGCTAGTTAAACGGCGCTGTTTAGCTAAAAGGCTAGGCTGTTAATTGAACGGCTAATTAGGATGGGCGACTAGCTTAATTAGCCGTTTAATTAACTCCGACAGCTGTTATGTATTTAGATTACGAAGAAAACATCTAATCTTTAAAAATAATTCAGTTGAGAGGTAACATTGGGTGGGACTAACTTAGGGATTGACTTAGGGAGCTCATTCCTTAGAAGTCAGCACTCTTTTAGGGAAAAATAGAAGCCAATTATTTGAACTTTCTGGTTGTTTTAAGTTGGTTAAAAGTACCACCGTACGTAGCTTGGCAAGAATTTTGGCACTTTTCGTAAGGTGTTTAAACTTTTAAAGGCAAGTTGCCTTTATAAATGTGCGCGTGGGCGAGTATTTTGACCATAAGTTTGACACCAATTATAACATTATGTTAATGTTCTTATTGTATGACATTATAAAAATTAATATGACATTTGCATGCCAATTTATGGGTGATTGTGCGGATTTTTATAATTAATCTACCTAATTGTACCACTCTCTTAGCAATTTTATTTTATTACCTATAAAACCTCTGCATAGAGCAGTGTTGGACTAGTGGCTTCAGCATGCGACTCTCATACCTGAGGTCGTAGGTTCGATCCCCGGCTGTGCACCAATGGACTTTCTTTCTATGTGCGCATTTAACATTTGCTCGAACGGTGAAGGAAAACATCGTGAGGAAACCGACATGTCTTAGACCCAAAAAGTCGACGGCGTGTTAGGCACTGGAGGCTGATAACCTACTTGCTATTAGATCAACCGATTCAGAAATCTAAGGCCAAGACCTAAAGAGGTTGTAGCGCCACTGATTTATTTTATTTTATAAAACCTCTCCGTATTAACTTGCCAATTTGCCTTATAGATGCCGGACTGGGAGTGTTTACTACGTTAACTCTACCAAAGAACGTTCGTTTTGGGCCTTACAGGGGTAATATTACTCACACTGCTGCCTCAAATTACTGTTGGCAGGTAATACTGGTCATCATAATTTCGACTAACCATTTTATATTATTTTAAAACCACTATGTGGAACCAGCTGCCCACTGAAGTATTTCCGAATCAATTCGACTTTGGGTCCTTCAAGAAAAGAGCGTACCAATTCTTAAAAGGCCGGCAACGCTCTCGCGAGCCCTCTGGCCCATGGGTATCACTTAACATCCTGCCCCTTTGCCCTTGTTCTATAAAAAAAATGAAGCATATCTATGGCACGTTTTATTATGTTGTCATTGGTCACGCAACATGATAACTTTTTTTTCTTATTGAGCACAGTGCATCTCACTCTCATCCCTGAGATCATAGGTTCGAACCCCGGTCTTTTCAGTTTATGTACGCATTAACACTCGTACGGAGAACAACCATCGTGAGGAAACTGGCATGCCTTACCTTAGGGCTTAGACACAAAGTCTAAATAAACCAATGTTTACGACACAGATAATTGTCAGACCAAAACTGACACTTCTAAATGTAGCGCCACTGGTTTTTTAATTATTTTTACTATGGGTATGTTCCGATATACACTGCGACCACTGTACAGAGTACCGTCAATTTAGTATACTGT